AAAGTGTTATAAGCAAAGTGTGCCTTTATTTACAACTAAGAAGTGTGATCATCTGTGAAACCGAATCTTTCTAAAGGCACTTTGTTTAGTATACATATAAAAAGTAAAGAGATCTCTTTAAACCTTGTCAATAAATAGATACCTTAATTGTGGGATAATGAATATTATTTCGGATCACTACTTACCGATCACTAGAAATATGCGGCGAAGAGGAAGCTTTGTTAAATGAGTACCTAGTTCAAAAACTCTCGTTGATACCATAGACAGACATATGGTTTCCGTGCTACAATGACAGCTCAAGAAACCATATCCCAGCATAGTGGCACACATACTTATGTATGCTATTCTAAGTCTTTGACACTCATTAACTGATCAAAACAAAATTCAAATATTTTATTAATTGTGGAAGGAAAAGAAATATTTTCAATACTTCTACGGACATTGAAAAGGAGCAAACAATATAAAAGATTGTTGTAAAGAAGCGAGTTGTTGGAAACGACCTTTTTATCAATTTTTAGTTGTGGATTTTCACGTTTATTTTTTAACTTAAATTTTTTGTTAGATAACAAAATGACAGATAACATACTTATGTTTGTGACAAAAGAGCTTTAAGCTTTAGATGTTTTCACTGCTATTGTAGAATGGAACTCAAATTGTTTTGGAACAAAAATTCAGAATTCAAACATATGGTTTCCGTAACATACTACAAAATGTACTATATATGTATATGTAAGTCTGTCTAGAGCATTTTTTTCAAATAGTCTGGATAACGGTTTTTCTAAAAGACGCCATCACTCGTCGAGCAAAATGAAAGCTTCCAAAGTATTTTTGGTATAAATATTAAATCACGAATAAGTAAATCGATTTATGAAGTCACCTTAAAACTAGTAGACCTTCATTTTCGGATAATATCGATACGAGTGCTAATAAGGAAGTAAAGAGCATTGGTCAAGCTTCTAGCAATTTAATATACATATATTATGTTTATATATTTATATACATAAATATGTACTTATGTGTACATATATAATATTTTAGTATTTTTTTTACATATGTTACAATAAACGAAATATTGTAGTTATTTATATATTATACATATGTCTTCATATTCTGAGAATGTGACATTTTAGCAAGCAATTTTAGCGCCTCATTATCTGCTTTCGTTTATGTGCGTATTCATAAGTCTATTAAGAGCAATAAAACAATACCAAGAAGTGCAAATTGTTTTTATTTATTTTTTATCTTACATTCGCGTGCAAACCGTACCATATGGATCATAGGCATTTCGTTCTTTTGTTGTTGTTAGCATGACTTTTTGACTGGCATTTAAACAAAGTTGCCACAGTTCGGCCTACTAGAAGCCATAACTGTTGGCATTATAATATATAAAATATGTTCTGTACTTATATATAAGTATGTATGTAGGTATGTAATATATACAATATAATATATATGTATGTGTATGTACGCACGTGTTTATTTGCCTTTTCATATTCAATCATAAATTTTACACGCATCGCGGCAGCAAAAAAGCAAAAAAAAAAGAAAATTTAAATAAAACGAAAGCAAAACAACAGCAAAAATACGCACAATACACATACAAAATAATGGCAGTGGTTGCGAAAGGTGAGGCATGAGCGTATACAGTATGTAAGCAAAAAAGTGGAAACGCCAAGTGCAAAAAACTGTGAAGACAGTAAAATTAAAAAGTAAAACTAAAATGACATAAACTGCAACAAAAGCAAATGAAAAGGCGAAATAAAGTCAAGATGTTTGTTGTATTTTCAAATGCCAGCGCTGTTGTTGTGCTCGCAGTGTTTCGCGGCGTGCCACTGCGCAGGAGGCGCGCGTATTGTGGTAGCAAACTGGTTTTCTTTTTTACTTGATTTCCACTGACTTTTTACGTGCATTTTCGTTTTTTTGTTTTTGCAACTACACTATTTCTTTTGCCGTTTTGCTTATAGGTGTGTATTTATTTTTAGTCTTTCGTCTGTGTTTATTTATTTTATTTTTATATGTGCGATTTTAATTCAATTTTCTGATCGCTCTTCTTTTGTGCTTTCCTTATTCTTGGCCTGTTGTTTATTGTGTTGGTCATTGTACGTCTCATTGTTTATTATTTATGCTTTCTAACTAAAATACTATGTAGTGGCATGTATATATGTATGTATGTATATATCTACTTATAAATAAATATAGTACTATTGTATATATATGTACATGCTTCATCTCCGTTTTTATTGCTCTGACTTGTTTTAGCGTCTATATTTCTTTTCATAATTTTATTTTGCCGTTCTGCCTGTAAAATTTCTTATTAAAATTTGGTTATATTGGTATGATTAACAGATTAGCAGAGTTTATGATCATGTCACTCTGTCGCTCTTATACCATGTACCGACCGACAATTAGTCACGAGACTTAGCATTTGTTAATCTCATCACCAAGAATATTTAAAGCTAATCTACTCGAAATCTCCCTGTGCGACTCTGATATAGCGCCATCTGTTTGTCAGTTGGGAAATTTATGAAATTATCACAGCTGACTTAGACACTACAAACTGTCAAAGTAAACAAAATATAAAATAAAAAGTAAAAATTAAAGCAATATAAATCTGCAACGGTAGTGAAAACCGTCTAGATTAGTGAATAGATTACATTTAATCATTTAAAAATTTTGGTGGGAACATGATATTAGGTTACACAGCGAACACGAATTATTTATTTGAGATTTAATTAAAATAAACAAAACTTAAACTAAGTAAAGTAAACAAAAGAAACTTAAATTGACACATAAACGTGCAACAATAAGAAAATGTAAAGCAAAAACACTAACAGATGTAATGGAAATAAATGCATAAAAAAAAAAAATAATAAATTAAAATTAATATATTCTTTTGAACAATATAATAATACCCAACATAATCAAATAATAAAATAAGTTGCATTGGAAATATGTTAAATAAAATACAAAAAATAAATAAAATACAAAAAAAAGGAATTAAGAAGTTTAAAAATATATATATATAAAATATAATGAATAAAAATTGTTTAAATTAAAAATTAGATAATTTGATTAAAAATTGTTTAAATTAAAAATTAGATAATTTGATTAAAAATTTTTCAAATGTAAAAATTTTAAATCCGATATCTGGGATTATAAATGTGAAAATTATTTTTAATTTAAGTTTAATATTTATTGTTAAATTTAAAACCAGAAATTGTAAAAAAGGAATTACGCATGTATGTTCGAAACTAAGAAAATGTTAGCGGTTTTAACTTAACCTAAAATTATTTAAAGGAAAAAATTTTACCTCTAATTCTCACATTTTTAATTTCAAAAATTGAGCTAAAGTTTAAGAAATGCCACCTTTGGTTAGTTTTAAATCCAATTCCGAAAAATTCACTGACATAAACTAATAGCAAAATATTTTCTAAAATTTCAAAAATACTTATTATTTAATAACAACAAAACCCCGAATAAATGTTTGTATACCTTAAAATCCTAGCATCTTATAAACAAAAAATTGTAGATCTTAAATGACAGGTACCACTTTTCAAAAAATTTTTTTATATACAATAAGTTTTAATTTTTTAATATGTCACTGGCACCATATTACCAGAAAATGATTAGCACTTCTATATGGCATGTTTACAACCAAATTTTCAAAATTAAAAAAACCGTGGTTTTCGAAATCTTGTTTTTTTAAATAAATTTTTTTCAAGTCCTTTATTAACTTTTGTCCAAAACTTATTTTTCCAAAACTTTTTTTTCCTAAAATTTTGTTTTTTAAAACATTTTATTACCTTCTTCCAAAACTTTTCTTTTTTGAAAATCATCTTTTTAAAAACCGTGTTTTCCAAATTCGGCTCTAAACCCAAAATATTTTATTCTCAGGCTTAGGTCTAAATCTAATCTCTAAATATAAAAAATCCGTATACACAGCATAATAAATTGCTAATGTACATATGTATGTATATAAAACAAAAGACTTAAGTAACGAACTTTTTTGGATTTTGTTTTGTCAGTATTAAATACCAGGAATACGATTTTATATTCAAGAATCATATATTATTTTAGCACTAAAAATTAAATTTTTAACTATGGTGTCATAATATTTGGGGGTTACGATAAAGTTTTTTAAATATGCTTTAAAAAAATGTATAACTAACTGTAATATGTATTGCGCCGTAACGCAAATTTTTCAACTTAATTAAAGCATGCCAAATTTCTCCATATATTAATTAAACTTCCAGCTTTTACCTGCTACAAAATTTAATCTACTTTACACATGTGACGACGCCCTTTCACAAAGCAGAGCATGAATCATAACGCCCACGTTTCGACCTGACAGCGACTGTTGGTTATTTGTTTTTGTTATTGTCACTAGATATTGTTTATTTTTTCGCATTGCTTTGTTGTTTTCGCAGTTTTCAACTTGCGACCATATATATGTACATAATATGTATATATTTATATATATGTATGTATATATACTTTTATATTGTTGCTATCAAATATGCGCAAACATGTCTGAATGGCAACCGAAACAACAACAATAACAATAACGTGAACAGCCATCAACAACCAACAATCAACGTCCAAAGCCAAAGCCAAAATCGAAGCCATTGACGTTGCCCGCGCCGGCGCTGTTGTCTTTGCAGTTGAGGTGTCGCGAAGCGCTGTGATGAATTCTCAATGACTAGTTTCAGATTTATGTGCACACATTGTTAATTTTTGTTTATTTTCGTCTGTGCCATAATAAAATCACATTTGTATGCGTTGCGTCTGTAAAAATGGGTTTTAGAAAATTTTGCTTTGGAATAAATGGCATTCTTAGCGCCCACAAAAATATTTTATTGACAAAAATACATGTACATAGAAAATCATTAATACACACTTATACAAGTTTTTATAGCACTATGTTGACATTTACGTAATACGTACATTATTTGCTTGCAAACAAAAATTTTAATAATTTTTTAATTATTCTCCATTTTCAGAGGCGCGCATTTCTTCAAAAGAACTGCCAACCGCGCGTTGGCGTCGTGAGCGTCGCTCGCGCGCTGGTGAATACCCCACTATGGGCAGTGGTGTGGCAACTGCTGCCAGCAGCGCCTCAACATCCAGCAGTCTGTCGCCCGCGGGCACCCCGCCACCGCCGGGTGTCTGCGCTGGCGGCCTAACATCGCCGGTGAGCGCGCATCATCATGTTGCGGGCACGCTACAACATAGCGGCGTACCGCCACCAATGTCCATTATGATGGCCGCAGCGATGCGTCCACTTTGTGAGTCCACCAATCGCCCAACGCCACCGCCCTCGAACTCCTCAGCAGCGGCAGCGGCCTATCATCATCAAAGCGGCATGGAGAGCCCTATTGATATGTCGGTGTCATCGTCGACGCTAAAGCATCGCTCCTCACCGCCACCACCGTATCGTGCGCCACTACCAGGCTCCACATATGCTACCACACTCGCGCGCCCCAGTGTTATTACACAAGCGCCGTCGAAACGAGAACGCGAACGTGAACGCTGCGAACGCGAGATGTTGGCAAATCGCGAGAATGACAATCGCAGCAATGGTAAGTATTTACGCCGAAGCGCATAAGTTAAATAACAATAACTTAATTTATATTATGTTTATTCTCAGAATCCATTTCGACTTGCGACACAGTTATCGATGAGCACTTCCGCCGCTCACTGGGTCCCAACTATGCGGCACTTTTCGGCAAAAAGTCACCCGGTCACAATTCAACAACACCATCGCCGCAACCAAGCGCAGTCGCTATGACAACAACAGCGGTCATTAATACGCCAACACCCACGCCACCACCAACGCAGCTGCCTTTGGCGTCATCCTCAATATCGTCACTACCACAATTGCAGCCGCAGGCATTGGTTGTGGCACACGCGTCGACGACAGCCGCATTGCCACCTTACCATGCAACTACCGTCGCACCACAAGCGCTCATTTCACCAAAGCCAGCAGCGGTCTTACTCTCCCCGGCCGCCATTTATGCAGCTGCAGCTGCTGCAGCACCGCCGCCACTAAAACCCGATGCTTTATCGCATGTGATGGCTGTCGATTTGCCGCCACCACAACAGCAACCATTGGCTTTGTCCACTACGCAACGCAGCAATACGCCGCAACCAACAACACCTAATGTAGATGTGGTTGGTCCAGCTACGCGTTCACCTCCGTTATCACCAACAAACGCCGTATTACGAACATCACCGCCACCACCAGCATTCCACGCGGCCACACTGCGTAGCCAGGCCTCAATGGAAGCACATTCAACCAGTAGCTCACGCTCACCAGTGGCAACGCCGCAGCAATCACCAAATTCTATAACGGCAATGCCAACAATGGTGTCTTCCTCGACGCCACCAACAACTACGCAGACAGCGACAACAACTACGCCGCCACCCATAATGCCGGCGATTATGCGCATCAAAACCGAACCGGGCCTAGCGACAACCAACACACCACCAGCTTCACCAACATCGACCTCGTCGCCCACCAGCATTACAGAGGTGACTGCTTCCGTGGATGATCACTTTGCCAAAGCGCTGGGTGATACTTGGAAGAAGTTGCAGGAGAACAAGGAGGTGCGCAAGTGAAACATAAGGTGCCGCAAGAGGCGAAAAAGGTTTGAATACGTAAATGAAGAGTGAGCAGGTGTGGGCGTGACAAATGTGAGGGAGCGCGCCAGTAAGTAAGAAAGAGCGGAAGAGAATGAAAATAATGAAATTTGGAAACAGTTCTAATGTTGTCAAAAGCAACTATTAATTATATCAAATAGGATATAATAAACAAGGCAAATAAACTTTATAGGCAGTTTATAAAAACACTGGAATTATAACTCTATAATACTTTACAGCGGAAAATTTTCCAAACTGAAACAAAGCATATAAAAAAAATTTGTTTTGCCTCTGGAATTTGGGAAATTATAAGCAAAAATCTTTAATTTACAATCAAAATAGAAAATATACAAAAATAATACATATCTATAAGTACAGCAAAAAAAAATAAATATACTTTAGTGATAATTGCTTGTGAAAATACTAAAACATAGAGTACATCATGACAAATTCTACGCTACACATACTAATATTTTGTGTACATATAAGAAATTTTGAAAAATATTTAAATAATATTCAACAGTAGTTGAATTCAAAAATAGCTTCTCAAGTACGCTACATTTTATTTAGCACATACTTTAAACCGTTCAAGCAAATGCTTTTATTTATCAATGCAAATGATTTCTTCATTTTCTTAACTTTTACAGGAAAATGGAAATGATTGTTGTATAAATTATTTATTTACTGTTTCTTTCATTTTCACATTAAAATTATTGATTGTTAAAAATAAAACAAAACCGGCTGATCTGTACACTAATATACATCTTATTGCATATCAATTACAATTGCAATCTAAAATTTGTTGCGACACATTTCATTTAAATTTATTTTAGAAACATTAAAGTCAAATTACAGTTTTTTAGGCTCAGTTATGCATACATAGTACCGCACTACATGGACAAACATTACGTTTGAAACATAGCCGTTGTTATACTTCACAAAGCACATGGAAATTTTGTTTTAAATTTCTTCTCATTTCGGCAATTAATTCCAATTCCTCTCTAACCTCATTTGCAAATATCATGCCTACTGTGTGTTAGTTCTAAAGCTTGCTTCCATTGGTATTAAATGCAACATCTACTGATCTCTAAATTAATTTCTTTTAAAAAATATTTGAAAACATAAATTATTTTTTAAATTAAACAATGATAACTAAAAAGAGCGAAAAATAATAAAAATATAAATATAAATTATTTATGAATTGTAGTTGTTTTACGTAATTTTTTACAAAAACTATAATTTTCCTTAATTTAATGCAGTATTGGCAAATTATTTGAATTAGTTGTATTTAGATACCAGTGGCATAAAGATAAAAATTCATTAACTTAAAAAAATAAAGAAACAGACCTACTATGACATTTTATTATTAAAGGAACATATCGACTTCCTATTTTTATATAATACAGTGAATTTGATTTATTTATCATATTTGAATTAAAGTGGATAACTTTGTTTGTATGCAATATCAGCATTCCATCAGCGAGATTTTTCACCAAACAAAAATTGTGTTAATGCAAAGAAATCTATTTATCAAGCTGAATCAGGTAAATCAAAGAGTGATTCGTGAAATTGTCTGTTACATAACTTTTTATCAACATGAAGGCAATGTATTTTTTTTTCTAACTCAAAATATTTGCAACTGCGCGGTGCCAAATGTAACTGTTTATTCATTATGTTGCTTGCTTTTTACGACATTTTGTCTAAAAATGTTTTTGCAATTAAATTACACTTAAACAATTCAGATTGATTTGAAAATATGGATGAAAATTAATTATATGCCTTCTACAAATATTGTTATTATAACTATGCATGCACCACTGAAAAAAATTTAAAGTAAATAATAATTTTTTTAAGCTTATAAAACGCTCTAAATATAAGTATTTGTAAAGCAAAAAGTGAAAAAAACTATAACTGTACACTAAATAAAATTAAATATATAATAAAAATATATATATATAACTCAATTAAAGTAATACAAAATTCAAAATATACATATGTAAAAATAAATTATTAATAAATAAATTAAAACATATTAATACATTTATAAGCAAGAAAAGTAACTGTATAAAGATCTCATTGAATGAAACTTTTTGTGAACAATTTAATAAACGCAGATTTTACGTAATTATTACTAACACTAACACAATGGCTTGGAAAAAAAGCATTAAAAACTTGATAAATTTGCATATACATACATTTAGGTATGTATACACACATAATATACGTATATATGTTATGCATATATTATAAATACATACTCCTTTCAATTGTAGTTTTAACGTAACAAGCTGGTATGGTGATTTATTTACAAAATTATTATACTATTATTTCTCGATGTAATTTAAGGTTATGTGGATTTGCAAAGAATTACAAACATGCATAACGTCGCGTTAATGCTTTTATAAGCAGTACCAAAATAAAACAATACAAATATGGATGCATAAATTGTAAAGATTTGATAAATTAATACAGCAGATAAGTATACTAAATAGTAACTTTAATTATAAAAAGATCTATGTAAAGCAAGTAACGTTTATATAAAGAATGGACATTTACTTTTGTTTCATATTTCAAAAACTAACGCATACGTATGATTGTATGTACATACATAAATTAATAAATTATAGTAGTAACTATCGTGCGTATTTCATAACACAAAATATTTTATATCGAAGGAAATCAAAAATTTACTTGAAATTTCATATAAAAATTAAAAAATAATATAAGTTTTGTTAATAAAATATCTTCTGAAAATAAAGGAACAGTTTGAGGTTTTTTTTTATAAGTGTGAAAATAATTAATATGATGATCTACAACACACATACAAGTACATATGGTATATACATATTTAATTCATTATGATTGCTTAAGATTTCGTATACTATAAATATAACTAGTAGTAAGCGTTGGCCAATGTATTCCTATTATTTTGATAAAATAAAAATTCAATTGCTTTATGTAATAAAACAAATTTTAAATATGAGAAATAAATGTGTTTACATTTTCTATAGGTTATGTATTATGAAGTGCAAAAAATATTAATTTAAAAACATAAACATATGTATGTAACTGGTTCATTTATTAGTTGAAAGAAATTGGTTTGAGGAGGGATAGACAATTTTGGTCGTCTCATTCTAAAATGCTGATTCAGGTTAACTTTAGTAAATCTTAGGTGCCCCCGCTATTTTATACCCTAAGCAGGGTATATAGTAAGTTTTCCACGAAGTCTGTAACACCCAAAGAGAACGTCAAAGACCTTATAATATATACATATACATATGTATGTATGTAAGTAAATAAATGATCAATAGGACAAGCTGAGTCGAGTTAGTCATGTACGTTTATATGTATATTCGCGAAATAGTTCCTCAGTTTTTGAGATATCGATCTAAAATTTCTGCCCTAAACTGTTCAACCGTGTGGAACCGCCATATCGACCCACTATATGGTAACAAAAAACCGCCATACAAACTGGTTAAGTCCTTGTATGGACACTTTTTTATTTGACAAGATATCTTCACATTTGGAATGCATTACTTTCCAAAGCAACGGTAGTCGTATTTAGCACATTATCATTATATTATCTATAATATACATATATATATATTTATATGCTTACTACGGACAAACTGGTTTTTTACGAACATTTAAATTTGTGCTTACTCTTCTAATAATTTGAATAGCACTCCAGATATACAGTGACGCCAAAACTAACTATGGGAACCTTGCCATACATATATGAAATCGTGCAACGGAATTTATTAATAATATTATTATAATATATATCAAAACTAGTAAAATATGTTTTTGTCAACAAATTACATAAATAAAATTCGAAAAATATAATGATCGCTACTATTCGCAAATTAAACATATATATTGCCTGCCTAAAGTTTATAAGAAAATAGCATTGCATAAAGCACATATAATTCCTGAACTGTAAATACGATATCATACATATATCAGAGTGATTTTAGAGAAGGTGCAACCAGAGAACGTACATACATTATTTATGTTCGCTGCAGTTAGCTAGGGGTACAAAGCCAAGGTCTCTTAATTTTAACCAGCGAAAAGTCAATAGATTTCAAGGGGAATAACTATCGATAGTATTTCAAAAAACTATCGAGTAGTTCGACTATCGATAGTTTTGCAGCTCTAAACCAAAGTACACGATTTCACTGAACATACTATACTCGTTCGTGTATCCAGCTGTCATTAATACTCGTTGTCTTAGAACTGTCATCGTTGAACGAGAAAAACACCTGCGGCGAATTCATGTATACATCACCAGCATTCGATTTCTCTCTAACACATGCCATACCCATGTGGTAATCAAAAATGTTGCTATTGTGAGCAACATGTCACCTCTTTTGCACTTATAAGCAAGAGTAATTGTTCGCTTTAACAGCAAACGGTCAAAACGAGCCAGACTAGTTTGTGAAGCGATTTCGGTCGTATTTCCATCGTTGTCGTTTTCTCCATAATTGCGTTATTTTTTCGCAATTCGTGAGATTGTGTACACTATTGCAAAGTGTACAGAATGACAATTCAATGGGTTGTTTATTGTAAATGAGTGAAATCGTGTACATGCAAGCAAAGCATTATAGAGATTTTTGTATGAGAAATACTTGTAGACGAAAATTGTTCGGCGTTTCCCACACAAGTACCCTGCAGTAGCAGCCACAGTCGCAGCCGCAATTTTCGCCCCTTCAGCGTCTTGCGTAGCACTTCGCACAGCTGCTATGTAATAGTGTTATCTCGCTCCGTTATACGCACTCTATGCCTATGAATGTGAAGAACTAGTCACTTATTCGGTATTAAAAACATTACAGTGTACTCGTTTTGACGCGCAGTCACAATATTATTTTGTGATTTTCTATGCTCTGTGCTTCATCTCGTAAAAACTGTGTATGATAGTGCATGCGTGCGTGCGAAAACGTACGAAATAGACATTACGAACAAACATCGCGAGTGAACTGCTGCTCATCTGTTTATTTGTTTTCATTTTCATAAACAGTGGCGTGAATAGAACAGAGTGCTACGATAATAGAGTTACCATTGAATGGTGTGAGCGAGTTGGACTGTGTGAAGAAATTTCAATCGCGAAACATTGTGAGCAATGGAACAATATTTGAAAGTGAAACCAGAGATGTTACTCAAATGTTGATATTATAAAGACTAAAAACATTAAATATATTGAATTCTCTGCATATTTTGGATGCAAATAGCAAAGTAAATAATGGTAAGTTGTTTGAAATCATTTTCAATTTAATCATTTTCCATGAAACAATATTACATACATATATTTGTTAACTTCGCAAGGATTATTTACACACATTTCGAAATTTTGCTTTTATATGAAATAAAACGGCCGGAAGAGATAACCAGAAAATATAATTTTTAGATAACAAAATATTTCCTTACAATAATATATTATTTCGTTATTATCAATAACAGGTGTTTAGAAGTTTCTATTGAATGGTCCTTAATATGGTAAACCTTGCATTGTCTGACTTAAAATAGCACTGTTAACACACTACTTCTCCTGTTAAACTTATTCCATTTATGTTTTTAAAATATAGTCTCTACGCTGTAGATGTTTGATTAAAACTATAAATAATTAAAGTACTTGTTAAAGATTTTATTAATTAAGAGACAGAATTTGTTCATATTTTATTTTAAAAAAAAGTCAAACGTAGAACAATATCCCCGGAGAATTGCACTTCAGAATTTGCACAATTTTTGTTCGGTTAAAAAGAGCACCAATTAACGGATACTCGTTTAATTCGTTCAATTACATGAATCCTAATCAGTCAAAAAATGTATAAGTAACAAAAACAAGACAATGCACTTATATATTTACCAATAAAAATATGTATTTTCCATTTGGTGATACCAGAGATTATTTGCTAACAAACTTTTTTTTCGCTATTAACCGGGGGAAATTACAGGTAAACTTTTTGTCAATAATACATATTTTTAACTAATTATGCGGGGAAACCTATTAAATTGGAAAATTTACTCTTTTTTGAATGCAATATATTTTTGACCGATCAGATGATTCAAATAAGCGGGAAAATCAATTAGCCGGGGGCCAATTAAGCAGGGAATACTGTATAAAAATAAATGGTAAAAGTTTACAGAGCGAGTTCTCCAAAAAAAAAATATATATATTCCTGGTCGAAATATAGTGTTTTAATAATTTTAGTATATTAACCTTTTATAGACTGTATATTAACGGTTTTCCCATTTATCGATGACTGTAAATACTTAGCCAACAAGAATTATTAATTTTTAATAAAATAATGTTTAAAAAAAAACCATCTCTTAAAAAATCGGTCCATTTTTTGGATAAGCCGTCCTTATAAACGTTTTTTTTTTTATGTATTAAATATTTGTAAATGAAAATGTTCGTTTAAAACTTGATATAGGAGTTAAGGGAGTAAGTTTCATTGGGCAAACAAAGAGGTAATTAGTGTCGTGCGGGCAAGGATAACATGATACGAAACTCATTGATTCGAGAGAGAGCTGTCAAACCCCATATTTTTAAAACATTTGTTAATCATGCCACAGTCGAAAGCAAATGGATTGCATTTTTAAAAAATAACTTTTGGGTATTTAGCATTTCGATATTGTTTTTAGGGGCTCGGTTCCCGAGTAGTCCTATATCACTAATATAAATCCTTGAAATACTAATAAAAAAATATATAACAAAGAAACAATACAAGTCATAATAAAATATCATGGTTTTAGGATTAACGTTTTAAATTAAATTAGCTAAAAAGCTTTAGTTAGTACGTTATTCAAAAGTATTTGGGTCGTTCCTTGAAATCTCGTTTCGCACTGCTTTTGTTTGGTATTTTTAGCGGGTTTATTTCTGGCATCCCGCCTGCTGATATCAGCTTTTCAAAATTACCTAATCTTCATAATCAGGGAAAGAGAATGACAGAAAAATTAGGGAAAATGAGAGAGTCTCGTATCATGTCATCCTTGGTGCGGGGACTCGTTGCAGGCAGGACATAGATTTGGTATGTCGGAGTCTAGTCTGGCTAAGTAGGAGTTTAACCTGCTACAGTACACAGAACGAAGAAGCGAGTCCCCGAGCGAGAGAGAGAAGTGTATTATGGTCCTTTACAGGTATCATGCAAGCCTCGCTGTATAAATGTTTGATTGGAGACATCAGGAGGCGTCCTGTTGTAGTCTGGAGTGGGGTGTTCTGGCAAGTCTGAATCTTCTCCATCTTCGTCCTGCTTTAACCAGGCGATCATATTGGGACGGCGTAGTTGATGACCGGCTAGCCGATTGCTTTGTATATTGCCAACAACATTTTTTGTCCTTGTTCGAAGAGCTGCCGGCAGGCGACTTGAGGATCACCTCTCTGTATGCTTCTGAATCCAATCATAAAACAGCCCTTTTTCTGTAGACCAACACTGCTTGAACAGCTCGTTTCCTATCAGAATAACCGGTTCTACATCAAACACTTAAAATAAAAAATAACGCTAACTTCGCCCCGAGCACCCTTCACAAATAAAAAAGTTTCCAAACAAGAACTTGTTTATGATCGGTCAGTTTGTATGGCAACTCTATGCTATAGTGGTCCAATCTGAAAAAAACACTTATTCAGAGATTGTAGCATTGCTTTAACCAATAATGGTTGTCAAATTTCGTGAAGGTCAGTTTGTTCAAGTGAGCAGCTTCTTGGTGAGAAAAGGACGTGTGCAAATATCTATCTCAGAAACTCCGACGTTTTCTTCTGGGTGTTACAAACTTCCTGGAAAACCTAATATACCCTATCCAGTGTATAAAAAAGTTTCCAAGATCAGTCGGTACGACAACACCCCGCGAACTATAATATTTTAAGCTGTATAAAAATTTTTTATAACTTTTGTAAAACTCAGGTAATTTGATGATTTGCAGGAAATAAAATATTAATGCATTTTTTTTAATTAAGTTATTTTTCTTCTTTAACACTTCATAAATTTTGAATAATAAAATGGTTTTGAAAATCTCCAAGAATTACACAAGCTTTTTAGAAGATGTCGTCCATCCATATAAAATATGTCATATGAAAATTAAATGTCTTAAAATTTTTGCTAACAAAACAAATATATTAATCGTAAATTTGTTATAAGACTTAACCGAAAAGATTGTTTACTTCCCTAATAAATGCCAATTCCATGATATTTCCCCATTAAAATCTGAGAACTGCAGGTCTATTTTGCTCTCCGATTTGTTTTCAATAATTATTTAATTTATGTTTATATTTCGCAAGAAATAAAAAGTTTAATTCTGGTCCCTTGCGAAAAAGTACTTTTGTCTGTTTTACTTGTAGTTTTCTTACGTTTTTTATTTAATGATTTATTTATTCAACTATTCTTAAAATCAACCAAGCTATAATGATACAGAAATTTACAAATTTTCAAGTATGTTTGCAAAGCTTTGGTTATTTGGAAAAACCGTACTTACCTTTTTTGCAATCAGCTGATACGTTTTATCAGCTTCATTTTCGGCTAAGAAAATAAGTCGGTATAAATCCCAATAACAGCTGATTCACTGATTGTATACATATACATGTATGTATATAACATTTTATGTATATGTTTATATGATATAAATATTTGTTGCTGTTAATTTTTAATTTGACAGTCGTCTTTAACTCGAATTGTCGAAATATATAAACGCAAATATGTATACAGTTTTAAGAAGAGGACTACATTAAAGAACTTTCTATGTGAAATGTCATTTAGATTCAAAAATGTTATTAGTACATACAATAATTAAGCTTAAACAAATTCTTAACCAAAAACTTGTGAAAATTAACTTAAAGTCAACAGGATATTAAAATTTCTCTGCATTCCTTTAGAGAACTTAATCACTCACAAAATAGTACTCTCTCACTAACAGCCGCTGTTAATTGCATTTGTGCTAATGTAGGGTAGATAGAGACAAATGCATTTAACTCTGTTCGTTGCAGTCGTTCAGTCTGCTGCAACGCGCTGCAATACTCGTATAATTTCACTGGTATAACACTGGCTCAGTCGCAATTTCCCTCTGAAGATATTTATTTGCTACGGATAACCGTTGACGAAAAACAACGATAAAGAGAACTGTCAGAAACATCAGTCAAATCTGAATGCACAAAGTAAGAGGAGAATAAAGTGAAATTCACTCAGATGAAGAGACATCGTGAAAGCGGAATACAAGATAGAAGTATTCGGTTTGTATTTTTTTTGTTTAATAAACAATTTTGCATGGTTCGCGAATATAAATTTTACCAAAACAAACTATCTATAAAAGCAAATTTAAAGAAAAACAAGAAACATTGGAAGCATACTAAATACAACAATAAGAAGATAAAAAGTAAAATAAGTGGACAACAATAGAAAAGGTGTTAACACGAATGCGATACCGAAACCCCGACGAGGCAGTGATAAATAAAGAAAAGAGTTACATATTCCCAATGATAAATTAAGTCAATCTACCAGTTATATTTTCAAACGTAAAATATTATATTATGTTTTAATATGTGATGAAAAGTGCAAAGTTTTGTGAAATTTAAAGTAGACGAACTAAACAATTTGGCAAATAAACAACAGCGACGACGAGAGAAAAAATGATGGAACCAGCATGGTATGTTGACAGGACATTGGTTTGATTGAAGTTAGGGGTTGTGGTATTGCCACCTAATTAAAACTTCTAAAATGATAAGTTTGCAAAATTTGTTAACTAACTAAATAATTATAACCGTTCCAAATTGAGTTTTGTTTGTGATAACAATAATAAAAATGGATACAAAAATAGTTTAAGCATTGAGAGAAGTACAAAATATTATAACCAATATTGTAATAAATATTTTTTTATAAAAAACAAAAATAAAAAAAAAATTAATCAAAAGTTGACTACAATGTCGTAGAGCTTTCACAGGCCAATTAAAAAATGTAACCTCATAGATACCTTATTAGCCCCACGAAAATCCTTATTACATTTCAAACTAAACTCATACACTTTGACGTTATAAATCATGTTGAATGTAACATTTAGAATTAATAAAATGTTAGTTTTACTTTGCGACAAAGACAGCTTCTGTAATGTTATCTCATTGGTGTTATAAATATATTTGTTGGTATGGTAAAAATTATATAATAATTTCGTTAGAAATATAGCATTTTATCAGAATGAATAAAACTAATTTGAAATTAATTTAATTGTTAGTCTTTAGTGGCAACACTAATTTCTTCGTGCTGAGTGAGAGCGAAGAAAAGATACAAAGGCGAAATCATGAAAATCGTGTCAAATGCAAACATTGCAAAACTTTTTTGACATTTTCATAAAGAAAAATCTTTTTAAAGGTATTATTTTAAAAGAAATACGTGAGTGCATCAAAAATATTTATGAATGCTTTAAATATTGCTTTAAGCTGTGTGTAAAATATGACCGTCGCAAATGTGCTTTTGTTAGGTCAGAAGTATAAAAGCGTAAGGGATATAAGTTACGCGATATGCATTGAATTGGTTAAAATTTAAGGTGAAAACAAAATATCCTTCAAAAGAAAAAAAAATATGTGTAACAAAATTGAGCTAAAATTATATATTGTCCAATATTATGCACTGAATTCATATAAATGTGTATGTGTTTGCGTGCAGAAAACAAATGTAACATAAGAATTATGCAAAAATAATTTACCACTTTTGTTGAATACATTGTAATTTCAATACTTTATAAAATATGTGCTATTCCCTCTGCTATAATTATAAAAACTGTTGTTCATATTTTCATAATTTAGCAAAGTTAATTTTAATATATTAATCTATCATTTTCCTATTCCATTTTCAGATTTCATTAACAAATGAAGAGCAAAACAAACCAAAAAAGCAAAAGAAAACGGTTAACAAGCAATTAATACAAATGAAAAAAGGGAAGCAGTAGTTATAGTATAAAAAAGGAATTGAATAAAATCAGACAGTTTGTCAAAAATTGGTAAAAGAATATCTTGTAATTTGAAGGAAGTTGGTGTACAAGAAAAAGTAGAAGGAAACTACGAAGAAGGCGTACACATAAAAACGGCTGTGGAGCGCAATTCACTCCAGGCTCAGTAGCACCTTCAAAAGGTTAAATAAAAAGACAACTACAAAGGAAACGGCATACCTCTAATAATTTAACAAAAATATATAAAATCGAACAAATTTAAAAGCTACATAAATATGTATATTAAAAGACTAAATAAAATATAAATAAAAAATTACTTAATCAAGAGAGGGGAAAAGTGAAAAGTGCAACATAGAGGCAATGTGACATACTGTGCCACCTACCCACCATAATTTGTTAGCATTAGTAAAAATAACTTATTCTACACAAAAACATCCTAACTAAGCAACAAGAGTAGAGGTTATTATTCATCAGACTTGCCACTATGCCAGCACTAACTCAAGAAACAACTAAGCGAGAAACATTAAACAAAAACGTTTTAATAGCCAGTGTCATTGCTAATACGCCAAGGCATAAGAACTTTTATTTAACTAAGTAAAATAATCTATGTACCCCATTAAAGTGAAATCCTTCGGACTGCATTTTCCGCGCCATTAAGTTATTAACTTGTTGAATTGTGTAAATTAATAATGCACGTTAATAAACAAGAAATATAGAAAGCGTTGCAAATACTACGTCATTCCTATAGACTGAAGTAAACCCTTTGATTACTATAACAAAATTTATGCTTGAGTCGAGTGAGTACCGAGTATTTGTAACCAAAATAACTAAACAAACTTGCTGTTAAATACGTGTGTTAAATTCAAGAAGACAAATAGCCGACTGATTTAATGCACATTGCGACAAAATTGAATTTAATTTGAATGTCGTCGGTGATTAAGTTTTATTATAATAGGAAGGACTTACTGGCACCATGCAAAGCTTGGATTCATCATGTCAAGAAGCTGATGTAAGTAACAATAGGTTGTTAAATATATATTAATATATATAGAATATTAATGTTTTATTTTTATTACTGTTTGTTTTGAAATTGCAGTTTATAATAAATGACACGCTTAAAAAGCTTAAAGGCTCCAACACTAGCATAAATAGCAACAGCAATTCGACAACTACAGCTTTAACATCGTTGAACTCAAGCGGTAGCAGTAGCAGCATACTGAGACATCAACATCCTCACCAGCAGCTTATCTATCAACAACACACTTCTATTCCTCAACAAAGCAAGCAGCCGCAATACTCACATTATCAGCAGTTACAGACAGCACTGCAGTGTCCTGCACCGTCACCGCAACCACAACAGCTTACAACACCACCGCCACCACCAGCACCGTTGAGCAGCGTTACATTTCCTACGAAAAGTTCGTTGCTTGACTCCAGTCTGCTACATTGTAACATCACACAGATTCCTAGCCAACCACCGTATTGTATTTTCGACGATGGAACTGAATCGCCCAGTGAAGTTCCGCCTGCTGAAATACTCGCAACTAGTAGTAGCAGTAATGTTGGTGGTGGCAGCGGTAATATCGGTAGCTTGGACGGAATTGTACTACTTGCAGAACCATCTGCGACAGCATCAACGTATGCAAATGCTTCGTCGGCGGTGCCATCTCCATCATCATGCTCATCATCCACAAATCTTTCCAACTTTAATTCTATCACTTCACCTTCGCCGGTAGTGCCCGATTTATTGTTATCAACACCACCGGGCGTAAATTCCTCATCATCACTTGGCGATTCAACTGCTAATAACGCTTATGGTGGTATCGGAACAAATGCATTTCTAACATCTTTAACGCAGTCATCACAATTTTCCACAACAGCAACGCATCAAAGCAACAATAATAATATTACAATAACCAGTAATAACAATAACAAAAAGGCTGATAAACGTCCTTCCGCGTCTTTAAGTACTCAACAACAACAACAACAGCACATCAATCATTCACACCATCACCAACACCACTACCAGCAATCATCGACGCATCATCATCCACCGCAGCATTTGTTAAATGCATCGTCGCCATTGGCAGGTGTGGTTGCATCTTCGTCGCCCACGTCTTCGCCTAGTAAGCGGCAAAAAATTTCTAAAGATGCCACAAGCCGATCATCACCATCAACATCAACGACGCGTGCGTCAACTAACAAGCGCGATGGCAACAACACTGTGCCAACTAGTAGCACAACAACAGGAACATCTAATACTAGTGGAACAACAACGTCGTCAGGGTCATCTAAATTTTTCAACATACACGATAAGATTCGAGAGAATTATTTACAATTGCTGGCTAATGATTTGAATGCGTTTACGGAAACTGGGGTAAGCATCTGTTCTACTATCAGGCTTGCGAGTTTGTTAATTGAAATTTCCAATGTTGGGATAAAAAACTAAGTCCAATTTTAAATTTTTAATCCCAACAGCAAAGAAAATTTTTCTTAAAATTCAATTCTAAATTTTTAATCCCAACAACTTTTTAATTTAATAGAAAAAAATTAAAAATTTAATTTTTAATCCCAAACATCATGGATAAAAAACTGAGAATATATAAATAAGACAAATGAACTAAACTATAACTGTTCTATATTTCATTAAAAATAAGCTTTTTTTTCAAAAACATAACCTATATGGTAGAACACGAAGTACGCAAACGCCAAAAGATAAAGATCTAAGCCGATTTCTCTTTTAATTTTTAATAATATTAATTTTTATAACTCTTATTTTGAGAAAAAAAAATTTTATAATCCGGTAGTTGGGATTAAAATTATCTTTAAATAAGATTTTCGGGATTACAAACTAGAAAAAAATATTAATTCATATAGTAATTAATTATTTTTTAATACGTTATTTGCAACGTTATCTACTATAATATAACATGATGTGGTTTTGTAATTTAGTGACTTCTAAATTATCTAATGTTAGTGCGTGAAGTAACTAAATTATTTATACAATGGAAATAATTAGATATCATCATCTAAAAAAGCTTTTTTTTTTTTAAATTAATTAAATTAAAATTATAATTATACATTTCTTACATTTTGCAGCTCAAACAGCGTTCACGTGCTTTTGTTTTGGAACGTTTAGTAGAGAGTGAAAAATTAAACACAATCGTTGTAAACCTATACCCGGGTAATAAAGGATACTCATTAGCGTTACATTACGATGAGCGGCAGTTGTTGACTCCTAACGGTGAATTAGTACATAGTGGCGAGGGGTCCGGCAATGTACCGGGCGTTAGCGGTAATGATAGCGGTCTAGCTAGCATGAGTATCAGCTCATCTGCCAACACATATAGAGGTGCTTCTAGTCGCAACACAAGTAGCAGTAACAGTAGTAGTAAGCTGAGTTTGGCCTCCATACCGCCCGATTTGAAATGCGGCACCGACTTGGACAGCGCAGCGGAGTTGAAGCTAAAAGCAGCCGGCAGGACTGATGATTATAGCCAACAACATGAGTATGCTTTAATCGAAGTATTGCGTTGGCCCTACGAGAATGATCAGTTGCTGCAGTGCATCGATCGAGAGGTAATACCGGACTTTCTAGTTGACATGTTGAATGCACCTAGCCTCACACTGAACGCTTCTCAAGATGATAGCGAACCTGCACGTACCTACGCCAAGCCGAATGTATTTTACGCTGGGTGTGTGATTGCGCAAATACGCGATTTTCGACAAACCTTCGCTATTTCGACGAATATCTGTGATACGAAACACGTCCTCCTGCGCCCCACAAATGCTACCATATTTTCGGATGTCCAGCATTTGGCAAGCACAACGAATATGAGCATAAATCCAACAATACCCTCAGCGGTTGGTGCGGCAATTTGTGGAGCAGAGGACAAACTACAACTAGAAAGTCAGTTGGTGTTGGCCACTGCGGAACCATTGTGTCTAGATCCCGATCCCAACATTGGACGTTTCGCCATCAATGCACAGAATGCACGTCAACTATTTAATACACATGAGTTGCGGCGTCAAATGAAGAAGTATACACAGATATCGATAAATCGAAAACGGAAATTGGATCAGTTCACACATCATTACGGACTGGAGTTGTGTGATTATTTGACGCGTTTACGTGCCAGACCACGTACCAGCAGTAGTGCAAATGCCAATACTACATCGGCAACAGCACCCAGCAATAATCCTTTGGTGAGTGCTATGCTCACGTCATTCTCGTCGAAAGTACCACGGCGACCGCGTGACGTCATACGACCTATACGACCGCCACGTCTGGAGTATCCAGCGAATCTGAAGGTGCCCGAGCAGCTAATTAGTGTGGAAAAGTATGCCAAAACGTATGAACGGCCACGCGAAACAACCGATTGCCAACCGCAACTGATCGAGGAGTATGTGCTGGAAACCGAACGCGAAGAAAATGCTGGACGTCGTGTGATATATCACATAAAACTTTCGATTTTCCAACGACCCTCAAATTCTGAGTACCTGGGTGAGCTATATGTTGATCGTGATTATCGTGAGGGTGAACGTAATGGCGAGTCGTGTCGCTTTTCGTTGGGTACACGCATACATGCGAATCGTTACATACAACAATTTACGGAGATTTTCACCGAAGAGGGGCGAAAGGCGGTTAAAATCACGCATCTGATGCCGGGCCACTTGCCTAAGGTAACGCATACGGGGATAACACCGGAACAACGACAGGCCTTGTTGCTGCAACAACGGCAGGCTGCTCTATTAGCAGCACAACAACAGCAACAGCAACAACAGCATGTGCAACATGCTTCTAGCGCAAATGTGAGTGCTCAACACGTGACCGTTGCAGCAGCAACAACGGGTATAAATCAACAGCCGCAGCAGCAACAGCAACAGCACGTTGTGCTGGTAGGACCGAACGGACAGCAGCAACACATATTGCCCGCCACTGTGCAGCATATAAACACTGTCGGTCTTCAACAAGTGTCACAAAGTGTTTGCGGCGTGAGCGGTAATGTGCAACAACAGCAGCAACATATTGCTATTACACCAACTGGCAGCAATTTGTCTAAAAACATTAATATTGTCGGCTTAACAGCCAGCAATGCGGCCGCGGTTCAGCAAGTATTGCGTCAACAACATCTGCAGCAGCAGCAGCAACAACAACAGCAAATTACAACACAATTTATTGATGCGAACGGCTCAACGATGCATGTACAGACGAGCGGTGTGCATGCGCAGCAACAACAACAAACACAACACATACAACTACATTCGGTGGGCGGTGGTAACGCGCACACTACAACGCAACTCAGTCTCAGCAATGGTTCTCTAGTGTTAGTGCAACAACATCCCATAACGCAAAGTCAACAACAACAACAACAGCAGACACAAACACTGCAACATGCCGGCATCACTATACAACCTGCCAACGTGCAACAACAACAACAACAGCAGCAGCAACAACAACAACAAAAGACTCAGGTTATCACGGCGGCTCAATTGAATGCCGTTGCTGGTGCAAATTCAGCGCTGCGCACACAACTCAGTTCTAGCGTGCCAATATTGGTATGTTGCTCAATGCATTTTTATTTACTTATTGCCAAATATTTCGTGTTTTAACTTACATACTACACTTACAATTGTAGCAAGCACAGTTGAAGGCCGCGCCATTACTCACTGCACAGCAGCAACAGCAGCTTTTGCATAAATCTGCACAACAACAACAACAGCAACAGAGTACTGCCAGTAGTAACAATAGTAGCAATTCCACTACATTACACACAAATCCTGAGATAAATGCAATATTCACCAACATCATGAACAGCGCCAATCAGTTTCAACAACAAAAACAACAACAGCAGCAACAACAACAACAGCAACAGCAGCTGCAGCAATCCTGTAAATATTTACCGCCATACACCTATGTAATATGCAATTTTTATCACTATTGATTAATTGTAGCAAACAACACTGTGAGCAGTAGCAGCAGCAATGTGAAGAATAGCAGCAACGCTTCCATACGCAGCTTGCTGAATAGCGCACCTGCCGCCATGACAAGTACACCTGTGGCAAGCGGCACTTTCACCACTTCCTCTGGCCAACATCAGACTGTCACCTTGGTACAACACACAACTTCTACACCTCAACAACAACAACAGCAGCAGCAGCAGCAGCAACAACATCAAACCATCGTTAGTGGCGATAGTTTTGTCCAGGTGACAACGCAGCCAACCACTGTCGCAGCGGCAACCACAACCGTACAACAGCGCAAACCGACCAACAATGAAGTGCTGCAGAATCTCTTGCATACTAATCGTAAATTTAACATTGTCACCAGCGGTGGTAATATTGTAACTGCCAGTACTGGCGGTACTACCTTCCGCACTGCAGCCGGTAATTTGGTTGCTGTAAATCTGAATCAAGCCACACAGCATCAAAATCAAGCGGATGGCCAGCAATCGCAACAACAACAAACGACCGGCACACAAGCGCAGCAAACACATCAAACGGTACGCGTTTCAATGTCGGCGCTCGCCTCACAGTTAGCCTCCCCGCCAGCCATTATGACAAATCCAAATTCGGCAAACTTTGGCTACTCTGTAAATACGTTAGGCGGTAGTGGTGGTGCAGTGAATGCAGTAAGCGCTGTTAGTGGTGCAACCGGCAATAGCATCAAAATACTCAATAGTGGCGTGCAGCAACAGCGCGTGGCACTGGCAAATGCATTGCGGCGCGACTCGAGCAATACGGGTGCGCCGCCAAATGCAATAGTTGTTGGTGTGGCGGCACCTTCGCCGGGCAGTGATTCGAATGCATCGAATGCTAGTGGTTTCGCCGTGCCACAGCCAACTAGTGCCACCAACTCGGTGGGCACTGCAACCAGTTTGACGTTGCTCGGTGCGGCCACACCATCGCCATCTGGTTCGGATCATTCGCAGTCATCGCAAACGCAGAATCAAGTGTTGCTTGAACGTTTACACAACAATAGCGCCACTACAGCGACAGCGATACCAAATATGTCGCCACAACAGCAATCACACGCACATACCCAGTATCTAACGAAAACGCTGGTGCAATCGCCAGCTGCTGCTACATCCATACACTCACCTATGTCTAGTCCACATCCACAGCCATCACCCTCGCCACAGCATCATCATCATCAGCAGCAGCAACAACAACAACAGCAATCTACTGCCTCCAATGCCACCACCACATTAAACTTACAAGGTATTAATCTATTGCAAGGCGCTATAGCCAATTTCCCCGGCCTGCAGAATGTACAACTACAAATACCGGGCTTAGCGCAACCGCTCTCATTGCAATTGCAATCTGCTGTACAACAACAGCCACAACAGACATCACAAACGAATGCTGCTACTGTTTCATGTGTAGTTAGCGGCGGCGGTGGTGGTGGCAATGCTAGTGGTGGTGTGGCTGTTTCATCCAACAACAATGTTGCTGGTAGCGCCGGCAGCAGTGGTATGGGTCAGCAAACACATATACAACAACGCAGCTTATTGGTATCAGTTCCTGTCTCAACACACAGCCAACAGCAACAACAACAGTCGACACAACAACAGCATACGATAACGCTGCAAGCGGCAACGGGGACGCAGCAAACACAAAATCACGTGCAACATGTTGTACCGCCCACGGGTACAATTGTGAATCTGCCAACTGGCGGCACTGCCACAACTGCCGGCACACAAACTGTAGTGCTAACGAATACTGCGACAGGTGGCGCAGGTGCTGCTAGCAATGTGGGTAATGCAGCGGGTGGTGGCGGCACTACAACAACAATGCTAACCTTGCCAATTGGTGAGTACAATTTGTAGTACTTAATTAAATGTATTACATTTCGACAAATTTTCGCCAATTTGAAAACTTACAAAGTGTACTTGTTAGGGAAAAAGAATAGAGTTCCTCTTAATTATTAGTATATATGTATGCATATAATAATTCAGTATACTCTGAAGCATACTATGGTTAAATAGTATGATTCATGATTATGCGACGCATTGGTTGCGCAATGTCTGTGTGCTGTCTCGACCTCACAGTCGATACCAGAGATAAAAAGATGCCCAACTCGTCTCTCACTGGAAATGAGAGCGCAATTGCTAAACGTCAAAACCTCCTGAACTCAAGCGACTGTCAAAGTTCAGGAGGTCTGACGTTTAGCAATTGGAAAAAGAGGGACGACCAGACTGAAATCCTACAGAAAAATATGTCAACAGAGAGATTTTTTGCCGCTGTTAAAGATCACTAACAAAAATTGAAAGAAAACGCGAAATTGAAATGTATGTGATGAAATCTTTTGTGATACCATGCTTAGTAGTATTGACTTTCAATTAAAAATTATAAAAAACATTTATTCATTGAGAGCTAATACATTTATTCTTTTGATTAAATATTGAAAGTTTAAAAATCAAAAGTTTTAATATATGACAAAATCACAAAAAAAGGTTTAAATAGTTTCTGCATATGTTTAACAGATACATGTATAATAATATTTAATCTAAATAAATGTTAGGTATTTTAATTTTAATGCCCTAAAGTTATTATTTTGACTGATCTGGCTATAATGCAAAATGTTATAAAAAACGCTCATTTTGAGGCGCTCTCACACTGGAAAGAGTTGGGCTTCCCATTATCCCTGGTCGATACCGTATGCATTGGCAAATGCATATATTGATATAAGTAGGCGTGATTGTTAAGTTAAATTTATTGTTATTGTTCGCTAAATGCTGAATACATATTTATGTGGTAATTCAAAAAGATTTCGAAATATATTTACTCCTAAATTTTTCATGTGCCAACAGCAGTCAAGTCTACGTAGCCGATCGTAAGCGATTCCCCCAAAATAGGTCAACTTGGCAGCATTCGTCAAAACTAATTAAGGAATGTTTTCTACACCTACAATAAAACTATATAGAAGACAAAAAATAGTTAAAGCAAAATAAACTTATTGTGTTATTTCGATTAATCAGAAATATATTTGTAAGTAATTTGCATTAACTAAAATACCCCACCATAAGAAACAATTTGTATGCCCTGAATAGCGTATCTTAAAATTACCACGATGTTTTTTAACACTCAGAGAGAAACGCCGGAGACTCTTTAAAGTATTGTATATATATAAATGATCAGCGTGGCGAGCTGAGTCAATTTAGTTGTAGCGGCAGAAACAACAGCAATTTCGAAGAATGGTGCCGAGTTGACAACCCTTGGTCGGAAAAAATCAATGTCCGTTCTGGTTACTTAAACCCAACTGTCGTGGGAACGGGAGTCGATTTAGTCATGTCCGTCTGTCTCTATATACGCAAAATAGTCCTAAATTTTCGAGATATCGATTCGAAATGTTTCACACGTCTTTATCTCCCAAAGAAGCTGTTCATTTGTCAATATGCCAATATTGGACCACTATAGCATATAGTCGCCATACACACTGACCGATAAAAATCATGTTCTTCATGGAAAACTTTTTTATTTGACATGATGTCTTCACAAAAAAAGGCTAAGATTATTTTCCCAAGCAAGGCTACAATCTCCGAGCATACTGTTCGTACATATCGAATTGCTTTAGCATACAGTTATCATCCGACCTGACCAATCAAAATCAAGTCCTTGTATGGAAAATTTTTTTATTTGAGAATTTTTTTTTTAATTCATCAGAGATTATTGTCCAACGCAACGCTACAATCTCCGTGCAAATTTTTCAGGTCGGACCACTATAGCATATACAGTTACTGACAATAAAATATAATCAAAGTTTCATTCACAACTATTTGCAAAAAAAGTGTTACCACAGTTCTTAGGAGGAAACAATTATTTTTTATAGTAAAACATTTTAAACATTTCAAAAGCAAAAATAACTTAATCAGATTTGTTAAGGAATCCAAGACAGAATTGCTTAGTTGTCAGAATTGCAAACCATTTGTGGTTTTCAATGATGTCTCAGAAAGAGAGGATTTTCGGCTTTTCGAATCAGCTGTTTACTAAAGTGAAAAAACTTGCAAATGAATAAGTTTGAAATACTTAAAAAAGTCTCCTGAAGTTTACAATGAGTGCCGCTATTTTAGCTTTTATTTTATTGAAAGAAAAAAGTAACGAAAAAATTTAAAGGAAGATATAAAGAGATCACAATAATCCACTTGACCTTACAGATTTATATCACATTATTGACTGAATAAAGACGCATTTGAGTGTTAAATTACGTTTTGTAATCCTCTTAAAATATCTGGATTTTTTCATAAACTTATTAATTATGACAATTTGTGTTTTATTCTTATGCAAATTCTATAGAATTAAAGATAAGTTAAATCGTGACAATAATATAAGTTTATTTCTTAATTTATATTTCAAATCAGTCAGCGACTATCCCCTTGCTTTGTCTGATAACAAAACCGGTAAAATTGGTTTCGTGACACCCAAAACCGATACAATTTTTGTTTCGAAAGTCAAACCAATAATATCTGAATCCATGTCATCTACTACATTTTTTTTATCGCTTTCAATTCTGATTCCGACAACTATCAGTTTCTACAACACCCCTAAATATAAATTTAAATATTATCAGCAGACAACTTTAAGGGAGCTGTCAGGAACTTCAATTGACAATACAATAAAATCATGGAAACAAAACTCGTAAATATGGTAGTAGACTATTATAACTAAAAATGCATACAAGTTAGAATTTTGTTGCAAAACGTTTATTTGCGAGTACGGCTGTGCAGATAGGTTCCAGTAGAGTTTTACAGACTGAATTCCGTACTGAATACCACGCCTCTTGGACTTTTTACCATAGTTCTTTTTTATTTTGTGGTTTAATGGTTTTTTTTTACAATCTTCTACAGAATTTAAATTCGGAGATTGCGCCGGCCAAATCATAACGTCAATTCCTTGATCCTGTAACTAAGTCTTGACCAAACCCGAGGTATACTTCGGGACATTGTTATGCTGGAACTGCCAAACTAAAGGCATGTTTCAATCAACATAAGGTAGCAGTCCATCTTCTGAAATGCTAAGGTTGTGAAAACGATTCATGTTCATGATTTCCCAAATTCAAAATAGCGGTCCAACTCCGTACCAAGAAAAACATCGCCATGATATTACCACTTCCATGTTTGAAAGTTTTTGTCGCGTATCGGGGATTTATTTTAGCATTCTTGCTAAGTCCTTCTAAGAAAGTCGAACCCAATCTTTTCCTTCGCTACCTACCATATTTATTTTAGACTTATCGGACCAAAAGATCTTACGTCTCATTTTTTTTTTTTTTTTTTTTTTTGTGGAACTTTTCGAAGAGATTCCCAATTCTCATTGAATAACGAGATAGCTATAGAGAACTTCAAAGGATCGCGTTTTGAAAAAAGCTCTATTTAATTGTCATCCAAAGACGTCAGTTTTTGTGGTCGTCCCCTCAATTAACATTCTTTTGGAGGTTTCAAAACAGTAAAAACAAAAAGTAAAATGTAACAAACTACTATCATGGTCTTTTAAAAGATAAAAATATAAAAATTGTAGGAATCGATTACAGGCATCGTATCGGATATCTATCCGACAAATAATAAAGATTGTTAGTTATTTCGGAACCATCTATTTCATTCTATTTTGTCGTCAGTAACTGTAGCTGCCATACAAACTAACCCATCGAAATCAAGATAAGCTCTGTATACCCGTTTATGCAATAAGAAATGCACATGTGGAGAGTATTATATTTAGATTCGATGCAGCCGAAGTTAACATTTTTTCTTGATTTTTCTTTATTTCTAAGATAGTTTAATTAGAAATGTGTAACCCAGATTATAACTACAATATAATTTTAATCATATACATATATATAATATATATCTATAGGTCTTCTTTAATATATTTGTGCATACATACATATATATATATATTATATATATTTATATATGTTTGCTTAGATGAGAATCACTTATGAATATTTTTCGCCCAAAAGAAAACCACTAAACTCTACGATTCTACAAAAAAATATTCCAATCAACTTGACGAAATTACACTAATTCTATTTTCTTTTCGCATTTTTCATTCCTTACGTACGAAAATTCCATGCTCCTATCCTCGAACATACTTCTTATATCCTACAACACAATTATCACTATTATTCACCTACAAACTTACACTGCACGTTATCACTGATTGTATAAAACACAATTACACCGTTAACAAAAATGAAAAAAAAACAGTATAAAACTATTACAAACGAACATATGACGTCATAAATCCCTAGTAGAGGTGCGCTCCCAATAATTTTGCCATATGTAAACAAACAGGCACATATAAAATATTTATTTGATATCAAGAATACTAAATACCCACAAGCAAGCACTTGAAAACATACAAACTCTAGCATTTCGTTGTCCTTATCCGATTCACATGTATTTTCGTTTCCCTACAAACATCGGTGCACTCATCACATATTTTACTAACATTTTAAATACTCATTAAGTGTTTATTCCCCCCCACAAAAAAAAATTGTGTATATATATAAATGTTTTGTGTACATATTTAACAAAAGAACAAATAAATTTATAAATAACCTAGCGTCAGTCAATCAATCAGCCAGCCAATTCATTTAACCAATAAATCAACAACAACAAAAAATCAAAACAACAACCCGCGTACTTCCCCTTTCAATTCCAGCTCAATTTGTTGGTCCCGGTGTACAAAAACTCAATCCTCAAACAATTCGTACCTCAAGTGGTGGTGGTGGTGTTGCAGGTGGCAGCATAGTTCTTCAGCAGCAACAACAACAGCAAGTAACGCAACAGCAAGGACATCAATCGCAACAACAGCAAACAACGACAATAAATGTGAGTGGCGTTGCGTCAGGTAACAGTGCGACTGGTGGCAGCAGCATAGTCAACAGTGGTCAGCAGACGGCAATTCAATTGGTCGGCACCATACAGCAACGACCGCGCAACATAGTTGTCGGCACGAAGCAACTAAGCGGCGCACAACGGCAATTAATTGCAACGCAAAGAAATATTGGCGGTTCCACGCTGAAAATCGCCACAACGCCAATAAATGGTAAGAAATTTTTAAACAGAGCATATTTATTATTTATTCAAAGAAACTTCTGTAATTGTGAATTGATGTTGTGTAAAACTCCTATAGAAATCAACAACTTAATATGAAGCAGCTCTAAATGTATGGTAAAATAACTTAGTTCACATAAAAAGCTTTTGGCTTTTGGTTTTTGGTTCAGCTACATATATATTATATATAGTTTTTATACCGTCGCATTCCCATGTCTATAATAGGTATATTTCTACTGTGTTTGTGTAGCAGCACAGAGAACTTTCCCGAACTCCGTATCCTCCTAACCCGTGCTGGCATTGAGTCCAACCAAGAACCTCTACGGTCCCACGGAGCTCAACAAGGCAGCATGACTTCCAGTCTGACATATCCATAATATGCAGCATACATATATATTATATATAACATAGCTATCCGATCAGGCGATGTCGATAATAGGTGCACTGCTTCGTGACGAGAACCGATTGGTACTTGGCGACTTTAACGCGCACCACGATCTATGGCACTCCTGCCTGTCGAGCGATCGTAGGGGATGGAGCTGGCGAAACAGATAGACGAATCGACATTCTGCACATTGAATGACGAAGCTCCCACCAGAATTATGGGCAACTGTAGCAGCTCGCCTGATATCACCACTAGCGATAGTGGCCTGATAATTAGCATAATCTGTCGATCTATGCTAACTCTAGCATCAGACCATCTGCCCATAATTATCTCGATCGAAAACCCCTCCCGACTTTATTTCTGTGGACAACCGCATCTACGTTAACTTGAACAAAGCTAACTGGATTGATCGAGAGCACTTTCAACGCTGTATCCATTTCGTATAATCGCCGTATAAAGGATCTCAATTTGGAGATTCGACAACTGGTAAAACAACATAAGCGAACGAAATGAGTAGAGTTCCTGAATTAATGCCTCCGCAAAAAAAAAACCTCCGCCGGAGTGAGCAAGCTTTGGAAAACTGTACAATCCCTGTCCAACCCGAGGAGACACGACGATGACCGTGTCGAAAACAACTCTACGGTCGTGCCTCCTCTGACCCGAAGAAGTGCGCAAGCTATTTTAGCACGCAATTTATACTGCACCCTTCGGAGGATAAGGCGAAACTATGTGTTACCCGACGGCTGCGCAAAATATCAAAAGACTGCGCACCACTTGCTTTCACCGTCGAGGAGGGGCTGAGTGCCAACAAAAAAGCTAAGACATCCAAATCCATCGGCCCAGACGGAATGAATATACTGATGTAAAAACATCTAGGCTCGAAGGAAGTAAATTATTTCACCAAGGTTCTTAACTTGTAACTGACCACCCTTCACATACCCGATGTGTGGAAAATCGGAAGGGTGGTCCCACCACTGATACCTGGGAAGCCTGCCAACCTAAGGGTGTCTTATCTTGTTACTCCCGACTTTCAAACACCAACCTAGCCTAGCCTAACACCAACACGGCTTCTGTAAAGTGCACAGCACTTAGCGTTATAAACGCCCAGATAGCTCGTTGACTCAATCAGAAACCATCCTGCGAGAGGACGGTTCTCGTAGCGTTGGACTTGTCAAAAGCGTTTGGCACATTCAACCACACAACGCTACTCGAGTACATCGAAGAAACCACGCTCCCTCCAGGATTGAAGAGGTATACAATCTAAATTAAGGAGAATTAATGAGGGGGTTCCACAGGGTCGTGTCCTCTCTCCACTGCTTAATCACTACATATCGAAACTCCCTCAAACACCAGAAGGAGTCTTAATTACCTCTTACGCAGTCGGGCAATGAAATCGATGGCATGTGTTCAAAAGTGAACGGCTACCTCTAAGGACTTCCTCGCTATTTCACTGCTAGGAACCTAAGACTCTCCCCTGCCAAATCCACGGTCACCCTGTCAACTATTTGGACGAAGGAGTACCGACTGGATCTCAATACCTCCGACGATGACGTTAAAATTCCGACGATTAATAACACTATAATTTTTGACGTTACACTAGACAGTCTGCACTCCATCTCTCCGCACATAACCATGATTGTTACAAAAGCACAGAGCCGCAACAAGATCTTTAAGTCGCTAGCTGGCAGCACTTCTGGAATAAAGAGACGTTGTTGGCAACATACAAAGCAATCGGCCGGCCGTTCATCAACTACGCTGCCCCAATATGATCGCCTGGATGCAGCAGAACACATATGGAGAAGATTCAGACCTGCCAGAACACCCCACTCCGGACTATAACAGGATGCCGCTTATCCTATCGAACACCTACACAGCGAGGCCCGCTGCTACCTGTAAAGGATCCAGTTTCTGCTTGGATGCTTTAGCCGAAATCATACATGCAGTAATCTGCTTTAGCAGAGCCGCCTGCTTCAGGGGAACATTCCTCCAACATGTCGTCGAACTAACAACATATACCGACCATGTTTCGGACGGGACCGACTTCCGACAGGCACTAAACGCCATGTACAGCGGAGCTATTAACTTTCTTTGACTCCCTCCCAGTGAATGGCGTACTTAGAGTCCAAACACCACCCATTGCAGAACAAAAGTCCTCGCACGACACTAAACACCTCTTTGCATGCTCTATGAACTCTACTCACTTAACCCCTCTCTCCTTATGGTCCGCACCCGTCGAAACAGCGCGTTTCTGGCCTACCGTTAAGTGACCTCGATGACAGTTAACTTTTTTCTTTGCTTTCCCCCTGAACAGGGTCTACCACTAACCACTACAACAACAACAGCCATGTCCGTCTGTCTGTTTGTCTATATATACGCTAAGCAATAGCTTCAGTTTTTGAGATATCTATTTAAAATTTGGCACATGTTCTTCTCTCACCAAGAAGCTGTTCATATGTCGGAACTGTTATCGGATCACTATAGCATATAGCTGTCATACAAACTAATTGATCAAAATTAAGTCCTTGCATGCAAAATTTTTTATTTGACAAGATATCTTCACGAAATTTGACATCCCTTTTTGTTTAAAGCAATGCTACAATTTCTTAGCAAGTTATCGGAGCACTATGGCATATAGCTTTCATAAAACTTGAACGATCAAAATCAAATCCTTGCAGGGAAAAGTTTTTCATTCGAAAAGATGTCTTCCCTAAATTTGACATAGATTATTTTTCAAGGCGACGCTACAATCTCCGAACAAATTACTCAGATCTGACCACTATAGTATATTTATTATTTGACAAGATATCTTCATGAAATTTCTTATGGATTATAATGCAAAGCAACTCTTCAATCTCCAAAGATATTGTTTAGATTGTACCACTATATCATATACATATATCTGCTATACAAACAGAACGATCAAAATTCAAAATCTAGCTATCATTTGAAAACTTAAAAAATTAGGTTTTTAGAATTTGAATACAACAATCATAATCTATAAAATCCATTCACCTATTCGACATATTTTTATTTATAATTTATGCATATTCAGCAAGTCCAGAAGAGCTAACTAATTAATTAAAAATAATTTAGATCCGGTCAAAGACTCGCACGTCAGCAGTTTACATTAAATTTTTCACTAATTTTATTGCTGTTATAAAAATTTTCTAAATAAACCTTATATTTCTAATCCCATTTTCAGCATCGAATGCGAACACCATTACAACAACCACAAACCTAACTGCCACTCCCATTGTGATGTCGACGCAAAAATTGCAGCTGAAAACGATCAAAACGCCACAGCAACAACAACAACAACAGCAGCAACAACAACATGCGCGCATATTAAATCAAGTGACTGCGACGGCTGCCTCTCAAACGCAAACCACGCATCAGAATCAGCAGCAGCAGCAGCAGCAGCAACAGCAGCAAACGATTATAATAGGTCAGCATTTAGCCACGGCGCCAACAACACAGCAATCACAACAACAGCACATACAAGTTGCAGGACGCACCGTAACCACAACCGGCAATGCTAGCCTAAATCAACAACTCATTTCGGCATTAGCCAAGGCTGCCAAACAACAACACCAACATCAACAGCAAGCAGCAAGTCGGCGTAGATCGGCAACCGATGTAAATAAATAAATATATATAAATGAATAGAGTGAACCGACTACAATTGGCCGCACATTAGCGACGGTTGGCTGAGGTGTATGTGTGCGTGCGAATGAGCGTGTGCGTGTGTATGTAATGTAATGTGTAATGAGAAATTATATAAGCAAACAGCATAAGATAAAAACAGATATTAAAACAAAACAAAAAACAAAAAGATTATTAAAAAAGGAAACACAAAAATATTCAAAATAATTATATTTGCAAATGCAAACAAAATACGAAAATTTAATCTAAGGTATTATATTATACTTTGCCCTAACTAATGTACGAGTAAATTCATCTACTCCTAACACATGCCCCTACAGCAACACGTGCATACTTAAAAAACAACCGAACAAACAAACATAAATAACGAACACCCATTACCGTTATTCGCGCATCTTACACTGTTAACGGCAATCAAGGCTTCAAATTAACTATTTCTGAAAAATTCTAGGGTTTGAGGGTTAAAGTTGCTTATAGTAGTAATGCCGATATACATATTTATGTAAAATAAATCTTTTAATCGGTAAAATATTTGAAATTAATTTTCCTAAAAATTATGTACCATTTATATATGTATGTATAGAAAGTTTTGATGAATTCTATTGCATAAGATCCTACTATAATTCAAACGGACACTTTTGGTATGATAATGGAAACTAAAAGCCTCCAATTTAAAGCATATTTACCAAAATTTTATTGCAAAACCAAAACAAAAAACATAATTCGGTTAAACAACACTCTACCCTAGTCATCCTGAAACCTACAAACATACATATATATATTTATATATTATATATGTATATGTATGTGTATATGTTTGTTATTTAAGTGGCTAAAGTCGTTGTTAGTAGTTACTTATTAAGCACCACATACATAATGAGAATCCCAAAAATTAAATTAAATAACAATATTCGCGCTTTTCTCCGAAAATTCGGCGTCACACTCTACAACAAAACTAACGCCTTTAAGCAGCCAACTTTGATTCACGGTGTTTATTGTATACATATATATGTACTAATAGCTCGTATCGAAATTAAAATTAAGCTAACCTAAAAAAATGTAAACAAAAAGAGAAAAATTAACAAAATTTGCAATCAATTTAGTGCTGTGTTTTTCGCCGTTGACGAAAACAAAATTTCATAATCTCACCCTGCCCCAGAGGTGCCAACGCATATTACAGGGTCTTGGGTTGTTATATTATATATATGTATATTTTTTTTTGATTTTTTTAAAATTTATTTATTCCCTTTGAGTACTAAAAAACATGCATATATATATTATTCTTGCTGCTCTAATTTGCCTTGCTTGTTGCAGGTATATATACATGCTGAAAGGATGTGTAACTCTTGTAATTTTCGAAAGTAAAAAAAAAACAAAAGAAATTACAAACTATTAAAAACGAATTGTGTGAATGTGAATTGCGCTAATTATCGTAAGAGCATACGCGCAGCTTACCATTACAACTCGCTTAAAAAGCAAATGTGAATCAATCTACACTTACATACATACATACATATATGCATGTGTATGTAGTTAAATACAAAAACACTCACAAGACGCTCGTTCGAGTAAATATATTGTATTATATGCACATATATATATATATACTTACTATATATACATATATGTATATATAGTATATGTAAAGAAATGTTATACTTTGACTATTGCAACCAATTTTTAGCGGAGTTATTATTTATATAGTTATTTTTTTCTTAGATTTCGCATTTGTTTATTGTGCGGAAAGTGTCACACATATGCATACATATATATATATATATATATAGACACATAGATATTGTACGCTTGTAAAAAACAGGTTATTCATACGTTATGTTAATAAAATAATTTAATTATATTTAATTATTTAATATTTGGCAATTAATATACGATTAAGCATAAATAATACATTTAATTAAAAAATAAATACAAATATCAAGCTAAACGAAAAAATACAAACAAATGCAGCAATAAATTATAAACAAAAACCTAAAATTAATAAATAAATATAATTTAGAGAATACAAACAAATTATGAATAAATGCATTTTCTCTCTCTCTCTCTTCTCCCTATCTATTTCTAAGCTTTACTGATTTTCTGCCACATATACATATGTACATAACACATAATAACAAATATATATTTGTATGCCAATTGTTATTTTACAAAATTATTTTTTAGTCAGTTATTAATTTCGTCAACAAAAACAAATTTTTTTTTTTGATTTTTCTCTAATTTTACTTTAAAAAATCTACAAACACAGTTTCTAGCAATATTTTAATGGCTACATTTGCTGACTAGTGTAATTCTCGAATTGTTTCATTTCATTGACATAATTAGCAAACACAAAATTCTACGGTTTGAGTAAGAAATATTTCTACCGTCGAAAGCCAGATTTTTGTGGAGATTATTGTCAAGTAGTAACTTTGGAGATTCAAGAATAGGTACTGAAATTATCCGAATCGAAATCAATGTTTTCTAGGAACAAACCACAATACGTAATTGGGGGCAGAAGTTGAGCCGAAAGAAACATCAAGCTCTAATTTGCCAGTCTAAAACATGTGAATGGGATTTTAGATTAGAGTTGGTATTTGTAAAATACTTATTATTAGAGCCTGAACAGGGTGATGGATCACTACAGCATACGAGTATAGCTATCATACAAACCGAGCGATGAAAATCGCGTTCTTCTATGGAAAGCATATAGCTGCCATACAAACTGATCGTTGAAAATGAAGATAAGATCTTCAGAAAATATATATTTTTCATATTTAATAACCTTAATTAATTAGTAAAATTTATTAAGTTACCTGTCACTCTACGGTGGAAGCAGCATGTGGACTTAACCGCAGCCAAAGCTACGAAAGCGCTCATGGTGTGCAATCGACTTGCTGGGAAATCATGGGGCTGCAACCCAAAGATTATCAGATGGTTGTACACCATGATTGTTATACCGATCATAACATATTAAGCGGTGGTCTAGGGTTCCAAAGCAGCGCAGACCTCGGTAGGACTTCGACTATCGAGGCTGCAACGACTTGCCTGTATCTGCGCGTCGGGCGCGATGCGTACGTGTCCGACTGCAGCACTGGAAGTAATGCTGGATCTAACACCGCTACATATAGTGATCGAGCAGACGGCTAAACAGACCTTGCTTCAAATTTCAGCAGAAGGGTCTGGCAAAGGGAAGGTAATCTCGTCCCAGCAGATGAAGGCCTTAAGTGACGCAATGCCACTGGCCCCTCTTCCAAGGGACAGTATTACCAAAACAGTAAGCTAGGAAGATCAGGGTTGTTGTTGTAGCGGAAGAATTCTGCCGAGTTGACAGTCCTTGGCCGGAATAAATCCGGGTCCGTTCCGGTTACGTAAACCCGACTGTCGTGGGAACGGGAAGAAGAAGTTCAGGGTTACCCTTGGCAGTAAGGCAGAATGGAACGATTCCACGCTGGACCTACTACTAAGGAACAGTACTATCAAGTGGTACACCGACGGCTCGAAAACGGCGGAGGGGATTGGCGCAGGGGTCGCAGGACCACGCACCAAGCTCTCCATTCCCATGGGAAGTTTTCCTAGCATATTCCAGGCGGAGGTATATGCTATAAGTCGGTGTGTAGAAATAAACCTCCAACGCGACTACCGCAATAAGAGCATCGCCATACTCAGCGATAGTCAGGCAGCACTTAAAGCAATCTCGGCTTTTGAGGTCAAATCGCTACTAGTGCAGGAGTGTATAGAACGGCTGAACAACCTATCAAGTTTCAACAGAGTGCACCTCATCTGGGTGCCTGGTCACAGGGGTATAGCAGGAAATGAACTTGCTGACGAGTTGGCCCGCTCTGCAGCCTCTACAAACATGGTAGGACCAGAACCGTGCGTAGCGGTGGGTCCACATACCATTACGAAGCTGCTCCGTAGAGAGGAAAGAGCAGGCAGGGAGAGACACTGGCAACATATCCAAGGCATGCGCCATGCCAAGTTGCTAATGGGGGGCTATAACCTCAGACGGTTTAAAACCGTAATCAATCTCCCGGGAAACAAATTTCGACTTCTGGTCGCTTTCTACACCGGACATTGCAGGCTTAACAAGCATTTATTTAACATGGGCTTGGTCTCCTCTGCAAACTGCCGGTTCTGCGACATGGAGTCGGAAACCCCAGAACACCTACTAATGGACTGCACAACTGTCTGCAGACGTAGAGTCAAGGCCCTGGGATCCATGTTTCCAAACAGGGATCGCATCGCCTCATTGGCGCCTAGCAGTGTATTGGAGTTCATCAATACGCTAGGGCTAGATGAGTCGCTGTGACTTAGGGGAGGGCACAATAGACCATAGGTCGCGGTGCATACCTCAATCACTATCTAATCTAATCTAATCTAAGTTACCTGTGCGTACATTTCATCATGAAATTCTTTCGATTAGATAAGGTTCGTAACGATTAGCAGCGTAAGCAGAAGAGGCGACACGTCGAGCACTTTTGAAATCAGTTTGACTCATCCAAATTGAAATAAAAAACAAGGTTTGGACAGTCTGCGGAAGAATTAATGAAACCAAATTTTCCAAGAACACTCTTGGGTTTTGGGCGCTTGACAGAAATCAACTAGAGATAAATGCTCGCATAAGAGTATTTAAAAATGTAAATAAATTTAATTAAAAAAAAGTTGTTTGCCATCGCAAAAATCTTTTAGGTTGCGATGAATATGAATCTACAACTTATTTTTATGGCGGAGATGACCACGGAGGTGCGCTAAGGGGCAAAAACATGTACATGAAAATATGATTTTGATCTACACATATCTAATGTGTGGACTATTAACTTTATTCATCCTTTATACAGCATATAACGGAATAATAGTTACTGCTAATTGGACTTTCAATAACAAAAAAATAATTTCTTTCCGATTTTGACGAAAATTTGGAATTCCTAAAAAATTTTTTTTTTTGCCAAAAGCAAGCAGGAAACAATATAGTGGCATCCATAGTAACCAGGTTATTGACCACGTCCACATTAAATAATTTGACAATATTTTCGTATCTCCTTATATCTCTTGTCTATAGCACAGGCAAGTATCCAAATTAAGCCATAAAAATTTGTATTGAAGATAACTTCTAATATATGTAAGGTTCACTTTTGCCCAAATTCACATAAAAATTCAAAAATTCCTATTTTAACATGTTAGGACTTTTAAACCCCTATATACCTATACTCAATGTGTCAATAATATAACATATATTTTGAATAGTTGCGACGATTTGTGCTGAAATCTATACTTGACCATATACAAATATTGTTTTTATTAGCAAGCTTCGGCGGCGCACTCGTGATTTGCCGGAATTCCCAGGTAACAAATAAAAGATATTTTATTTAATAGTGGATAACAAAATAAAATAATTACATTTTAGAAACCAACCAACCAACCAATCCAAACGTTAGTATAAAAATACCGTTACTTGTTCCGTTGAAAATTTCAAAATTTGGATATTGATGTCATTCTTATAATTAGTACCAATCAAGGTGTTGACGCGGATATAGTCTTCATTTGACTTTCTTTTCAAAAAAAAATTTTTTCTTGTTACTCTTCAAGCCGTATGATTTTCAAAAATTGTTTAGAACTGAAAACGTCACTTAAAGCCGCGAAAGTATGTGTTCCGAGAATATTTCTACACTACTGACACTAAATAATTTATTTTCTTGTAGAAAAAAAGTTAAATGGTAACAAAAAAAACTAATAACAAGGAAGGACTAAGTTCGGATGTAACCGAACATTTTATAATCTCGCAAAGTCAAATGGTATACTCGTTTGAGATTTCTTTGTGGATTGGCTGATATTTTCGGTAGAAGGTCAACTATAGGCACTGGGGTCCACATATTTAGTACTTAGGGGCTTGAACAGTTTTGGTTCGATTTAGACATTTTTTGGTCCCAAGGTGGCATATTTTAAACGTATTATTCACGCAAAGTTTTACCCCGATATAATCATTATTGCTTGATATGCATAGTGGAAAGTAAAAGAATCAGATGGAATTGAAAATTGTATTAAATGGGAAATAGGCGTGGTTGTAGTCCGACTTCGCCCATTTTCGCACTATAACATAGAAATATGCACCGAATTTGGTTGAAATCGGTTAAGCAGATCCCAAGATATGGGTTTTCACCTAAAAGTGGGTGGTGCTACGCCCACTGACTAATTTTGAACGCGGTTCCTATAAAGTCATCTCATACCATCCCAGAGATAAAATTTAATGTCTCTAGCGTGTTTAATGCTTGGTTTATCGCGCTTTTAGTATTTTTTAACAGTACCGTTATATGGGGAGTGGGCGGGCTTGTCATCCGATTTCACCCATTTTCAGACCATTAATAGAGGTGCTAAAAACATTTGCTCCCAGTGAATTTGGTTATTATAGCTTTAGCGGCTTAGGAGATATGCACATTAAACTTATTAGGGGCGGGACCACGCTTACTTAAAAAAAAAATTTAACTGCAGATGCCCCTCTCTAATGTGATCCTTTGTACCAAATAACAGTCTTGTATCTTATTGCGGAGCTTAGTTATGGCAATTTATTTGTTTTTGATTAATGGCGTTTTGTGGGCGTGGCAGTGGTACGATTACGCCCATCTGCAATACCAACCGTCTTACGGTACTAAGAAACAAGTGTACCAAGTTTCATGAAGATATCTCAATTTTTATTCAAGTTACACCTTGCACGGACGGACGGACAGACAGTCACCCGGATTTCAACTCGTCTCTTTATCCTGATCATTTATATATATAACCCTATATCTAACTCGATTAGTTTTAGGTGATACAAACAACCGTTAGGTGAACAAAACTATTATACTCTGTAGCAACAAGTTGCGAGAGTATAATTAGAGATTCTCGGATAAAATGCGAATTATGAAAATATCATAACTATCCTTCTATAGCATATTTCTTATTTTAAGTAAGTAAAAATTAAACCGATTAAGAACTTTATTATGTTATTATAAAAAAAATACATTTTCTTTTTATCAATGCGACCACATGTAGCATATGTATTAACGTAAATTATAATAAAAAATTATTTAATAAATTGAAATATTAGGAAAGCTTTGTGTTTTTATTTACTTTTATGTTTTTATGCACAAATTAATTATTAAATTCATACTTTTCTACGATATTCCACAAAAAATCATTTTTTAACTATCAATATCTCGATATAACAGCAAATTGGGGTAGAAACGTAAGCCTTCTATTGATTCGTCGCGACACACTTTACCCAAACGTTCAGCAGCAAGCAAGCGTTCTTTTGCTAATAACAACGAAATGCCTAGATCTTTAGCCAATTCTTCGACAGCTAATGACTTTGACATTGTCACCTTTTCCAGTGTATCAGCTGCTACCAGTTCATCATCTTGCGATTCTAATTGCAATACCATTGCTCCACTTGGAAATTTTCTTAGTTTTATCGGTCCGTTCAGTTGTTGACACGCGTGTAGCAAATCTTCCGCAGAAAGTAGTTCAAGGCCTCGTGCGCGATTCACCCGACAATACACATCGGCCAGCGACATCATGCCACCTTGTTCCTGAAAAGCATTACAATTGTGGCACATTCATAAAAATATTGCACTTACTTATAATTTAGAAATATGTAATGTACGAAAATCAATGTCGATTCTCACCTCGATAGGATCCAAAAGCAGTTCGCATATTTGTTGCGCTAAACTACGAAAATAATCCGAATTGCTACTGAAATTTTCTCGCGTCACTGGGTCTTCAATACCCAAGCTCAACAAATAAGATTTAAAACGCACAGTTTCATCATCAGATATTTCTCCTTTTTGTTCACGTATTTTTGTACTTATCACCTTTGATATGGCCACCATATCCTTTGCCATTGCCATTAGTACATTAAGATCCTGAAAAGCCAAAGCTATATTTTCATCTGTTTCTTTCGCTTTAGCTTCGATGGAACGCTCAATACCACCAATGCCAGTACGCATTTTCAAACGTAATTGTGCTGTATTGTCACCACTACGTGAATTTTGTGAATTACTTGCCACTGAAAGTGGTTTCGGTATTACTAACACTTCCCATATTCTGGCTTCGATTGTTTGACGTAATGCACTTCCGAATTCTTGTGTCAATCCATTTTTTCCCGATAGTTTGATATGACTATGCGGACTGTAATCTATTGGACCAGGTGCCTTATCTGGTGGCGGCTCCCGTAAATATAATATATATCGAATCTTGCGTCCAAAAATATATGAACTGGCTGTTTCTTCACTGAGCGATATCACATGACGTAGGGAAAGGCAAAGTGTAGTGGCAGCACGAGCAATTTCACCTGGACGACCCCAAAATAGACGATGGGTAGTGAGAACGATCTCACCTTCTTCATACTCTGTCTATAAATCATACAAGGATAACTGAATGTTATATAGCCAAGTGTGTGTGTGTTTTTTGAACATAAATATACTTACTTTGTGATCTCCATCATAAATTTTAACATTCCTATCACGACTCACAAACGTTTCATCATCATGCAATCGCGCTTCTACATATTCAAAACGATTCATCTTCGCATTACGAATTTTGAAAATATAATTTACTTAAAAAAAATACAATTAAAATTTTAGCAAAATTGCAGCAGTGAGTAACGTCATTTATGTTTTGTCTACAGCTGATGTTTTGTTTTATTAAGGTGTCTATAGATAATGTTTTGGATTATACTATAAGCAATTTATATTATTTCAATAAAATTTTACATGAAATGTAACAATTTTGAGATAGATTGTAATAGATTGTAACTGACCAAAATGTTAATTTTCATAATAGTTTACTATTTAATTCCAACGGACGTCCGTATTTTTCGATGAGGTAAGGGTTAAACATTGAGTTTTTTTCATAACTGCTGTCACTAGCTAGCAAAGTTTCTGCTGGAAAAGCGTTTCTTAACCTAAAAAGCTGACACAAACCAGCAGAAGAGAACACAGGTTGAGAGCGTAAAAAGATAAGAGCTGGTATCTCCTTTCTAATTCATCCGCGCCGAGATCTTTCTGAACTGGCGGCCTTTCGGCGTCGCTTAAAAAAAATAACCATAGTCCTTTGCGTGCTCAAAGGTGTTCTATGCAAAAGAACTATGGACACCCCGGTGTTCGAAGCGCGGCCGAAAGCCGCCAACGCGGAAAGAAGTTTGACGATCTCCTACATTCGTCCATACCATCAAATCGCGACGCAAAAGAAATTGTGACTGTTACATTTCTTCCGCATATTTTTCACATGAAAATGTCTAACTCGTTAAACTTGTAATTACAGCTAAGTAATCTAAATTGTACATAATTCTGCCGCTCCAACAACAACAACAACAACAACTAAGAATATGTGCAAAGTGTGTTAATATATTTTTTCATATATACCATACATAAATTATTTAAAAAAATCACTTTCCGCTTACGGATTTGCAATATACGTGTCAAAATAAGACTTTCGTTGGGCCAACTAAACTATACATAAACCGATTTGAATTGTGGATATTATATTCAATAATTTTCAAATCTTTGTATGGAGTGATTGTGAAAAGCCATATTTTCCAGTTAGTTTCGGCTAGTTTTCCGTTTCTATATTTCTTCGTTATTTCGCTCTTTGTAAGAGCAGAGAACGTATATCATAGAGAAGGTTCAATTACGGACCAGCGTGTGAATTGTCAAAACCTAACAAGATTTTATTAGTGACTTCAATTTCATCTGGCCGAAGGAGAAATTTTAACAGAAGTGAGTGAACAGAGCTGAGCATTCAATGAAATTATGCTCAGAGACTTGTTTGATATTCAGACACACATGTTACTTTTGGCTTATATTCTTATAGTTTATATGCAATCATATTTATTCATAAGAATATCATTTTGCGAATTTTTAAGAATGCTTGCAAAACTGATAAGACTCTAATTAATTAATTAAATCTAGTAATTTTAAAATATTATATATAATCAATTTGGGAATTTAATGATTTTATTTAGTTTTAACATAATTACTTTCCTAATAGAGATAAATTATTACATATATGTATATGTACATATCTGTTATCATATTAATCTTATATATAATCATATGTATATCTACAAGCGCATTTGAATGTGCGGATTCAGAAATCATAATTTTATCATATTCACACATATATGTGCGCATTGATTTATATGTACACGCATATATGTATGTAGACATAAAATTGCCGAACAAATAATGCATCAGAAACAAACATACATATATATGCTATAGTACACATGTAAATATGTCACCGCAAAACTACAAACATGTTTTACAAAACAACAATCGTCACAAGTCAATATGTCAGCAAATAGAAGCCAAATTTATAGTAAATTGCAACAACAACATTATTCTATGAACGCAGGCGTAGTTTTAACAAGCAACCTCGTTTATCTAAAACAGATACCCTCACATCTCCCTGAGCATGCTTTTGTCTAAGTCTTTTCACGACGATGGCAAAGCTAAAAATCATAAATCGAACAAATTTCTGATATTCCTCTAGAAGGGAAAAGACTAACCCTCAAATATGAGTATTAAAATATTTTAGAATAAAAGTGACAACATAGTATATTTGTCGATTTACAACTAAGAAACTTTTAAAGAAAATATTCAATATTCTCTGATTTATGTATACAGTAAACCGGTTAAGTATCACTCTCCAATCCTCTTATCTGCCTGTGTCTTGTTGCATCTCACGTTTATTTTTCTTAATTTTTAAGGAAAACGGTAATTTTTTTAAATATAGAAATTATTTCTTTGGTACCAGTCTCTTAAGTACCACAATAGCTTATGTACTACAAAGCATAAAAATCTGACTTTGGTTTTGGCACTTAACGGTTTGACTGTATTGTCAAGAATGTGCGTAAATGCGAATTTTTGTAAAATCTGCCCGTATATATGCACATGATTGTTGACTTTGTTTCCATTTACGCATGCCATATATGAATAAGGGTTGATTTTGCACTTGCTATAGAGATGGTTTGTAAGAGTGTGTATGGTTCTGGTATCCATGAAACAATGAGTGTAAATATTTACATACATACGTTGCATATAGACAAATCAATTATAATGGGTATTTTCATATTTGTTTCGCTTGGTCTTTTCTTAGTTATGTCAAGCAAGAGGAGTACAATTCAAACCAGAATCTGACTGAACTGAAGAGTCCATTGATAGATATTTTGAGCAATCCGACGAACCCTCCACGCGCATTAATTTTCTAATTAGGTCGCATATACGTGGCTGAGCATGGAGGAAAATTAATTGTATAAAATAAAATAAGATTTTCTATACAATACAAAAAAACTTAATGTAATGCATTGATTAAAAGAAACTTATTAAGGTTTATTTTTGTAGCACGATTCGTGAGCCCCTGTATATGCAGAATATCTTAAAATTATATGTAAATTCGTTTGCGCATTGTAATATACGAATCTGTAATCGTACACTTCTTAACATTGAATTTAGCTTATTTTTCTCATTTAATATCAAAATGCTCAATTTGCTATTTTGCGCTCCGCAGGGGTAAAATTCTGGTGAAACATAATAATTTGTTTGTGAAATGCACTAATGTTGGCGAGTAACCCTCCGTCAAGAGGAACATTTTGACAATCGGCACACCATGAACCAGAGAACTTAAACAATGAGAAGGTGCAGGTTCGAAGCGAACAATTTGGAATTTATCAAGGAGTTCACCACAGATGCATCGAGAGAAACAAATAACATTTTCGCTTTATAACAGCGGTGAATCTTGCACATACGCTTCTTAACATAAACAACCGACATATATTGAAGAGAATATAATATGTGATAAACTGGCATATTGATATGCCATTTGAAAATATATCCTTTATTGAACTATTATTTATTATTTTTAAATTATTTTATGTTAATCATTTTATTTATTATAATATATCAAAATACTTTAAATTATTACTATTAAAGTATTTGATATATTTAAAATAATCATAAAGTACAGAATTGTGTTGCCGTCGGTATTTCACATTCATGCTTCAATTTTCTTTCAAATGCATGTAAAATATATGTAACAGGACATACATATATAATATTATGTCGTTTACATTTGTATGTATTTTATGTAGATATGTACACTCATTACTTCATGTGAAATCTCCGTTGACACATTTTTGCTTTATGTCAAAAGTCAATCTGTTGAAGAACTGACGCGACGACAAAGCGTCACAACATTGTTTTAGAAAACTAGATGTATTACAAATACAAACATACACGATATGGCAAGTGCCAAGTCAATGTGTGTACAAAATTGAACGTATTACTGTGTGACAAATACAGTCAACCGGTTAAGTGCCAAAACCAAAGATGAAGATTTTCTGCTTTGTAGCTATAAGCGATTGTGGTACTTAAGCGAGAGGTACCAAAAATTATTTCTATGTATTTAAAAAAATTACGTTTCCTTTAAAATTAAGAAAAAAAAAGTGAGATGCAGCAAGACACCGGCAGATAAGAGGGATTGGAGGAGTGATACTTAACCGGGGTTTACTGTATACATAATCAGAGGAATATTGAATATTTTCTTTAAAAGTTTCTTGAATTGTAAATCGACAAATTTACTATGTTGTCACTTTTATTCTAAAATATTTTAATACTATATTTGAGGGGTTGTCACTTTCCTTCTAGAGGGAATATCAGAAATTTGTTCAATTTATGATTTTTAGCTTTTGCCATCGTCGAAAAGACGCTTGTAGGCAAACGCATGCTCGGGGAGATGTAGGCGTTTGTTTATGAATGAACGACTTAGCTTATTGCTTGTGCGCCAGCGTTCATGAATGAAAATGTTGTTGGTGTGTGATTTACTACAAATTTAGGATTTGTCAATTCGCTATATTGATTTCGTGCTGATGCTATTTGAGACAATTGTTGTTTTTGTACAACAATGTTTGTATTTTCTTATTTTGACGTAGCTTACATTTGTACGCTTAAAGTATGTAGATTGTGTATGCATTACTTATTTTGCGCGGTCATATGCATATTTGTACATACATACTTACATGTAGAGCAGTGCGTCACATGTATTTATTGATAATTGATAATATATTATATTATAATATAAGAATTGATGTACATAAATAAATTATTAATTCTGTAAAATTGAAATTAGAAAATTATGAAAATAGAAATATCATTTTTTGCATAATCTTTCACATTTTATCATGTAGCATTTGTGCAAAAATAATAATTTATCAATTTTCATCATAAAATCGTTTATATGGCAAAAATAATCATAGAATAGTGAAGTGGCATTTGTATTTCTTGTTTTCTCATTCATTTTCTTCATTTTCTCTTTATATTGGTAGATACGTATTTGGTCAGAGAACGTTGTTAAAATTCTCATTTCTGTTAAATAACAGCAAAACTATACAGAAAGTGGTGAACTCCTTGATCTCAAATTTTCAGCCAACCAATCGAGCATCATACAAAATTCAATTTGCACCTTCTCATTGTTTTAAGTTTCTCTCATGAACCTTCTCTATGATATACGTTCTCTGGTAACAGCTGCAAGCTGTCAGAAAGAAGAATGTTACCAGTTACTCTTACCAGAGAACGTATATCATAGAGAAGGTTCATGGTGTGCCGATTGTCAAAATGTTCCTCTTGACGGAGGGTTACTCGCCAACATTAGTGCATTTCACCACAAACAAATTATTAGCTGATTTCACCAGAATTTTACCCCTGCGGAGCGCAAAATAGCAGAATTGAGCATTTTGAATGTTAAATGAGAAAAATAAGCTAAATTCAATGTTAAGAAGTGTACGATTACAGATTCGTATATTTACAATGCGCAAACGAATTTACATATAATTTTAAGATATTCTGCATATACAGGGCGGCTCACGAATCGTGCTACAAAAATAAACCTTAATAAGTTTCTTTTTAATCAATGCATTACATTAAGTTTTTTTGTATTGTATAGAAAATCTTATTTTATTTTATACAATTAATTATTCCTCCATGCTCAGCCACGTATATGCGACACCTAATTAGAAAATTAATGCGGGCTGGAGGGTTCGTCGGGATTGCCTCAAATATCTATCAATGGACTGCTTCAGTTCAGTCAGATGTCTGGGTTTGAATTTGTACTCCTCTTGCTTGACATAACCCAATAAGAAAAGACCAAGCGAAACAAATATGAAAATACCCATTATAATTGTTAATTTGTCTATATGCAACGTATGTATGTAAATATGTACACTCATTGTTTCATGGGATACCAGAACCATACACACTCTTACAAACATACATCTCATATGGCAAGTGCAAAATCAACCCTTATTCATATACAAATGGCATGCGTAAATGGAAACAAAGTCAACAAGTCATGTGCATATATACGGGCAGATGTGTACAAAAATTCGCATATTTACATACGCATTTTGACAAATACAGTCAAACCCGGTTAAGTGCCAAACCAAAGTTGCAGATTTTTATGCTTTTAGTACATAAGCTTTTGATTAAGAGACTGGTACCAAAGAAATAATTTCTATGTATTTAAAAATTACCGTTTTCTCTTAAAAATTAAGAAAAATAAACGTGAGATGCAACAAGACACAGGCAGATAAGAGGGATTGAGGAGTGATACTTAACGGGCTTACTGTATACATAAATCAGAGGAATATTGAATATTTTCTTTAAAAGTTTCTTGAATTGTAAATCGACAAATATATATGTTGTCACTTTTATTCTAAAATATTTAATACTCATATTTGAGGGTTGTCACTTTTCCTTCTAGAGGGAATATCAGAAATTTGTTCGATTTATGATTTTTAGCTTTTGCCATCGTCTGAAAAGACGCTAGACAAAAGCATGCTCGGGGAGATGTGAGGGTATCTGTTTTTTGAATGAAGCGAGGTTGCTGTTAAAACTACGCCTGCGTTCATGAATGAAAATGTTGTTTGCTAATTTACTATAAATTTGGGCTTCTATTTGGCTGACATATTGACTTGTGACGATTGTTGTTTTTGTAAAACAATGTTTGTAGTTTTGCGGGTGATATTTACATGTGCGCATATACGTATGTATGTATGTTTGTTTCTATGCATTATTTGTCTGGCAATTTTATGTCTACATACATATATGCTGTACATATAAATCAATGCGCACATATATTGTGTTGATATATGATAAAATGATTTCAATTTCTGAATCGCACACAAATGCGCTTGTAGATATACATATGATTATATATAAGATTAAGATAACAGATATGTACATATACATATATTGTAATAAATTTAATCTCTATTAGGAAAGTATATTATGTTAAAACTAAATAAAATCATTAAATTCCCAAATTGATTATATATAATATTTTTAAAATTACTTAGATTTAATTAATTAATTAGAGTCTTATCAGTTTTGAGCATCTATAAAATTCGCAAAATGATATTCATATGAATAAATATGATTGCATATAAACGTATAAGAATATAAGCCAAAAGAGTAACATGTGTGTCTGTAATATCAAAGCAAGTCTCTGAGCATAATTTTCATTGAATGCTCAGCTCTGTTCACTCACTTCTGTTAAAATTTCTCCTTCCGAGCCAGATGAGGTGAAATTAACTAATAAAATCTTGTTAGGTTTTGACAATTCACACGCTGGTCCGTAATTGAACCTTCTCTATGATATACGTTCTCTGCTGTTACATTAAGAAATTACGCTATTATTTATTACCAAAAACGCTCTACAACACTAACAAACTAGCAGCTGTTTGTGACATTTTTACTTGTTTGCATTTTTAGAAGATATCCAACCCAACTCGGAATTAAACAGTTGTGTAAGCAATTTATAAAATCACAACAAATTTCATATTTTCAAAAGTTACTCATATATTGATTTGAAATATAATATTCAATATGCAGTCCTCACAGTACCTTAGTCAACTGAACGCCCTCGAAAAGATGAGCGATGAACCGTGGCCGGAGGATGCAGTACTTTATCAGCCTTACGAAGCAGAGCAAATACTTTTGCCAGAACATGCTAGTTGCTTAGCTGTTAAGGCGTATCTTAAAATGTGCCAACTACCATTTGAAGTACGCTCATGTGCAAATGCTGAATATATGTCGCCAAGTGGACGTTTGACAAAGCTGCCATTTATTCGTGCCGGAGCGTTCATAGTGAGTGAATTTGAACCCATAGTAAATTTTATTGAGCATAAAGGCTCGGCTATCGGGCAGTGGTTGGACGATGACAGCAAGGCTGATATGCGTACATATGTATCATTGGCTGAAAACATCTTTACAATGGCCGAACTATATATCAGCTTCATCAACAAAATTGTATATGAAAAAGTGACAGCACCACGAAATGGCTGTGTTTTTCCATGGCCACTTAATCTAATACAAAATTACTCTAAGCGCCGCAATACACTGCGTTTGCTGAAGGTATATCAATGGAACGATATGACTATTGAAGATGTAATTGAGAAGGTAGAGAAATGTTGTGAGACATTAACATTGAAACTCGAAGAGTCGCCCGATACGCCGTTCTTTTATTCGGACCAGCCATGCGAATTGGACGCGATTGCCTTTGGACATCTTTTTGCTATTTTAACAACTGATTTGCCAAATATGGCACTTGCACAGACAGTGCGAAAATTTAAACGTTTGGTAGAGTTTTGCCAATATATTGATGGGAAATATTTCCAAATGAGGTCTCTATAAAGTGTTTGGATGTTATACGTTAATATTTATTTGAATTTTACGCAGATTTTTAGGTGCTTATTATTATATTAATTATTTTCAAGCAATTCAGATCGATTAAAATATGCAACATAAAATTTATTACTCATGGCTTGTATCTTTAATACGCTTTTTTTAAATGTTGGTAATCTTCCACAATAAAACGTTTGCATTTATGTATTTTTTATTTCCCACAGTTAGTACAGCTTTTGCAAATTAGTTTCGGCTTTTTTCGTTGACCATATGTGTTGCATATAGTATATGTATATGTTCATTGTATATTTTATTCGAATTAATAATTGTTTAATCCTAAATTTTTGAATAGTTTGTTAGATTCTAAAAAAAATTTTCTTAAAACATAGTCCACATACATATGTATATATATAAACTAAATTTTTTGTTGTAAGTTTTATGTGTATTATGTATTTATATTTATATATATACTTCATTTTCAAATCTAATAACATATGATTGTTTTAATTTTCAGTAAATGAATCTAAATTGCTCAGCCGATCCAAGATGCGAGCAATCCCACTTATACAAATTTATACACGTATATAGAAATAAATTGTTAATTAAAATCAATGGAATTATTTTTCTAGATTTTTAATAAAAAGGATGTAGTTAAATTTCCACAAAAATTCATGTAAAATTCTTTAACTCAAGTTAAAGTTGGATAGAAAATAATGAAATTGGAATTAACTACCAAACCCCGTTGAAATTAATGTCTGCCAAGAAGTATTAATAAACTTGATAATGCACAAGAAAATCAGATTAGGTCATAATCGCTCATGATGTGCACAAACAAATTACAAATAGTATGACATTGAATAAATGATATATGAGAAAGTTGGTTTCCATCATATATAATGATTTAATTTAAATTTATTATCGTTTACATTTAAATTATATGAAATTACCAGCGTAAATAATTATAGTTCGAATACATTACATTACTTCACAAAGTTGGGATTTTTCTTCAATATGACAAAACCTTCCATAACTGGAGTAAGCGAAATATATTCATCGGTGGCCAATTCAGCGCGTTCACCCATCGCAAGCAGTACAGGAGTTGTATGAGTTTGAAAACCGGTAATGGTTTTGGGTTTACCAGCTTGACCAACCACATCGATAGCAATACCAACACGCACTGGCACCTGTAGTTGATTCAGTTCTTCATCGAAAGTGATTAACATGCGCGCCTGCATGGCTGGCACCAAAGTATACAGTAGGTAGTGTGAGCGGCCCAATATTAAAGTTTTAACATCCAGCAAAGAAACTAAAGTAGCCATTAGGCCCGCTACAGCCATAGGATTCATCAGCTGGCGATCGCTATGGTAAGGGCTAAGCGTCAATGTGCCTTTACCTAAATGTGTTAGACTTTGTGCAATGCGAACCATGAACAAATTGCTCGGATCTTTCGAATGATATTGTGCTAATTGACGTAGCATAGATGCTAAGCGAGCATTGTTAGTGCCAGCACCTATAAGGCCCATAGCGAAAATGGCATTGTGAGCCACTTCGGCATCACTGTCATGCGAGAATTTGCTTAATGTATCTAATATATTCAGCTTAGGATTAGAAGCAGAGATTAAGCCCAAAGCTAGTGGCACTGCACGACGTATGCAGGGCTCGCAATAGCGAAGTAAATTTCCGAATGAGCGAAAAGCCATCTCGGCGCCAATGTCTTCACCCATAGCAATTAAAGCTATACCCAAAACAGCTATAGCTTGCGTGGCGGATAGATCTTTCTCCTTTTCCTTCTCTTTTTCGGCCTTATCCTAATAAAATTGATACATTCCTATTAGTATTATTTTCCTAAAATTGATTAGTAGTACAATTTACCTTTTCCTTATTTTTATCCTTCTTGCCCTTTTCATCAGCACCATCAGCGTTTGAAGACTCATAATGATCAGAGCAAATATGCAACAACTGTTGTATTTTCAACACATTTCCAGTACCAGCATAGGCACAAATATCGACCATAGTTGTGGCCATTGAACGATATGGTTCATCAAGTACTTCCAGGGTGAGCATAACTGCTTCAGTTGCTTTCTGACGTCCCAAGTACAATAGACCCAAGCCTAACCATAAGAAACGCGAGTAAGTATCCTTGAGATCAGACTTAGAGAGACCCATAATGGTTTGAAGTAATATTTCTGTTATTTCGGCATTGCAGGAACCTACTGATATTAAGCCCAACGATAATGCGGCGATTCCCATGATCTCCACATTGGCCGCATTTTTGCCATTAGCAGCAAACACTGTTTTCAACGTATCAATGACAATAGCACGATTAGAACCAGCATAGGCTATACCAAGACCCAAAATGGCACCAATACGCATTGAAGTATTCTGATTATCAATATAATCGGCGAGTAGCGCATGGGCAGGGTCAACCTCATTACGAATGCCACAATTAACAATACCACAAGCTAATAATGCACCGGATTTGATGTAATCGTCGGTAGAATAGAGATATTTGTCAATCATAGTTAAGCCACCATCAACATCCCATAACAAAATGAGACCAAGAGAAGCCGTGGCTGAAAGCATGCCATGTTCTTTATTTTTATACAACCACTTATTGCCATCTTCAGAGAGTAGTTTATCCACGCCAAAACCAGCATTTACAAAACCATTCACAAAACTGGCGGCCAAATTTTGCTTCGCTGAATCAACCTGAAATTAAAGTATTTTATATGTTACTACTATTAACATATTAAAGAGATTCAATGTAAAATTATTGTGAAATGGTGTAAATTACAATTTATTAATTAATGTAATTTGAAATTTGTATGGTAAGTTAATATAAATATACTATATTAATATTTAAAAAATACTTTTTAATACCTGTATTGAAGCAAAACGAGTGCGCGCATTATCTAAATGCGATTTATAAATGTCCTCCGGAGTCTTGGCTTCCATTATATCCAGTTCCCGTGCCAAATTCAAAAAATGTTTATTCAAGTTCGTGTTAGACATGATTTCCATTAAATCATCATAATCCGGCACAGATTCATCCAATTCTAAGCACACTTGCTGACGTGCCAACATAAAAGCAAGTTGCTTTTGTACAGCAGCATCTTTAGGCTCCTTAAATATTTCCGAAATTTTATCCATATCATTTAGCATCAATGCTAAACGCAATGCTTGTGTATATTGATTAAATTTACGAGCCAGCTGTAGCGCTGTTTCCAGAATTATGGTATTATCAGGTTCGGGTACATAAGGATAGCAAGATTGCAAATATAAGCAAACTCGTGGGTAAGCTGATTCGTCTACATAATCTTGCAACAAATGCAAATGATCTATCTCAATCAATAAGTCGCAAGCATCTGCCTCAGCATTGTGTTCCATATTGTATGGGATAATTTGTTTCACCAATTCAATGAGTTGTGCTTGAAATTCACCCGAGGTATCCAAATAATGCGATGCTATTTCCCCAGACAAATGGCGAACATATTCGTGTCCCCAATCACCAATTTTCTGAGAACGATCGCAAAGAAAACGATAGGCCAAACAATCCTTACCACTGCCCATTGTCATTGAGAGCACCGATATAATATCAGCACACAATTGCCGCGTTTGCTGGTCAGGCATTTGTTTATATATTGTTTTCATTGCCTCGTAATGTGGTCGCATAAACTTCAATGGTTTTGGTACTGAAGTCATAGATGTAGTAGAAGCCCGAATTAGTTTTGCCAACATTTCCAATGCTGGTAAATACAATGCCTTATCGGGTTCTTGTAGGCGATTAACCAGCATCTCCAATTCGTCTTGAAGTTGTTGATCCTCATCGGAAAGCTCCTGGTCCTTACTTTCATCTTTAGCATCTTTATTTGCTTCCTTTTCCGGTGTTTCCTTCACTTGGTCTTTCTTCACCTCAGCAGCAGTTTTTTCATCTTTCTTGGGAGCAACCATTTTGAGTGCTTATTTAATTACACTATTATAATTAAGCGAATGTAGTTTTAATTTTCAGTAATGCTTTCTTCAATTCAGATGAAATTTTGTTTCTGCAATTTTCAGCAAGAATTACAGTGCGTTTTTCTGTATGTCAAACTAGTGGTGTTGTGTTGCCAACAACTAACAAATTATTCGTTTTGACAATTCGTTCTAAAGAAGACAAAGAGTTATCAGATGTGTAATCGATCAGACGCAAACAGGAACGCGAACACAAAACTATTAGAATTTTAATTTTAATATTTTGATATATTGCAGTTTGATTTATTACGATATTCGGATTTTTTAATCCACACAGAAAATACAATATTAAAAACAAAAATAAAAAAATTATGTGGCAACGTGTGATGTTCAACACGTTATAAGATGTCACTCGTTTGTACATTTTCAAATAAACTTTGTTTATACTTGTTAAGAGAAAAGTTTTTAATTATACTTAAGTACAAATAATTACTTGAGATAAATTACTATGCCGCCTCCAACTGCTAGTCGAAAATTTATGTATCCTGAACAATCAGTGCCATATTCGATATATATTAAACAAGAAAATCCTGATGAATTATTTGCCAAACTTGAGAAACCGAGCAAATTGCAATTGGAGGAGAGACCAACATGTAGGTTTAGTAAATATATATATATTTTTTAATAAACCAACAATTTTGATCGTACTATAGTCTTAAAAGTTGGTGCACTTGCAACAGTCAAAGGTTCCGCCTACATGGAATATGGCAAAACGAAGGTAATGGCATCGATAGAACCTCCACGTGAGTTGAGCAAACAGACTAAGAAAATGTGAGTAAAAACTAGATAATTATTAATTATCGAATACTTACTCTACTCTCACAGGGGAACACTGGGTTTAGTTACATGTACATTAAAGTATGCCCCATTTGCCGTGAAAGATCCAGCATGTATACCAAGAAAGGAAACTTCCATGGCATTGGCCTTAAAAAAAGCCTTAGAACCTGTTATTTGTCGACATGAATTTCCATATTTTCAGCTTGAAATAAAAGTAATAATATTAGATGATGATGGGTGTGCACTTAGTACAGCTATTAATTGTTGTGGTGCAGCTTTGGTAGATGCTGGTATTGCTACATATGACTTAATAACAGCATCGACAGTGTGCAAATATAAAGATGTAGAATTCGTTAATCCAAATGGTATAGAAAATCATTTTTATATTTTTTATTTCTATTTTCAATGTGTGTTTTTTATTTAGCTGTTATTGAACAATTAGTTTCCACAATAACCGATTCTGAAAGCAATGAAGAACATGGCATTGTTGTAACCGCTAGTTTGGCCGCAGTTGACCAAATAACCGAATGTTTTCAAAAGGGATATTTAAAGCCGGAAACGCTGCAACAACTAACGGATCATACACTGGCTATTAATGAACGAGTATTAGATACAGTACGTTATGTGTTATTTAACAAGGTCAAAACACAGTTGGAAAAGGAGAAAGCCACAAGAGAAGAAATTGAAAATATCAATGTTATCACCGAGAGCACAGTTTCTGAGTAAATATAAATAAATTGAGTCTTGCACCCTGACCTTAGGTCTATTGTGGTTTCCTGTTTCTGAGTAAATAAAATGTTAGTTGTTTTACGAATTAGAAAATGTTTATTTTTGGAAAACTAAAATATATCAACATGTATATAGTGAAATTTTGTCCTAAATGTTAGAAACAACTTTAAAGTATATTTTAAGAATCTGTAGATGCTTCCAAGACAGCACCCGAATACGCCAAATCCCAGTAATGTTCAACTTGATGCTTCTGAAAAAATTCGCGAGCCATTTTCTCCATTGGAAACACCTTGAATTTTATTTCTCCAAAATGTCTTCGTTGACTAGTGCCCTCCCAAACCAGAACACATGAGTTGGGTATTTCATGACCATCAGGACCTTTTACCATGTCCTCTTCCCACTTTATGCGGTGTTGCATTAGTCGTCGATATTTTTTTTGTTGTTTCGGTCCACCCTCAACTACTATAACGCAACAATCGCGGAAAAGAACCACTGTACCAGTCATATGCAGCTGTTTGGCATTAGTTTCCACTTTGAATTTTTTACTGGCATTGTCTTGCAAGTCACGAATGCGGTAAACACTAACATTGACGCCACACGAAGTGTCTTCTTTGATTTTTCGAACTTTCTTTTCACTTTTCTGCTCTGCTGTCAACTTACGGGCATTATTTGCATCCTCATGTGCTTTTTGTCGCTTAGCCATTTGTTCGCGTACATGTGCTTCAATTTTTGTTGGATCTTGCACAGCCTCTGAACCTAACACACGCATTAAATTAGAAATTCGTAACTTTGGTTCAGGTGGTGCAACAAGACCTAAACGGATTTTTTCTTGTTCCTCCTTCCAAGCTTCACGACGATTTTGGCGTCGAAGCTTTTTTCGCTCTTTCTTTGTGAGAAAGACAGGTAAATACACTGGTTTCAATGGTTCATCTGAGGAATTAAAAATATATTCGCGTTAGAACTGCTTAGCAATTTTTAATTGCTTACATACTATATCAAAAGTTTATTAATATTTTAAATTCAAATTGTATTAAAAGCATGACATAGAAAAATCGCGTGTATTTAATGGAAAACTTACTTGGCGGTTTCATTTGGGTTGGATGTTCAATAAGATTTGTAATTGCTGACTGTCGAATACTGATTTTCCCTTTGTCATCCAATGTGTTCAAATCTTGAGTTAGAATTACAGAATCCCACCACTCCATGGCAGGAACGTCGTCGGGTGTGTCTTGTTTAGGTGCAATGAGTGCCAACTTTGTGGCAGAACTTATACCAGTTTTGCGTGCAATTTGGGAAATTTCATTTTGTAGTTTTTCCAACTGTGCCTTCATCCGCATTCTTTCAGCCAATTGCTGAAATTTTCCTGGTTCATGGAAACGCAACGAACGCTTGGTGCGTACAGTGGGTTTTTGGGCGATACGGTCGTCGAAAAATTTCAAAGATTCCTCTTGCTGCGAATGACGATCTGCATGTACTTGACTCTTATTAAATACCTCACGTTTTTTCGCACGAATATTGGCCTTCAAGGTTGGCGTGAGTGTTGGTATGTTAATGGCTCTACCACTTTTGTCGATGGTTCGACCGTCCTCATCCAAAATTAATGGTTTCGGTCGATCTTGAACTTGTGGCGGTTGAATTAGGTTAGACAACTTGGCACGAATTTGTGCCTGTAACTCTGCTATCTTTTTAGCCTTTTCTGAATCTTCTGGAGCTGTTTTCTTCGCAAGTGCTTGAGTGGCAAGAGCAACTGGCAATCCTATCTGCGGAACAGAAGCTAAAATGGGATCTTTTGCTTTTAAATTATTAAGAGCTCGTTTTCTTTCTTCTATTTCTCGTTGAGCATTTACCATCATGAGTTTAATTTGTGTCGAATTCAGACCAGTTGTAGATGCTGCAGGAGTAGTGGAAGCAACAGCATTTATATTGGCTGCAACCACGGAAGCTGCTGCCAAGGGTGTTAATGCGGAAGATGCGCTAACAATATTGTTTTTCTCCTTCATATCGAAACGAGATTTTTTTGGCACATCAGCACCAGTTTCATTACTAGCATTACGTTTTTTACTCTTACGGCGATAGTCGTCCAATTTATCCTGCAATTTATCAGCTAGTCTTGAGCTTTGTTTTGTATCCAAGATCTTTTCCAATTTTTCCGCAATACGTCGACGGTCATACCCATTGTGTAAACAGTGTTCGATTGTACTTATGATGCGGTCTTCTTCACCACCAACAGCAACTCCCTTTGCCAAAGCAGAGATGTCCGTATGCAATTCATCAATCTCCTTACGCGTATAATAGGACATAATTCGCAATTAATTTGGTCTGAAATATGTTTAAATACTATTTACCAAATTCGCATATAAGTTTGTCTGGAAAAACAATGATTTTATGCAATTTCTTGAAAACGTTGAAAATCGTATCCAAAACTTTCATGTCTCTGATAATTTTGATGACATTAGCCCGATTGCCATATTTTTTATACAAAAAAGATGTAAAGACAAATTGACATGCTTTAATTATAAGATGTCTGCACAAGAGATAATAAAAATTGTGTCATAAATAAAATAAAGGTTCCAGAAATTATCCAAAACAAATACATTAATAGGTAAAAATTACTTCAAATCAATTCAAAAATCACTTTGGATGAATTTTGTGTGAGCATATTCACAAAGTCAAACAAAGTTCTTATAAACTCACATCACAGAGGAGATAAGATTTCTTGCATAAGAAATTATAAAAGTAGAACAAAACAAACACAAATGTCAATAAATATCATAATGTATGCAGAAAATTTATTGACTTTGATCGTTTTATTTAATCGACAACTCTATAAAATACAGTCCTGATTTTGGTACACTGTTCAATCACATTGGCAACGTTGGCAAGATGGTTTGTTAAAGCGGCTTCGTGAGTGGATTCTGACGTGCGTTAATTTTTAGTGCTGAATTTTTGTAATTTTATCTAGTTTTTTGTGAATTAATCACCTGAAATTCGCGAATATTAGTGAAAATGGCATCTGAAGACGAGAATGATGATACTTTTCAAGGTGAGTGAAAATTTAAAAGACTTGTTTTTATGGAAAAAAAGAAGTGAGAAAAGTTTTGTGGTCATTCTTGGCGACGTCGACGTCTACGCGTTCGAAGGCGCAACGAAAATCATAGGCCATGGCGCTGAAATCGACATTAGTCGCAGCAGCAATCGTCTGTTTCTTATAGTCGGCAGTTTCGTTGTTAATACATGTGTCCTCTGGTCATTTGTGTCTAAATTGCGCCAATTTTTCTTATGTAGTTATTGAACTGTGGAATAAGTTTTCGAATATGTGGTAGTCAAAAAAATATAAAATGTTTGACTTCATGCTACATTTGTCTGATTTCATTGCATTTTTCTCTTACGTTTTCGCCATTTTCATATTGTAACATTACATACATCTTTCTCTTTCAGTCTGATGTATATTTAATATTGTTTACCCATATTTTGAGTGTATTAAATTCAAAGTATGTTTAGTGTGCTCGCTTTATTGAAAAATGAAAAATATGAAAAAGCAATGAAACCTTTCGGAATTGTAACATGAGGAGATCAAAACAGAAGAAAGCATTAGGGAGAATCCCATGAAAACATTAATAACAAGGGTTTATTGTGTTTATTTATTGCCAAATTTATTTGTACATATTGTACCATTGTTATCTTCCTTTTTGTTGACATATTTGTGTTTTCTCTATCAAGGTTCACTTAATGCTCAAGTGCTTTCATTAAACTATTTTGTAAATATATAGTTTAGGTCCCCCCACAAAGGGGCCGCAAAAATAATAATTTGTTTTAATCGTCTTATTTAACGCAAAGATGAGAATTCCTTCAGCAAAAAGTAATTGTCATTTTCGCGGCATCCTTAGTTGGGGGACATATATAAGCATGTAAGTCAATACATTAAGATTTAAAAAAAGTCGGTTATCGGCTAAATATCTATTAATTTTTCGATTCCGGGTTAATTTTAAGGATAATCGCAAGAAGCTACATATGACAAACAAAATTTGAATGCTAGCTGTACCGTATTGAATGCAAATAAAGTTTATTATTGTTCTCTTTACTTTATCTTATGTGATTTTTTATGATCTTGTATTATTAAGTCTGAACACAGTAAATAGAAATTGCATTTACATATGTACTATTAGACATGCAGATATATGTACTTTAGAAGTGGGTTATTACTTTAAAATTGCACTTAATATTTTTTACCCAGTGTGTTATTAAGTTCAATATTTCATTGGAAAAAATATAAATGTTCTTCGTTAAGAAAATCTTGGCAGGTGGTTGTAGCAGCTCACTAAACCCAGTTTTGTGAAAAGTAGGCTGTGTATAGTCATCATATGAAAGCTCTGTATACGATCTGTTTCGACGTGGTCTGACTATGTAGAAAAATGTGTGAGTTGGTTTGAGTGAGGATGTAAATAATTCGCGGAGCTTTTGCACGTAATAATTTAAAAATGAAAAACAGCTTTGTCTAGATACGCACTGAACGCCATTCACAATGGAGCCATTAACAGTTTCATCGCTGCCCTCCCAGCGAATGGCGTACTTGGAGTCAAACCACGACCCATTGCAGACGAAGAGCTCAAGTTGGGCCGTTCCCACTACAGTCGGGTCTACGTAACCGGAACGAACCCGGTTTTATCCGGTCAAGGACTGCCAACTCGGCAGAATTCTGCCGCTACAACAACAACAACAGCTCAAGTTGGGCCCCAGATTCTAAAGTGAGTCAGAATCTTATATTATTTATTCGTGGGAATTAGAATTAGAAAGCTATATCTGGTGCTCCTAATATTAAAGGAACTAGTCAATTTCCGAATCTTTACGCTATTTCGTTCCGGATATATTATATGGTTAAACTCCTTTCTATCTAGAATCGACTACGACATACCAAATATATGTTCTGCGTGCAATGAGTCACCTTGTAACTCACCGCCTCTTTGCTCGCCCAATGAATCGCACTCATCTAACACTCCTCACCCTATTCTCCGAGCTCGTCGAAAAAGCATATTTCCTGAGCTACCCGTTAGATGACTTCGATTACAACCAACCCATTATCACCCAAACGGGGATTAGATAACCATTATAACAACAACAACATTTTTGTCAATGTTAAATACGTTTATATTTCAATTTATTGTGTACATAGTTTATATGTACAACCAACTCTTTGCAATTCTTTGCGATAAACTTTTTAATAAAAGCCTTTTAATGTTGTTCGAACTTTGTTTGATAAGAATTAATTTTGCTTCAATATCTGGTATTCGTTTGATAAAAATTTATTTTAATTATAGTCGTCTTGATAAAGTCACTTAAAAAAGTAGAGTATAGTATGTTCTCTCCTCCCTAGTAATTTTTTTTTTAAATTTCGTATTACATCAGTACCGTTCCGAATGATGAACATTCCTTCATAAAGAGAAATTTGGGAAATTGAAACAATTTCGTTTCGTTCTCTTAGTGATAACAAATATCTTGAAATGGTAAACAAATCAGTTGGTCGTTTATGGAACGCTGTTCTCCGTCTATCAAATTAATGATGAGAATGTTGTGTCAAAACGACCAATAATATATACTCATATACAACAAATGCGTACCTGTCAATTGGAACAATTGGGTGATAGCTTTGTTTCCTAAAAAATAATGAGTTGCAAAATATATTTAAGTACTACATATTCATATGTATTGGAAGCTTTACTTCCATTTTTTCAACTTCTGCAAATTTTGAGCGTTCAAATTGAAGGTTACTTATTATTTGAAAGCCTTGATATAAAAAATATGTATGTTTTTTTAATATATGGGACAAAAAAAAACTCGGATGTTTATCTGTCAATTTGGGAATTTACGTGCCTATGTATATGAATCACAAATTAGCGAATGTTTTCCGCTGCCTCTTAATTGATTGACATTTTAACATGCTGTTGCTTACCATATATATATACCTGTTACCTTTTCGTACTAAGTTAAGCCGGAGATCATTTTTAATGCGGTAGTGTTGGCTCTTTTGCACCCATTAAGTCGTCAAAATGATTATTATATGAAGCAACATGCGAAGCTACTCGCTTTTATAGAAATACATATCCATACATTCAACGTTGTTCCAAACTCCCAATTATTCCGGCTTTGTATGTCATTTGTCAGATTACTTAGTGTGAGTATTTAATATTAATAGAATTGTTTCCTTTTTTTTGTTATATAGTATATTCATTTGTTCGTATTTTCGATCCATAGGCCGATGCTATTGTGCATTCCCAAGCACCATGAAGTACGACTATTTTCATATACACATGTTCACGGAATATGGTGTTCCATATATCACAGCATCCCCTAGCGAGCGGCGCTTATACAGTAGTTGAACGAGCGAGAGAGCGAGTGAGTGTGAGTGAGTGAACCGTAACGAGTAAAGTGGGCCGCCGTGAGAATTATTCGATTCATTGTTGCTTGGACGTGGCAGCCATGACGTGATTTCTGAATTCGACTTGGGGAACTTGATTGTGAAAATATCCATAAATTCCTTAAAAATTGCGTTTTTATTCGCGTAAATAGCTAATAAGGTGTGTAATGATATTATAACATTGATTGCGAGTGAAAATTTAGTGTTTATGGAACAGTGGAGTGATTAATTATAAAATTGTGAAATTTTAAGACAGCAAAAACACGTATAAGAGAAAAGGTGTGTGCTGAAGTAAAAAGACACTTCAAATAGTTCTTTTTTCTAAGGACAAACAAATTACAGAAAAATGTTAAATTAAATTAAAAGTTACTATTCACGTATAAAAATATACATTTCAAAAATTTTTCTTCGTAATAATTTCCTACTCTTGTCGCTCGCTCGTTATTTGCATGCAGTCGTATTCGCTTATGTTACTACCGTCTCGTTCCCGCTTGTGTCTCTGCTTCCGTCACTTTATCTTATTGTCGTGGTCGTCTTCGTCGTCGTTGTCAAAGTCGCAGCCGTTAACAAACGCGCCGCAGTCGCTGTCATTTGTACCGTGTCGTGGTATGTGTAGTTGTTTGTGTCACTCTGTTTATGCATATGTGTTTCCTCGAGTTTCGTGCAAAATCGCTCGTCGTCTCGTATCTCACAAAGTCGTCTTCCATTGCTTGTTGTCTTGGTTGTCTCGTTTCGACACGATTCTTCAACTTTTTAACTATTACTACAAAAATAATACAATTCGAAAATAGATATCCTGGATTAAAAATCTATAATTTCTAACATATTTTGATTAAGATGTTGAATAGGGGTGTGGCAATACTTAGGTGCTCAGCGAAAAGGTATACTACGTATTGGGACTTATTAAAGCCGATATGGCTGATTTCACCAGGTAGTGAGAGTAGGGGTAGAAAATGTGCCAGACATATTACTTTCAGATATTTATATATACAGTGGATCACAGCTTATTTGATACAGCAGTCGATATAAATTTCGAATCCTAATATTTTCTAAATTGAAAGGAATATTGAAAAAATTTAAACGCTATATTATAGAGTAAAGAATTTCATATATATAATCTACTTCATTTATTTCAAAAATATTTTATTTTCAAATATATGTATATAAAATTAGAATTACTGCTTAATTTCAGGTCACAGCTTATTTGATACAGTTCAATTCATTCTAAAATAACATAAACAAATCACATTCCATCTTAAATTTTAATATTTTGTGTGAAAGCCTTTCGCCTTAACAAGAGCCTGGATCCTGGTTGGCATTGATTGGACTAACTTTTGTGTGGTTTCTGGGGTAATTTTCTGCCATTCCTCTAGTAGCGCCTTTTTCAATTCCTCTTTGTTCGAAATTTTGTGGCTTCGAAGGTTTTTGTCTAATAATGCCCACAAATTTTCAATAACATTCATATCAGGTGACTGTGCCGGGGGTGTCATCAAATGGGGACAGTTCCATATGAGCCAGGATTGAGCGACTGCTGCTTTGTGTTTTGGGTCGTTATCTTGATAAAAGCGGAATTTTTCTTTTATATCAAGATTCTCGGCACTTTGCAGCAAATTCCTTCTTAGGATATTAAGATACATATTTTTGTCCATTGTCCCTTCAATAAACTCCACATTTCCTACACCGGCTGCGGACATACAACCCCAGACCATCACAGTTCCACCGCCATGTTTCACCGTAGCTCTCAAGTTCTCCTTATTTAGCTCTCTATTCTTTTTTCGCCAAGCGTAAGACATGCTGTCGGACCCAAAAATATTGAATTTTGACCCGTCTGAAAATATAACCGTGTTCCAAAAATCATGGGTCTTACAAACATGTTCCCGAGCGAACTTTAGTCGACATAATTCTTTTCTTTTTTTTTTTACTAATTACTCGGCCATTAAAATCATGTTCGCGGAGTACGCGGCGGATAGTTTCAGCATGCATGTTTTTCCTAATTCTTGCTGAACATCTACAACCAATTTTGGAGCCGATAGTTTGGGGTTTACCTTGATTTTTCGAACAATATAGCGCTCGTCGGTAGCACTAAAAATTTTGTTTGGCGCGCTTCTGCCTTTATTTTCCAATCGATTTTCATGTAAATATCGCTCAATGATGTGATGTACAGTGGAGGCACTAAGGTTCACAATTTCACCAATTTTTCGAACCGATTTACAATTTTTAAAATGGTTTATGACCAGTTCACGCTGCTCAATTGTTGTTACTAGAGGAATGGCAGAAAATTACCCCAGAAACCACACAAAAGTTGGTCCAATCAATGCCAACCGGGATCCAGGCTCTTGTTAAGGCGAAAGGCTTCCACACAAAATATTAAAATTTAAGATGGAAAGTGATTTGTTTATGTTATTTTAGAATGAATTGAACTGTATCAAATAAGCTGTGACCTGAAATTAAGCAGTAATTTTAATTTTATATACATATATTTGAAAATGAAATATTTTTGAAATAAATGAAGTAGATTATATATATGAAATTCTTTACTCTATAATATAGCGTTTAAATTTTTCCAATATTCCTTTCAGTTTAGAAAATATTAGGATTCGAAATTTATATCGACTGCTGTATCAAATAAGCTGTGACCCACTGTATGTATGTATAAATGCCTTAACATTTTCAATAAATTTAAAAAATGTGACCAAAATTAATTAAACTATTATTTAACTTTGTTTTGCAAAAATATACAGAAGTCTTAAAGGTTATATTATTTTTAGTTCTTATTAATCGCATAATTTCCGTTGCTTCAATTGCTATGGGCAAGCATATGGTTTTGCTAATATGCTAAGAGGACATAATTAAGGAAAATCAAATCCTAGATTTTCAAGGCTATACATTTTTTAATTTACCTCCTTAAATGTGACTATAAGATTTACAATAATTTGTTTGCATTGTTTTTATTAAAATAAAAAAAAACTTGTAAAAATAAGTATGAAATTGATGATTCTTTTTAATACCATATAAATAGTATGCATAAAATATACTCAATTATTATCGATAGCAGTGCCTTCTTCCGAGAGGTTATCGTATTAATAATTAGTATTACTATATTTTTTTTGTAACCATTTTATTTCTCAAAAAAATATAAAGGTAATCAAAAGTAATTTGTTGACTTTCAAATATTTCTATTTACATGTGATATTGGCCCTCGCCTGCCAAATACACGTACATAAAATAGGTGAACAGTTTTACCGTTGTATGTAGGTATTAATAACAATTACTGTATTTACGCTTGCAATATTGTTGCAATTTATTGAGAAAATGTGCTAATAAATGGCTATTCATAAGTATGTGATGAGTTCTATTAAATCTCAATGAATCATGTATGTATCAAAAATATATGTATATTCATGTACTTTCATATAAAACTAAAAAGGGAAAAAGTGATGTATGTGCGTTTTTATAATAAAGTGTGGTTTACAATATCTAAAATTTTGAAGCCCTTGGCTAAAATGCATCGAAAAGTTGCGAAAATTTTAAGTTTTAATGTGTAAAAAATTTACTCATTTGTAGGAAATACTTTTAAGTTGCCTTTTAAAAATAAAGACAAAAGTACATTACATAATCCACTAAAGTTGCTAATTTCGGTAATTCCCTAATTAGGTATGATTGTTTCCACTAATCATTGAATTAAAAAGGGTTGTTAGATTAAAATAAAGTTGGGTATTAAAAGAAATCTATATATGTTGCTTAGTAAATAACTTTTTAACCATTAGTGTTTTTGCATTTAACTTTATTGGTGTGAAATAGAAAACACCCGAACTTTTAGGTTTATAGCTTTATGTAAGTTAGAAAAATTTATGAAATTTAGTTATATTAACTTAGATTGAAATAAGTAAATTTAGTACGACTACAATAATTTTTTACTTTAATAATGTACTATTTAAAGGATTTAGTAATTAGGATTTAGTAGAATTTTAATTAATTTTTTAAACCGCAGTTTTATTATGCAAAAGAATACTTAATATTTCTCTAATAAATACTAAATATTTCTAAAATAATTCGCAGTTTATGAAATTTTGTATACGGTTTTTATTTAAACTAATTCGAAATCAATTATTTGAAGTGGAGGTGGTAGATAAGTATTTTTCTTCCCTGAGTTCACAGCTCTCACGGGTTAAGAATCTTATTAAATTCATTTACCTTGTGCACATATATGAGAGTATTTATATTAATTTTACCAAAAAGCCGAAAGAGAAGAGGAAACGTGTGCATTTTCACCAAAATACATCTATATGTGTGTAATAAAATGCAATCGGCCGAAAAAATATACTAAAAATACAATTTCATCGGGAATCGAAAAAAATTATAAATTACTGGTAGGCAGATAAATCGCACTGTGGTTGCTGTGTTCAATGTTGTTTGTTGTTATTGCTGCTTTTGGTATGGTATCTATACCGTTCGTTGAATAAGCGAGGCATAATTTGTATTCGCTGAATTTGAAGAAAAATATACATACATATATAAAATTATATAGCAACAGCGTTGCAAAGTAAAGTATACGAAACGAAAAGCAAAATGAGTAAAACAAGGCGAAAATGAATAAAAAAGAACGAAAAGAAAAATTGTTCGAAATAAAAACGCAAAGAAGTGAAAGTATTGTTTGTGCGACGACGGTGCAGCATTCATAAAGCAATTCGTCTACACATTAAAACTGGCGTCTATCCGTACATTTGTCGTCATTCTGTTTTTACGGTCGTTCGTTCGTTCATTGGAACGTCTGTGCAAGTATGCAATCAGCTCAAAACAACAACAACACAAATATGTAGCAACTTCGACCCAGTCCGAATAACGTGAGTGAATTGCTTGCTCGTGGTTTTGTCAGTCGATTAGTTCGTCTATTTGGTCATACACTTTGAATAGTATGAATTCACATAGATTTTGGTTCCGTAGTGGCATTTGGCCGCTTTTGTTGTTGTTGCTTTAATTCGCTCACCTATTTTTCTGTGTGCCCCCATCATCCATTTTCGGTCATAAGTGCTTTGCATTGTAAATTTACTCGACGGGCTTCAGCCATACCATTGGGGTAATCCTATCGAAATCACTTCAGACCCATGGATATAAGCATATACTTGTTGAAGTGTACTATAAAATAAATTTAGATATACATATTTATTGATAGCACAGTTTCGACACACGTTTCCTGGAATTCAGTTTTGGATACAAATTAAAGAATAGTTCTCTATATATCTTTGGCAAATTAATATGTTAAAACACCCAGTTCCTAACTTTTAGCTCTATTTCTCTGGTTGTTTCAGTCGAGTCTGTAGGAAACATAACCACTTCCATTTTTTATAAACACCCAATACTACTGATTTATAAGAGAAGAGGAAAATATATGTTTTATTTATTTATATGAATTCGGAAGATTTGTTCACTTCAACGTCTTTATACCCTGAACAGGGTATATTGACGAGCTGAGCCGAAATTTGGCATGGATTATTGACCTGTGAACACTTTGTATAAATCAAACTACTATAGCATATAGCTGCCATACAAACTGATTGATAAAAATCAAGTCATTGTAAGAAAAACTTTTTTATTTCAAGAGATATCTTCGTAAATTTGGGGGGAATCGGACCTATATATCAAACTGACCGATCAAAATCAAGTTCTTGTATGGAAACTTATTTTTTTGTGAAGGGTATTACAGCTTTAGTGCATCTGAAGCTAACCTTTTTATTGTTTTAGCTATGTGGAGCTGCTCTCTTTAATGCAAACGGCTATGTATTTATTGCCTTGGCGAATGTCCTTGAGTCCTTCTGACCCATTTCCAAACAAAATACTCAAATTGGAAATCGATATGTCTTGGGTCAAAGTTCTCAAATGTGGGAAAGGTTATCTCAAAACAGATTTGTCTTGTCATCTGAAAAGTTTTTAACTGAATAATATTTAAAGATAGCCTACGCTACTTTTTTATATACGAAGAAAAATTCTCAATTTAAGGATACATTTGAACAAATAGCTGTTGTTTAAAATGCAATGGTTAAGGAATGTATGTACCCAGGCTTTAATGCGGCAAGATTTAGTAAACTTTATATAAAGCAATTCGACTCTAGTCAAAATATTACATCGGGAACTTCGGGAGATGGTAGAGGTACGTTTGAAAATTAACAGATCATCACCTTTGTATAAAACTCTATTAACTCAGTATTTAATAAAATATTTAAAAAGGATTGGTCATACAAATAACGGTTGTGCATTATTATTGCTCATGCTCTAGTTCTTCGTTTTCGATTGTGGTCTGTTTGTCAGTGCAGTAGTTGATTATATATTTGTTACTTACATATTGAGCTACATACATATATATATATATATATATGTATAATCATGCAAAGGTATGCTCATATATACATTGTGTATCCAAATGGCCCCGCATGTGTAGAAGTATTATTCACATAAAGCTAAAAAACGGTCATACATATACAGCACAACCTTAAACCAAAACCCCAAAGCTAACGCCAGTCACAATCACAGTTGCTACACGTATAGAAACTACTTATATTCAACAGCCATAATACAGTGCATAATATATATATACATACATATATATATAAATGGATTTATGTATTTCACTTGCTGACTGTCAGGTCGTCTGTTTGGTCGTTTGGTTACTGATTTCCTTGTTTAGTTTTTTTTTTGTTTTTTTTTATTAATTTATTAAATTGTTTCTTCGTCGAGCTTTACTTCGAAATGTCTTAGCTTGAAAACTTGTTTTTTCGCATTTCGTTTTATTGTACTTTTTTCATTCCTGCATGCCAACTCTTTCGCATAAAGCTTAAATTATATTTCGAATGCAGCTTTAGGGTAATTGGTGCAATACTTTTGTAATTGTTATCGTTTTTAACATATCTATTGTTGTTAGTTTTCGTATACTGTATGTTTTAGTAAGCGCAGTAGATCTTCAAGCTCGACGGTATTTGGTATGTCCGCACCTATTTGCGAGCTTGCAGCTAAGTATGTACTATCTTTGACTTTAATAGTTTAAGTTTTTCTATGGTTGCCGTTTTTATAGCCTTGTTACCCCCTTACAAAAAATGGAGTTTAGTTTTGTATTGTAAACTATGTGTACAGTTATAACCGTTAGCAGCGATCGGTTGGCTGATCTGTCAGACATGATTCGAATGGACGATTATTAGCTCGTTGGTAGATTGAACTATTATTCATATGAATTCTGTCTGCTCTCTTTCCTTGTACCTTAGTAACTAGCTCCATATCTTATTTGTTTTATTCAACTTACCTTATGTTGACCCAAGTTCTTCAATTAGTCGATAAATTCGCACTTAGCACACTAGCACGAATGCATATTTTCAAGCAAATATTAACAATTGCACAATTTTTTAATTTTTCTGCAAAAATATCTTGCGAGTACCGGGTCGCCCTGAGCACTCCGGGCCCTTGAGGAATTGTTCCTGCTCTCCCCTCTCTCTCGGTCACTGGTTTTAATCGTTTTGCGAAAGCCCCTACGTGACATAGACTTGTCTCGGCAAACCCTACTTGCTGAGTAACAGTTTGAATATAAAAAAAACCAATAAAAGGTATAATTATTATGCACTGCTTGATTTCATTTCGTAACGATAATCTTCTGCATAAGATACTTTACGGCCTTTTGCTCGAGATATAATATTTAAGTATGTATGATGTATGTGCACACAGTTGCAAATAAGTGTGTCCACGTTTGTACGTATACAAATTTATTAAAAACCCCAGCATTAGCCTTACTGTATCTCAATTACAATAAACATAAGTATATCAAAAAAAAATATATATATGTATATAAAACTTGTCTTGTTGGATTTTACTTTTCATATCAGCTGTATTGGGTTTAAACTAAATGCCTCTGCTCTCACTAATTTTGTTCTCTCGCTTACGTACGATCGAAATCGTACTTATACTGTCGTGCATATTTTCATTTAAATATGAACGCTTCTTGTACATACGAGTATATGTACGTATACTCGTAGATCTCCTTATATACTCTCAGCGATGCAAATATACATACCTATACAGTTCTCTTCATTGAGTTTGCCCCTCTTCATATCTTCTTATAACTATCTTTTTCACACCTCACATTATGAACATTTGCCTTCTCACTCTGAAGGTCACACGAATCAATCGAACCTCCAACGAAATAATTACTTTTCAACTTTTGATTTTGGATTTGGGGTTATGAATGGAACATTTATAAAAAGTATAGTAACATTAAAGAAATTGTTGATATGCATACATTTAAATTAGTGAAAATGTGTTAATTTTAGCCACGATCTTGGTATAACACGATCTTTGTATGTATGTTCATGTGTATAATGATTATTTGAAATTATATGCATAAAGCATTTTAATTGTTCAATTGTCAAAGATATTTTGTGTATACTCTTTTATCATTATGCGTCGAACGTAAAATCTGAGTTGATATTAATTTCAGTTTGCTGCTTAGTCGAGCGTCTTTTCCAATTATAATCTTGTAGACTAAAGTGCGAGTCCTACAAGTTAGAGCGCCAGGAACAATGGTTATACCCTGCACAGGGTATATTAAGTTTGCCAAGAAGTTTGTAACATACAGAAAGAAACGTCAGAGACCTTATAATATATATACATATCAATGATCTGCGTGATGAGTTGAGTTGATTTATCTATATATGTCGGTCTTTCAATCTGTATTCGCTCGAACTAGTACCGTAGTTTTTCAGATATTAATTTGAAAATTTTGTACACGTCTTTTTCTCTCCAAGTATCAACTCATTTGTCGGATTCGCCGATATCGGACCACTACTGCATATAGCTGCCATACAAACTAAACGATCAAAATCAAATTCTTGCATGCAAATTATTGTATTTGACAAGATATCTTTCCGAAATTTGGCATGGATTATGGTTTTTGTTGTTGTAGCGGCAGAATTCTGCCAAGTTAACAGTCCTTGGCCGGTTTAAATTCCGGGTCCGCTCCGGTTACGTAGACCCGTATGTCATGGGAACGGAACGGATTATTGTCCAAGACTACGGTACAATATCACAACAAATTGATCAGGTCGCACTGCCATGCAAACTGAACTATCAAAATGTTTTTGTAAGGAAACTTTTTTATTTGCGAAGTATATTATAGCTTTCGTGCAACCGTAGTTAAAGTTTTTCTCTTGGTTTTATTTACATTTTGAAAAATATACACATGTAATATTTTCCGATCATCATAAATATTCATCTTACAGATTACTGTGTCGATTCCAAAGAAAAAAGGGGAAAATTTATGACGATCTCTGCATGATATAAGAACTATTTTCTTGTTTTTGTACACGTTCTTACTAGAGATGCCTTTAGAATACTTTTAGAATAGGCTTGAAGGCTTACTATTTTACAGGAGACTAAGACTAGGCAATACTAATAATACCACTAAATTATTCCTCGAAACTTGTGTTATGTCCCATAACAGTTGTTTGAGTTAATATACTCATGATAGTAACTAGATTTTTGTCGCATGTAGTTATAACAGGTAGATTCGCGAATTTTGAACGCTTAGACTATGAACAACAATAAGAAAAATTTTGTTTTTGTGGAATAATAATGTAAAAAGTGAAAATAGTGCAAAATAATGATGCATAACGCCGAATAAACAAACATATAACAATCTCAACGGTTTATAAAGGAATTACGATAAGAAATTATGCGCGCAAACGGTATTGCTTATTGGTGACATAAGAAAACAAAAAAAAAAGTCTGTCCTTACAATCGATAAAGTGACAAGTGATGGAGACAACGTAAAACATAGAGCAAAAACGACGAGCGACATATGTATATACATACATATACATTTTCAGTGATAAAATTATTTTAAATAAATTTTGTATTTTCTACATAAAGCACTTTCAAATCGCAAAACACACGTAGTTTAAAAATCCCAAGGAATAAAAGAGTAAACCGGAAAGAATTCAATATTAGAACGCCAATAGTCCAAATTCACCATCAACAACACCATGCCACCAGTCAGCCAAACATCAATTCAATCGCAACAATTGACAAAATAATAACAAAACAAAGTGCATTCACGAAAAGAAGACAAAGTAGAGTGTGAGGAAAGAGAGATAAGGCGGCATTGAGTTTAAAAGAGTACTATTTTGCAGTTCATCAAACATACAGTAAGCAAGTAAATTATCAAAGAATAAAATATAAATCACAAGCAACTCAAAACAAAAAAATGTACTTTGCATATACTAATGAAGAAATTTTATAGAAATTTTCGTCATCACGTCAGCAGTCAATTTGTATGCTACAACAAGACTCCAAACATCTTACATTTCGATTTGATTTCGTTCATCAGGTCAGTTGTAATTGCACTTTAAACCACAATACATCAGTGTGGACGTCCCCGAAAAGTACATAAAGTGAGTTGCTCAAATGCTATTTGGACGGTGTGTATATGAAAAATCAATGCATTTTTTAAACCGAATTGAGTTGTTTTTAATTTCATATATAGTCTTGTTAAAAGAAAAACATTTGTTTTTATTTATTAATAAAATTAACTACATAATTATATTTGATTAATGGTATTTTGTCTACCACACCATAAAGATTTCATCTTCCAAATATTACTAATATTTTTGATGTATTTTTTTTATTTGAAAAGAAATAATGAAAGTTCTATTGTAAATGGATTTTTAAAAATACTACGCTATTTTCGTGCAAATTCGGACACCACAACCAACACAAACAAAATGTTGCCCTTGATAATACTATTTCTCACTTTCCATTCAATTAACGAATAAACTAAAGAACCTTCAAAATATTTCCTATAAAAACATCATATGTAGTTATATTTGTAAGCTGAGATGTATCTTTATTATCAAATACTTTCAAAGAAATTTTATCCAATTCATACATTTGTTACACGTCTACAAAAAGCCGTGCCAGAGTCATAAATAAATTAAATATAATATAAAAAACTTCAGGAATGAGAGCCTCTGTAGAAAAAATTAGTATTAATGATTATACCAGCAAATTAATATATGAGATAGACATATCATTAATAGCAAATTAAAACAATAGTCACTTAATTTTTAAAAATCATTTCCCGGTATTTATCAATACAAGTACAATTGAAATAACCAATGTTTTGTACAGAGCTCTTTTCGGTTTAGATACAAAAATTGCACTTTTTTCATATTGCTGTCAATAACCCCTACTGAAGTACATTTTTTACAAATAAAGCAATTTTTTGTAGAACTGTTTCTCGTCGCGCAAACCCCCTTCAAAATTCATTTACAAAAACAACAAGGAAATACAGCGACTAGCGGAGATTGAAAGCAATTTTGGCAATCGTCAAAGAAAAAAATATATATTAAAATATACGTAAACAATACCGTAATATTAGTATAAGCAACAACAACGAAGCAGTAGTGATCGACAAGTACTCGCCAGAGAGAAGCTGAGAATAAGTTCCAGCGAGTGATTGCAAAAGTAACTACAACAACAAATAAGCGAGCGGCGGTAGAGTCAACTCGAAAATAGTCATATTTGTACAAAAATCAAAAGATACATCAGCCGTTTTGTATGTGTTTACGTTTATATACAACACACCCAACACCGCCCCGCTACACCAAATTCATTTTGTTTTGTCATTCGCTCGTTAATGCATAATTCACTCGTCGTTTTTCAACGAACGTGTTTATTAGCACAGCTGGTAAAGTTACAGGTAACCAGCGATTTTTGAGAGAATGAGAGAGTGGCACCAAGACTATAAAATTTAGTAAATGATCGATTTTATGAGAGGGTGAATATACATATTCGTATGTTAAATAACACTATATAAGAAACTGGTTTGTATTACAAGAAAAAGGAAAGCAAAAAATTTGCTTAACAACGAACATCACAAAATCTGTTGGCCTGAAAAAAGGAAATTCTCTCCCAAGACAAACCAACAGAATTAATTATACGTTTGTTGTTTTGTGTCTAAAAGTTGCTTGATTAGGGTGCAATTTTTTAGAAAAAATCATAAGTGCCTGTCAAAAAGGGGAAAGAGCGCAGATTGAAAGAGTATAAAAGGTCGGAGAGTGATCACGCCGTGAATTGGAGAAGAAGAGTGCATGAAATAGAGAGAGCGTAGATAGAGAGTACAAATTGCAAACTTGTTTCATTCGACTTTGTGCTGATTGTCAATATAAAAATAACAACAACAATTAGTGACAGCAACGTACAAGCAGTCGGGAAGCAACAACAAGTGATACAAAGCACGTACTAAACTGAAATTAAAGTAGCAGTAACAACAGCACGAGCACAACAACAACGATAAAAGCAAGGCAAGCAAAGCAGCACTACCTAACCAAACAACCAACCAACTAGCCAGTCAAGCAAGCAACCGCTTGGAAAACAACTCGTTTCGATTTCGTTTCACAGATACCTTTCGGACGTCGATAAAGATACCTTTAATTTAAAATGAACTTAAATTAACATATACTATATATGATTGCGTCGCGTACATCATATAATCGTGTGGAGAGAGTAGAGTGATTGAAGTGTTATTCAAAAAGTTATTTAGTTTTTTAGAAGCCGAAAAATTCACGCAATAGAAAATTGTACAAATTATCAACGTAATAAGTGCTCCATAAAAAGTGTGACTTCGAAACGTAGATTTTGTGCTGAAACTGATCAAAATTTTGCAAGAATAAAATTAATGATAAGTTTTTTTAATCAAAAAGTAAAGCAGAAGGACAGTATGGTAGATACATGAAAAATATTTCAAAAAGAGCAAAAGAAGCAAAAAATCATAAAAACCACTAAATCCCCAGAGCACCAAGAGCAAATCCAACAATAACTAATTGATGAAACGAGCAAAAATTTCGCTTATATTGAAATGAGACGTTGACAAAAACAACAGGAGATATAGAAGAAATAAAAACACGCAACGCTATTGTTTTTTTTTTTTTTTTTGTATTTTTTTTTCATTTTGACATTCTACAAGTGTATGCATATTGAATTAAATATATATTATAAAAACCATACACAAATGACTTTTAGCAATAACAACAGTAGCAGCTGAAATTCGTCGCAACGTCGCCACATATCTATATACTACATAGAAACAAAGCGAAAATCTACTAGAGCCAAGTACGTACTGTTGTCTTGCTTCAACGCACCAAATGTAGGCAGTGACAAATGGAGATACGTACAACGTATCTTGCAGATACCACAACTGTTTGTATTTTCATCAGCAGTAGTTGTAGTAGCAGCAGCAACAGTAGCAATCACAGCCACAACTATAACTACAGCTATAGCTATAATAGTAGTGGCAGTAAATACCAACAAAAACAACGACAAAATCTACAATAAAAAGATAAAAACAACAATAGCCAATAAAATTACAAAAAATAAAATATCTATCGCAGTGACAGAAGCAGCGGCACCAGCAGCAACAAAATCCATGCCTACCTTAACCCAATTAAATAATTTCGTTATTTAACAAGAAAATTGCTATTACTTTGAGTACCAACCATACCAGAATTAAATTGTCTCAGTCGATTTTACCCGTGAAAAATAGAACAGAACATTAAAAAATTATCACGTCGAACAACGGTGAGCGACTACCAACAGCTCCAACAAGGGCATAACTAATACACAAATAGGACACACATAAGACGGTGAATAGCGGCTGCGAAAAAGCCCCCCTAATACAAACAGTAAACAGATCAGCAGGCGTGCCTGTGTCTGTGACCATTTTTTTTTTTGCACACCCCGTACGCACACAATAAAGCGCGATCCACCGTCGAATTAATTAGAAAAAGAAAGAAGGCAAATTTTTTCGTCGCAGTATTGCTTATAGAATCCAAAAACTTATAACTATACTATACATATAACAAGAGAAACATATTAAAAGTTTAATCAAAAGCATAAAATTGCATACGATCCAGACGCGTCAAGAATTTTCGCCATAATCGCTGATCCTAACCAATGAAAATCACGCGTAATCATCATTCACAGTGGATACGGAAGTGAATAAAACAATACACAAAAATAGTATCTAAGAAAAGTTACTGTTCATCGTGAAATCAAAAATTTACAACAATAAAGCCAAATACAATATCGTACCAACAAAGACCAAAAAATTAGAGGTGCAGCTACGACTAAAAAACTTGTCGATAGACACAACATAAAAAAAAAATTTAAGAATTTTTCAAAACGGTTTGTCCTCCAAACAATACTAGAGCAGACGTTAACAAAATACACGTGGAATTATTGACTTCTCCACAGTAAACACTACTAATTGCAGTACGTTTATTTTTATTCAGCACTTGTAAAAAGTTCCACAAAAACTATTCAACTGAAAGCGAGTAAAACTCTATGAAACATTTTTTAAATCAATAATCAAAATAAATATAACTGAAAAGGTTGAAAGAGAACTACTGCAATACTACCACGTCCTAAGAGTTTGTATTGTTAAAAATCTACTAAAGCGGCCAACGATAACTCTTCCACGGTTGATGCTTCCTACAGAAAAAAAATTAATACATAACTCGAACAAACGTTATACTTCCACAGTCGCAAATTAAACTCCAAGCACTACTTAGAAGCAGATATATAAGTATCAAAGGAAAAAGTAACTCACCTGCGCCAAAAGTATATCTATATCAACGTAAAATTGTCTAAATCTAACAGAATAGGATATCATAAACATCTTAAGACCTGCAAGTGTTAAACGAGTGTGAATTATCTATAGAATTAAACACAACCAATAACCGCCACGCAGTTTGATTGTATTGCGTTATGACAAATTCGATTGCCACTGCAAAATGCCCTTCAGCACTTACGTCCGGCAACTATGGCATGTCACAAAATCGTTACTCCGATGAATCTAAGGACTATTTTTTTGTTAAACTCACAGATTCAGCATACCGCGCTATCGAGGAATATCAACACAATGAGAATAGCAAACGCTTCACAAATGGTCAACGTCCCAAAATACAAGTCAATGGCAATTCCGGTGTCATCTATTTTCCCACATTGGACAGCAATGAAGGTCGTAAATTTGGTTTTACTATCGATGATATTGAGGGCTCCCTTGAGTGTATACAACAGACTTCCGAAGGTCTCGATGTGCTTGGTTCAATACCATACCGCATGCGTATCCATGCCAATGATGATATCTATGACACGACCCGTACCAAAATGGCAATTGCCGAAGAGACGGAGAAGAGTAAATGTATACGAGAAATTAAGCCAAATCAAACTGATATTGGACGTAAGGTAAAGAAATCTGTTCCGTCATCGACAGTCTATCCGCATTTGAGCCACGGTGGAAATAACAATGGCAACAACAACAATAGCAGTAGTAATTATTTAAGTAGCCTTAGTCGTAGTAAATTAACAACGTCGCTGAATAGCAATTCGCCACCAGCGTTAAATAGCGGTAATGTGACAAATGAACGCGCTAACAATAAACTTGGTGGCACAAATTTGTCCACATCATCCTCATCCTCACGTTCACCAAATCCCACGCTTCTAGGCGGATCGGGTACAATTGCCAGTGGTAGTAGTAGCGCTAATAATCGTTATGGCAACGGTAGTGCGAGCAATATATATTCTCAGAACAACTTATCACCGTCACTACCATCGCTAACATCCGCCTCATCGCTCTCTTCCACACTGGCAGGTGGCATCTCCAACGGGTATGCGTCAGCTACTCAACATAATTCGCCGAACGAATCCACCACATCTACATTAGTTAATAGTGGTGTTAACAGCAAACAGTCACGGCTGAACAGTAATGCAGTTGGCGGTAATGGCGGCAATTTCTCACGCGGTGGAGGCGGTAGTTCGTTCTCTGGTAATGGTTCGAAGGCGGGTGGTGGCACTAAAGGTGGCGCAGCATCAAATGCTAATGGTGGAGGCGGCAAGTTACCTGACATATCGCGTCGTAAAATACGTGAACGCCTGATCCATTTACTTGCCTTGCGGCCTTTCAAGAAGCCCGAATTATATGCACGTTTACAGAATGAAGGATTACGTGATCGTGAACGCTCACTTATAAGTAATATACTCAAGGATATTGCACTTTCACGTGACAACACGTACAATTTACGGCGCCAAATGTGGAATGACGTAAACGAAAATTGGCCATATTACACTGAGCAGGAGCTACAGCAGCTAAAACGGCGCAAGCCCCAGAACCTAACTCCCCCACTTAGCTCAGATGCGGGCAGTTCTACGTCAGGCCAGAGTCCAACTTCAACACACACGGGCAGCCCTCCTCCACTAGCTGGTGGTGGGGGGATGAATGGCGGCAACAGTTTGAAACGCACTAGTCTGGAGTACGATGAGCCATTTCCGCCGAAGAAGCAACGTATTAGTCATATGGCGGCCACAGGAGCTAGTGTTAGTCGCATGAATGTGGCGAGCAATAATAACACTGGGGGTAACGGTGCACGTCCCGGAGCCAGTTTTGGTACCATGAACAACAGCAAGAATAGCGGTAACACCAATTTCTCAATGCAGCGCAATAAACATGCAACGGCTAAAGCGTCTACCTATTCCCCACAAGGTCCTAGGAACGCCACGCAAAGTAGTGAGAATTCCGGTAATAGTGACCTAAGCTACAATGTGCTCAATAATATGGACGATTTCATGCTTAATATAGAAAATCCTCAAGGAAGTGGTTATACAGCTCATAGCAACGGTAGTAGTGTCAACAGCAGCAACAATAATGCACGCAAGTCCAATAGTAGCGGCAACAGTAAATCAGCTGGCAGGAATCCGAAAGAAAACCGTCACTCTGGTAACAACAGTGGTGCGTCCAGCGTAACAACAAATATTTCGCCGAAAAATAATACGAACAATGGAAACGGGAACAATAGCAATTATAATATACAAGAGAACGAAGGTAGCAGTAATAATCTGAAGCATACCATAAAACGTTGTGCATTAGCAGGCTCGCCGAAGAGTTCCTTGCCATATGGTGTTAATTTTGTTCCAGAGTCTAGTAGTAGTAATAGTAGAGCAGCGGTACGCGATAATAGCAATCGGAGTGGCAGTGGCAGTGCGAACTATCGCCACCAGTCGCCCAACTATGCGCAGCAGCAGCAGCAACAACAAAAGTCAAGTAATAGTGTCATATACTCGCCAAAAATGCACGCAACTATGAACGCCGGTAAAAATGAGCGTGAAGAGCATGTTCCGGCGGGGAGAAATAGTAGCAACAACAAAAGTCAGACAACGTCCCGTTCAATGGGCTCATCAACGGCAACGGCATCAGGTAGTAGTAAACAGCAAATGCGTGGAGTTGGTGTACGCTCACCAACGCCACCTGGACAAGAACAGCAACGGTACTTGCAACAGGGTACACATTACCAATCGCAACAAACGCATTCCGCCAGCACAAACTCTCCAGTGCAACGGCATAACAACCAATCCCAACATCTTCATCAACAGCAGCATCACCAGCAGTCACAGTTCGAAAGCAATTCTCAACTGCCGGTAACACAGCATTCCGCTATCACCGATGCAGTTGACGTAGACGCCGCAGAAACGCCAAATTATGATTTTAGCAGCTACACAGATATCACAAGCATTGAACAGCGACGCCAATACAAGACTGAATTCGAACGGGACTACGATGAGTATCGCCAGCTGTTGGAACGCATCGAAGATGTACGCCGCAACTTCCAAGTACTTGCTGATCAACTGCAACGTGCGCCACAAGGTTGTTCTGATTATGAGCATATTAAAGAACAAATTGTGGCCGAATATGAGCGTATAAATAATGAGGAAGAGTTGAAGCGGGACAAACAACGTTTTGATTACTTGCATGCTAAGTTGGCGCACATAAAGCAACTTGTGACCGATTATGATAAAACATTGACATCAATGGCGGCGGCTGCTGCTGCGGTGGCGGCAGCACAACACCATCAACAGCAACAACAACAGCAACAAGAGCAACAACTATTACAGCATGCCTCGACCACAGCGGCTATGCATATGGCAGCTGGCGCTACAACGCACTTTGTAGATGGTAGTACCAATGTGTTGACCGCTGCGACTGCGCATAATGCACGTGTCTCACCGATGGTGAGCGGCAGCGAAAGCAATCATTCACCACCAAGTGGCTATCAAAATCAAACGCAATACTTTTTTCAACAGCAGCAACAACAACCAAATCTAATAACACAACAACAAGATCAACATCAAAACAATGATGAGACCTTGCACAGAAAGAAAAAGCATACACACAACACTTTACAACGGCACCACAACCAACAACAACAGCAGCAGTATCATCAACAATACTATTTGTCGCCGGAAAATCAAACACACGCGTCATCTTATGATGAACAACATAGCGCACAGCAGCACCAACAACGGGAACAGGAACAGGAACGATTCAATGGTCACCATCATTATCAGGGCAATAATAATAGTAATAATGATGATTCCGATTCAGATGATTCTTCCGACTCAAATGATGAAGACTCTAACGATGATGATTCAAATGATGATGACGACGATAATGGTTCGGATCATGACTCGAACAATGATGATGACGTCAATGGAAACTTTTGATTTTGTGCTTATTGGAGTGAGACTTCTTTAATATAATACCTATATAAAAATAACAAAAGGCATAAGTAATTGAAAAGCAGAAGGATGATTGAATGAATTTGCAAACGAGGCGTATTTATGCTAAAAGTGATTTCCCTAGTTTGAAACGTAACTCGCTAAAGGTATGCTTTTGTTGGTATTTCTTGTTATCATTGAATGTGGGATCGCCGACACACCTAAGCAAAAACACACAAGTGCATATACATAAATACTTACTATATAGTAAATAGATTGCTTTTGTAAATATGTTTTTTTTTACTATAAACAGGATTAATTATTGATTGTTCTAAATACGCCCTGATTGCAAAACTTCCGCAAAGTTTTGTATTAAAAGGAAAGTAAAAAGGAAATGAATGCGAAAGTGAATTTGAAAGTGTAAAGAGCGTAAAATATCCTAAAAACAAAAAACAAAACAAAAAAATATTTTATTATAAAAGAAGAAACGCATAAGTATATCGTAAAAATTTACTTATCTTTAAAAATAGTATACACATACATAATTAAATATATTTTTAAATCAATTGAAAAACAAAAAACAAAACTAGAGCAAGCAGAAATTTTAAGGAAAGAAGTAATTGTGTAATAATTAGTTTTAAGTGGCAAATGCCCATATTTGTTTTAGTTTTATGCTTTTTTTGCCGTCTTACTACCTGTACAATACAAAATTTGGAAATGTTTATTGCAACCGTTTATTATGTGGGCGGGCACAGCTGTAATAATTAAATAAATTACAAGCAAATGTTGAACTTGAAGTTAAAAAAAAATAAAAAGTTAAAAAATTAGTTAAATTTGGTATAAATAGTTTTTTATTTGTTACAATTTGTTTGAAGGACGAGTGTGCTAAAATTGTATTTAGAATACATCCCACAGCTTACGACAAATATTCACTTGAATTCGCTTATTAAAAATTTTAATATTTCGTTATACATATGCATATACATACGTACACAAGTATAATAATTAAAAAATTACAACAACACCAAAAATCGTAATAAAAATGCACAGCTGATAAAAGTAATTAAAAAACGAGCTCAATTCATCTTACGTATTTTGCTTCAAAAATATGAAAGCTTAAAAGAACAACAACAAATACTTGTAACACACACTCACGCTCACATACATTTGCAAACGATGCAAAAAAAAAACAAATGATGGAACTAAGATTTTTTTTAATATATTTTTGCTGCAGACTATTAGATGCATTTTGCCTTATTTTCTCGTTTCATTATTTCTTGCTTTTTAGTCTTTAATTGCATACTTTCATATGTAGGTGAGTAAAAAGAATGCTAGTTGTGCAATTTTTGTGGCAAATTTGTGAAAGTTTACTTTTCTAATTGTTGTTGATTTGAAGAATTAGTATGCGCTTTTTTCTAGCCGTCATATACATGCATATGTATGTATAAATAAAAATATGTATACAAATATGTTTGTAAGAAAGTGTCCATATGTAAGGATACTCAAAAGATTTGAAGTCATGTATTCCAAAAAAAATTGACTCCAAAGATCACCAAGTATCCAAGTATTTGTGTTAGTAATTCTTGTTGTCAAGGCAAAAGTCGGTACTTTGATAAAGATAGTACTTCAACGCGAGTCTTCGAAAGTCAGTTTGACATTGCTTTACGCGCAATTTTCCCTTAACATATAAAATGTGTATATTTCATTGAGTATAATCGTGAATATCTACTGTTTCATTTAGTTCGTTCGTTCGTTCGTACTTCACTAATCTTATTTTCTATTGTATAGATAACGTACGTATGTATGTATGCATATAATTATTGTCATGGCGGCTAAATGGCTAATTAAGAAATTCAAGCATCCAGCAACAACAACTATAATCGAAATATGATTTCAAATCACATCCTAGCTGAAAAAATCAGTAGAACACTTTTTTTTATAGTGAAACTGGTATAAATTACGTTATGCGTTATGATTTTATATATGTATATATAAATATACGGTATTAGTGTATATGTGAGAACGGTGAATGATTGATATATGCATATGCATTAAGCAAAAGAAAAAACGCAAACACTTTTATTTAAATTTCAATGTTGAAGTGACTACACAAATTGTTTGTACACTATTAATGTTAAGTTGATATTTTTGCACAACTTTGCTAACAGTTGTTAATAACGATTTTGGAGAATTCGAAATTTTCTTAAATAGTTTATGAGACTTAGGTCTTTTTTTTTGTTTTTGTATTTAATGATATTGTTAATAACTAACTGAGTAATTGAGATTAATTTAAAGTACATAATTTATATACTTAACAAAATAAAAGCGAAATTGTAATAAAAACACATTTTGTGTTGTCACCAAGCAACTTTTTTAATTTGCTTCAAAACTAAAAATGGCAAATTTACAACCATTCGTATGTGAAGGAAAATGGTAGTGGAAAAAGCAAAACAAAAAAAAAACTTAAAAAATAAATTTGATATATTTCATATAATTATTATTATTTAGTATATAGTACATACAAACACACGTAATTTTGCATAACTAAAATACAAAACAAAATTATGGTAATGATAATGACAATGATGACGATTGCAATTATGATTAATATATGAGGTCATGATTATAATGAAAATTTATTGATAAACTTTAAATATACATGCATATTATATAAATATATACCTATATACATAAAATATTAAGTGCAGAACTGCTGACAAAACCAGCAAAAAATCAATTGAAAAAAAAGATATTGTTATATTCTTAGTGTGTAAATGCAAATGAAATGGAAACTGACGAAAAAACAAACACAAACATTAAAAAAACTACAAAAAATATAAATATAATTTGAAAAAAGAAATTGGTTTTTATTAAGAGATCTTGTTTAGGGCATACAGAAAATAATACAGTTATTCGCAAAATACTTTAATTCTGTTCATTAGAAACTACCCAATTCTCACACACGCAGAGTTTTATGGAATACTACTAAAATTGTGTGTTTGCCATTCTCGTAGGGTTTGACATATAATTTATGTAAGTATTGTAAAATTTCAAATATACAGTTTAAACTACTTAGACGTGGTAGCAATTGAAAGAAAATAAAAACTCAAGTGTACTACGCCGGACCACAAAACCCACGAAGTACTATTTTTTCCACAATATTCAACTTATTTTTATATGCTGCGTATTATTAATATGTTTATTATATCATATATAGAAGAGGAAGAAGCACTCGATGAGTCTGCGCAAGTAGCTGAACTGTCAAATGATTCCGATGCACCATTAAAGCCCAACGTAAGTAGTAACTACTTTATTTTATTTATTTTGAAATGTTTGAAACTTATAATCTAATAAATTCAATATAGAATGATGAAGATGACGATTATGATCCCGATGATAATCGAAAAAAGAAGAAGGGCAAAAAACGTAAAACTAAAAAAGGAGAAGAAAAAGGACGCAAGAAGAAGAAGCGTAAGAAGAATGATAGCGACGATGACAGTGATTGTATGCAGCATGACGAAGAAGTCGATTATAGTACAACGAAGCGTGGACGCAAGCGCAAGGAAGCGGAAAAATCCACAGCAAAGGAAAAGGAGTCGACATCTTCAGGTGAGTTTAATTTTACAATACATACAAACAGCTGAATTTAATATTTTATCAATTTTGAGGGATCGCAACTTTTAATTTATATCTTTTATTTCTATAAAAAACATTGTAATTATGTAGATTGAAATTATATTTTCGAATTTTTTTTTTATTTTTTTTTTGTTGGATTATTTTGGATTACAATATAATTGGCAATAAACAAAAACATATGTACATACATACATAGTAAACAAAAGTATTTTTTTGCAGAGTACTTTCTTTAAAAAGTCAAGTTTGATAATAATTTGTTATTCGTGTACATGTCTGAAAAATAGGTAGTACTTGTATTTGAATTGGTAAATCCAATAACATTGATTCTTTTTATTTAAAATAATAATAATATAAAAAAACGCCTCAAACAACATGAAAACAACGGTTTTTTTTTATCAAGAAGAAAGTTTTTTTTTGCTATTTTTTATTGGTTTATTATTAATAAATATAAAAAGCTAAAAAAATTATGTTTGCTGCTTTGGAGCAAATTTTTCCAAAAAGTAGTTAATGCAAATAAAAATAAATACTGACGTCGTAGAAAGTAGAAACATTTTACTAAAGTGTTTAATGATTAAAGATTGATTTTTTTATATCTTACCTTCCTTAAAAAACAGTATGATAAAAATAAAAATAAACAAATAATAATAAATATAAACCGATTACATGTTAAATTTTTTTTCAAAAGTTATATTTTAGCCATTAAAATGAAAAGCATTTAGATATTTAATTTTAACAATAATTATTATTTATGCTAACCTTCAATAAAATTTGAAGTCATATGTGCATATTTTTCAAATTTTTATCTGGCAAATTTTCAAAAATTTCGCTGTATAGTAATAGTAATAATTGAAAATAATGTACTGCTTGCTTTATTAAGCTAGACAAGTGGTACCGTACTTCATCAATAAAGAATAGTTATAGTATTTTTAAGACTTGCCTCGTAAATGCACGTATGTATGTGTATGGTCATAAAATTTTATTTATACACAAAAATTACGCAATCAAGCGTATCCAATAAAAGTGAGAGGTTCAACCATCTTTATCCGAATCAAAATATTGACAATTGAATGTAATATTATCTTCTTTAAGGCATGCCATCTGTGGAAGACGTATGCTTCGCTTTCAATGTCACCGATGTTGAAATCAATTACAGCGAATCTGATATGCAAAATTTAACATCGTACAAATCATTTACTCAACACGTTCGTCCCATACTACAAAAGGAGAATCCAAAAATACCAGCACCCAAGCTAATGATGTTAGTTGCAGCCAAGTGGCGCGAATTTTGCGAGGTAAATCCAAATTTGCAGTCGGAGCAGGGTCGCAGCACAGGCGGTGAGGAGGCAGAAGAACCACGCTCGTCACGTTCTTCACGCAATGAAAAGGTAAGCGTCACAAATGCCTATCGTTATCACAAAATAACTTTAGAAGTCTTATGCAGCACACCTCAATTAAAACGCTGCGAAATTTTACATATCTAATTGCTTATTTATAGCTACAACAAGTTGCTATTATTAGCATAAAGTGGTTCTATTTCACTCTTGTTTGTTCAGAAGTAGTGTGCCATTTTATTTGAAGTAAAGCTTTACTTTGGCGAAGTTTGTCAAAACGTTTTCTTATTATAACCAATAATTCGCTATGTGTTCATTTTAACCCATTAAATCGATAGGTTAGTTTTCCGCTCATAACATAAACATTAGGGGGTCCGTTATTGACCATGTTGTCCCTTAAGTTTCAGTTTTGCCTTAAAAAAGGATCCAACGCAAACAAGCTGTTTATTTTCAATTTAAACCGCTTAAATCATTTTACTTTTCCCATACACTGTTTATGAGATTTTTTGATCTTTTGCAATAAGTTTTTTATCTCCGAAGCAAATAAACCTATAACTTAAAAAAAATTTTTACATAAAAGGTATGTATAATTTGGCTGCTTATAACTTTTAAAGAAATGTTTTTATAAAAAAAATCAGTAAGTCCTTTTTTGTAGAGCGGAAAATTTAATATTAGAATATCACTTTTTGAAAGTTGTAGATTTGCTTGCTTAATGCAAAATATCAAAAATTCCCACGAAATACCTATACATGGGAAAAGAAATATTATTGAACTTTTTTACATTAGAACCTGTTTTTAGGACAAAAACTTAGACTTAGACTTAGGGGTTTGCAAAAAAAAAAAAAGTGGAAAATAGCGCACATCCTAATATACATATATATTTGTCTTATCGATTTACAAAAAATATTTGCTAAAATATATATTTTTTTCATTCAAATAGCCGGACGATATATATGAAGAAGAAGAAGAGGAGGAAGATGAGGAGGAGGAAAAAGAAACATCACGTTCACGCCGTAAGCGTGGTGGTCGTTCAAGCAGCAAGAAAGGCCGACGAGCCGGTAAAGTGCCAACATTAAAGATAAAATTCGGCAAGCGTAAGCGTGGCAGTTCCGATGAAGATCAAGATGCTAGTGGCGCTTCCGAACGTGATTCTGACTTGGAATTTGAGAAAATGTTACAAAAATCCGATGATAGTGCCGATGAGAAGGAAGTAGCCGCACCTGCCGAAAAAGTGGAAGAGCCTACCGATGATGCTAATGCTGCACCCGTTGTGCGAAAAAAAGCAAAAACCAAAATCGGCAATAAGTTTAAGAAGAAGAAGAAGTTGAAAACTACAAGTCGATTTCCAGATGGCGAAGAAGGTGAACACGAACATCAGGACTATTGTGAAGTATGCCAACAGGGCGGTGAAATTATACTGTGCGATACTTGTCCCCGTGCTTATCATTTGGTTTGTTTGGAACCAGAATTGGATGAAGCACCGGAAGGAAAATGGTCGTGCCCGCATTGTGAGGCTGATGGTGGTGCTGCCGAGGAGGAGGATGACGACGAGCATCAAGAGTTTTGCCGAGTTTGCAAAGATGGTGGCGAACTGTTGTGTTGTGATTCATGTCCGTCAGCCTATCACACTTTCTGTCTTAATCCACCATTAGATACCATACCAGATGGCGATTGGAAGTGTCCACGCTGTAGCTGTCCGCCACTGTCGGGCAAGGCAGAGAAAATTATTACATGGCGTTGGATTGAATCAAATGAGCCTTCAACATCGAAGAAACCCAAATCTCGCATGCGTGAGTACTTCGTAAAATGGCACAACATGTCATATTGGCATTGCGAGTGGGTATCTGAGGTACATATGGATGTGCATCATCCATTAATGATACGTTCATTCCAACGTAAATATGATATGGAAGAACCACCGAAGTTCGAGGAATCATTAGACGAGGCAGATTCGCGGTATCAACGTATACAACGACACAAAGCAAAAGGTGGCATACAAGTCGAAGATGAGAATGAAGAATACAAAAAGGATTTGGAGGAGCGTTTCTATCGTAACGGTGTGAAACCCGAGTGGTTGATTGTGCAACGTGTAATTAATCACCGCACTACACGTGACGGAACCACTATGTATTTGGTGAAGTGGCGTGACTTGCCTTACGATAAGTCTACATGGGAGGATGAAACTGATGATATCCCTGGTCTAAAGCAGGCGATTGATTATTATCAAGACTTACGTGCGGCTTGCACTTCAGAGTCGACAACTTCGCGTGTAGGCAAGAAGGGTAAGAAGGGACGGAAATCGAAGGTAAAAGAACTTGAAGATGAAGAACGTGTACAACGTCGCTTCACACCACCACCAGAAAAACCGACTACAGACTTAAAAAAGAAATACGAGGGTCAACCACAATTCTTGGAAGAAACGGGCATGCAACTGCATCCATATCAGATCGAAGGTATAAATTGGTTGCGCTATTCTTGGGGTCAAGGCATCGATACCATATTGGCCGATGAGATGGGTCTGGGCAAAACTATACAAACGGTCACTTTCTTGTATTCCTTATATAAAGAGGGCCACTGCAAAGGTCCATTCCTGGTAGCAGTGCCGCTGTCCACGATCATTAATTGGGAACGTGAATTCGAATTGTGGGCGCCAGATTTTTACTGCATTACTTATGTGGGTGACAAGGATTCCCGTGCCGTAATACGCGAGAATGAGTTATCGTTTGAAGAGGGTGCTATACGTGGCGGCAAAGCATCACGTCTACGCACTACTCAGTTTAAATTTAATGTTTTGTTGACTAGCTACGAGTTGATTTCCATGGATGCTGCTTGTCTGGGTTCAATCGATTGGGCTGTGTTGGTTGTAGATGAGGCCCATCGCTTGAAGAGTAATCAAAGTAAATTTTTCCGTATATTAAACAGTTACAATATTGCATATAGAATGCTGTTGACTGGTACGCCTTTGCAAAATAATCTGGAGGAGCTGTTCCACTTGCTGAATTTCTTAAGTCGCGACAAATTTAGCGATCTAAATGCTTTCCAAAACGAATTCGCCGATGTATCGAAGGAAGAGCAGGTGAAACGTTTACACGAAATGCTTGGACCACACATGTTGCGTCGTCTCAAAGCTGACGTGTTGAAGAATATGCCGTCGAAATCGGAATTCATTGTACGTGTTGAACTTTCGGCTGTGCAAAAGAAATTCTACAAATTTATTTTGACAAAGAATTACGAGGCGCTAAATTCAAAGAGTGGTGGTAATTCCTGCTCGCTCATCAACGTGATGATGGATCTGAAAAAATGTTGTAACCATCCCTACTTATTTCCTTCTGCATCCGAAGAGGCACCCACGACCGCTGGCGGCATGTATGAAATAAATGCACTGACCAAGGCAGCCGGCAAACTGGTTTTACTCTCTAAAATGTTAAAACAACTTAAAGAGCAAGGACATCGTGTACTAATCTTCTCGCAGATGACGAAAATGTTGGATATATTGGAAGATTTCCTCGAAGGAGAGGGTTACAAGTATGAACGCATTGATGGTGGCATCACAGGCAATTTGCGTCAAGAGGCGATTGATCGTTTTAACGCACCTGGAGCACAACAATTCGTCTTCTTGCTCAGCACACGCGCTGGAGGTTTGGGTATCAATTTAGCTACAGCTGACACAGTCATTATTTATGATTCCGATTGGAATCCGCACAATGACATACAGGCATTCTCGCGTGCCCATCGTATCGGACAGGCAAACAAAGTAATGATCTATCGTTTTGTGACACGAAATTCTGTGGAGGAACGTGTCACACAGGTGGCGAAGCGTAAAATGATGTTGACTCATTTGGTGGTTCGTCCCGGCATGGGCGGTAAAGGCGCGAATTTCACCAAGCAAGAGTTGGATGATATTTTACGTTTCGGCACTGAGGAACTCTTTAAAGAGGATGGCGATAAGGAGGAAGCAATTCACTACGATGATAAAGCGGTAGCTGAATTGCTCGATCGTTCGAATCGTGGTATCGAAGAGAAAGAGTCCTGGGCTAATGAGTACTTGTCCTCATTTAAAGTGGCCTCGTACGCCACCAAAGAAGAGGATGAAGAAGAAGAAACGGAAATTATCAAACAAGAAGCTGAAAACTCCGATCCGGCGTATTGGGTTAAATTGCTGCGTCATCACTATGAGCAACATCAAGAAGATGTCAGTCGCACCCTTGGCAAAGGTAAACGTGTACGCAAACAAGTCAATTACACAGATGGTGGTGTAGTCCCGGCGGACACAACGCGCGATGATGGTAACTGGCAGGACAATGCATCTGAATACAATTCGGATTACTCGGCTGGCTCCGATGAAGATGGAGGCGATGATGATTTCGATGAGCAGAACGGCGGAGGAGAGGGCCGCAAAGCAAAACGTCGTGTTGAGCGCCGCGATGATCGCCCGTTGCCACCATTATTGGCGCGTGTCGGTGGCAACATCGAAGTATTGGGTTTTAATGCGCGTCAACGTAAGAGTTTCCTTAACGCAATAATGCGTTTCGGAATGCCTCCACAGGACGCCTTCAATTCACAATGGTTGGTTCGTGATTTGCGCGGCAAATCTGAGCGTAATTTCAAGGCTTATGTTTCCCTATTTATGCGTCATCTTTGTGAGCCGGGCGCTGATAACGCTGAAGCTTTTGCTGACGGTGTACCGCGTGAAGGTTTGTCCCGTCAACACGTGCTGACACGTATAGGTGTTATGTCGCTGATTCGCAAGAAAGTGCAAGAGTTCGAGCACATAAACGGCTACTACAGCATGCCCGAATTAATATTGAAGCCCTGCGAGCCAGTGCGTGGACAAATTGGTGGACTGCCAAAGCTGGCGGATGGTCAAACAGCGGCAGTTGGTGCTGAGACTGAAGCATCTAAAGCAATTGAGGACAAGAGCGCGACGACCAGTACAAGCGCCACGCCAGCCACCAGTGCGGCACCAAGTCCAGCGCCTGCATCCGAAAAGGGCGAAGATAAATTGAGCACGGCTGTTGGTGATGAAATCAAAAAAGAGAGTGAAATCAACACAACTTCAAGCGGCGATAAGGAACAGATACCAGATGTAAATAGTGAGACAAAAGATGAACAAAAGGTGGAAGTGTCCTCATCTAGCGGTGATGTGAAATTAGAAAAGAGTGACGAGAAAGATAAAACTGGTGGTGAACTCGGCAAAGATGTCAAATCGGAGACGGTTGAAGGTGGTGATGTAAAAAAGGAGGGAGACAGTGCTTCCACGCCAAAGGACGCAAAGGACTCCAAGGAAGACGCTAATAAAACTGTAAAAGATGACAGTAAATCAGAACAAAAGCCTAAAGAGGAACCAACTACGACCATCATTGATGATGATGACGATGATGTGATGATTGTCAAAGAAGATGGAGAATTGGAGAAACCAACAGCCAATACTTCGAGTGGTACAGTTAACGCCAGCAACAACAATGTTAAGGAGCAAAAGCCGAAAATTGAAGAGAGTCTCGAGGTTTTGAAACGTAAATTTATGTTCAACATCGCCGATGGCGGTTTTACCGAGCTTCACACACTCTGGCTAAATGAAGAGAAGGCTGCCGTGCCAGGACGTGAATATGAAATTTGGCATCGTCGTCACGACTACTGGCTGTTAGCGGGTATAGTGACACATGGCTATGGACGTTGGCAAGACATACAAAACGACATACGTTTTGCTATCATCAATGAACCCTTCAAAATGGACGTTGGTAAAGGCAATTTCTTGGAGATTAAAAATAAATTTTTAGCGCGTCGTTTTAAATTGCTCGAACAAGCGTTAGTTATTGAGGAGCAATTGCGTCGTGCCGCTTTCCTGAATTTGGCGCAAGATCCCAATCATCCGGCAATGTCGTTGAATGCACGTTTCGCTGAAGTCGAATGTCTTGCCGAGTCGCATCAACACTTAAGCAAAGAATCTTTGGCAGGCAATAAACCAGCTAACGCAGTACTGCACAAAGTGTTGAATCAACTCGAGGAGTTGTTATCCGATATGAAGAGCGACGTTTCGCGTCTACCAGCCACTCTGGCACGCATACCGCCCGTGGCGCAACGTCTACAAATGTCTGAACGTTCAATACTTTCACGTTTGGCTGCAACAGCCGGCAACACATCCAATGCGGGTACGTGTTTATAAATATTATTGTTGTAGCATGATTTTTATTTCTAATATTTTTTATTTTTTTCTTCAATAGCGCAATTGATGGCTCAGTTCCCAGCCGGTTTCCAAGGCACTACTTTGCCCGCCTTTGCTGGTGGACCAGCAGGCAATTTCGCCGCTTTCAGACCGCAATTCTCCGTGCCCGGACAGTTGTCTAACAATTCTGGCAGCAGCGCAGCCAACAATTAAATTATTTACCTAATTCTTTTGAGTTATTTTTTAATATACATACATATTTACATATTTTTCCTACTATTTAATTTTAAAAATTTTATCTCATGTCTTATCTAAATAAACATGCAAATGAGTTGTGTGTTTATACATACACATACTATGTTTAGTGGTATTCTATCGAAATACAGACCTTAACTATTAAAACTTATTTTTACAGATAAAAATTTATTTGTAGCATTTAAGTAATAGAATTGCAATAATAATATACATACATATAAAGCTGACGACAAATTGTCAATTTATGTGCTCTACAACAACAATGCTAAGCTTCAGGGTACATAAAACAACAATTGCAGATATCAGAATATTTGATAAGATTTAACAAATTTATATAATGTTTTTACAACTTCAAAAAACTAAATTTAATTCACAACACTAATATCACAGTAAAATAAACATTTGTCTGAAGATTTAAAAGCAGGATTCAATAAAGAAAGAATAGTTTGCATAGAACATTAACTGGAAATAAATGGATATGCCCATACTTATATTAAAAAAAAATATGTCTCGATAGTTATCTCCAACAAAAAGGTTGTTATAAAATTTAAAAAAAAAGTAAACACTTACGTTTATTTTCGATTGTAAAGATAAATAAGCTTTTAAATCAAATATGAACTCCAAACTACAATACAAATAAAAGGTTATTGCTTTTTTTTCTGTTTTAGCAATAAACACATCCGAGATATTTTTTCGTTTGTGTTTTGAGAAGAAAATGTTGTAGAGCATATGCAATCTTGGTAATTCTGAAAACGCGAATTTGGTTTAACAATAACAATAGTCTTCAATTATAAACACGTATTCCAATAGTAATCCATGATATCCATAATTGAACCAAAAGCATTCATACAACAAATATCAATATACAATTTAAAATATTAAATCTCAATGTCAACTTATTCAAACAATAGTTATGCAAACATAATAAAAATAATAATTTTTAATATGTGTTTTAGAGAGTATTCACCCAAGCTACTAGTATTCGATTCCAAAAGACACGTATGATTACAATACAATAAATATTGCATTATTAATGAACATTCATCTGTATGTGTAATAAATGGGAGAAATATAAAATGCCTGCTCTTTTTTAGTATTTTGAGTATTTTAAATGCATACAATCATTAGTCGTCCCTCAGCACAAAATATGAAACTTTCCACTGTATACCCAATCTGATAAAGCTTCTAGTAGAATCGAGTAGAGTTCGTTGTTTTTTAATTAAATTTTAAATTTGCAGCAGAGGTATAAGCTTTTAAGTATCATTCAATCACAGTCTAAAATTATTGCAAAATTTGCATTAATTAGAAAGAGTTTCAAGATACGGCGCGATATTTAATGCTTAATTATCAAAAATTACCTTTGAATTCGATAAATATGAAATGCATAGGGGTTTTTACATTAGACTACTTTTTTTTCTTTTGCTTTGAGATATTTAGTCTGTACACTTTTTTTATCGGTCATATAATGGTTTTCTAATTTTTTTGTTTACGTGAATCCCGCTTGAACAAATTATAATTATTTGTTAAAAGAAAACCAACTACTACCCACCTGTTCGACACTTGCATGTCATCAACCTTCGCCGCGCCAATATGGTCGCCTGGATGCAGATGGAGAAGATTCAGACATGCCAGAACACCAAACTGCGGACTATAACAGGATGCCTCCTGATGTCTCCTATCGAAAATTTACACAGTGAGGCCCGCATAATACACTTCTCTCCAAGCAGTTTCTGCTCGGATGTTTTCGCTGAAATCATCCCTGAGTCACCTGCTTGAAGCAGAGCCGAGTCGAACATGTCGACGAACTAGCGGCGTATACCGATCAAGTTTCTGACGCGACCAACTTCCGACAGGCATTGAACGCCTTTCACAGCGGAACTATTAACACCTTCATTGACTCCCTCCCAGTGAATGGCGTACTTGGAGTTCAAACATCACCCATTGCAAAACGAGAGTTCGAGTTGCTGCGAGAAGCAAGGGTGACCCTACTGCAACTTCGGTCTGGGTACTGTATAAGGTTAAACTCCTACTTATACAGACTAGACCCCGACATACAAAACTTATGTCCTGCAATCAACGAGTCCCGGCACGACACTAATCACCTCTTTGCATGCCCAATGAAATCTACTCACTTAACACCTCTCTCCCTATGGTCCGAACCCGTCGAAACAGCTCGTTTCCTGTTTTTACCGTTAAGTGACTTCGATGACAGTTGACTTATTTCTTTCCTCCAAACTGAGGCTGGATAAACATTACAACAACAACAACATCACTTGCATGTGTATGTACATATATTAGGGTGGGTAAAAAAAAAATTTCTTATCGCTTCGTACTTTAAAAAATTTGTTGATTGACACCTCTAAGAAAGGCTCTCCAAGTATGTTGAGTATTTGTTTCTTATTATCAGATAGAAAAATGTATATCACGCTTCCAACTACTTGCAAAAATATCTCGATTCATAGATTTTGTAGGAAATTGAATGCTCTACATAGGTTAGGTTTCTACTTCGTATTTGACCCACCCTAATGTATATATACCATATGTACATAAGTATTGTATCAAGAAAAACTTAGTCTGTCTCAGCTTTCATTTCAACATGTGTATGTCGTAACGCCAATATCGACGCGAACTGTTAGTGCACTTTTAGAGAGGGACTCAAAAGAGTCTCATTTTTTTTCAAATTTTCTTTTGGTGTCGCTCTGTGCATTCACACGGTCAAAAAGAGTCCAGCAACTCGAGTCTAGTTTTTCTGCATTCCTTTTCACAAATATTTGTGCGGTTCGACTGCGCAACACTGCGTGCTGCGTATTTCATTTGTATGTTCAGATGATGGTCACACATTTTGCTTGCAATGAATTACCATGAATATGGTAGAACAATATGCATAATACAAGTACCTACCCGCTAAATAGTTTCAAAGAAATACTAAAGACGGGAATTCCCTAATCCACAAGAATGTATTGAATATCCGCTACTAATATTTTCAAGGCCAAATTTATAATAGGAATTTCCTAATCTTTAAGTATTAAAAACTCATAATTTCTTTACTCCATAATCTATATCTTAATTTTCTCCTTATTTACAATTTTTGAAAATATTTCTATTATTCTATGCATACATATTTGCATATTACATACAAAAAATAGATAACAGAATTCAAATTTGCGATCGAATTCATTTGAAACCGAGCGCTCTTGCAACCATTCAAAGGATTTGAAAGTGAAAAGGAATGCTGAAAAGGGTAGCAGCGAGCTGTTACGAACAAGAACACAAAGCGTGCCACCCGAACACGAGTGGCACGGTCCCTTCGTCTTTCCTCGTCGTCCCTTCGCCCACAATAAACTGGTTTGAGACTCTTTTGAATCCCTGTGTAAAAGGGCACTAACGGAAAAACAAATATTTCGAATTTGCAGCTATAATTTGAAAACCGATTTTCACAATCTATTGATATATTTAATGCGACAATCAATCATTCCATCTGCAACTATTTATGAGGGGAGAGTTATAAAAATCTAGTAAAAATTTATAAAAATATAGTTTTTTACACTGAATTGAATTATTGTCTTAATAACTTTAATTTTATTTTAAAGTAATTAATCATGATTGGATATTTATTTGCTACTACTATAAAATAAACTCTTTGTAATTAAAAATTATTTCCTACTTTTTAGTTCGATTAGTTATAAAAGCATGTTTTTTTAAACTATTATTTATTATACTCTCGCAATATGTTGGTCGGCATTTCATAGCACAATTATGCAAGCTAACTTCCGAGATAAAGAGATGCCCAACTCTCTTATCATTGGAAATTAGAGAGCAACTCACCTACCAGACTTTGACAGTTGACTGGATCGGGTAGGTGAATGGATCGGGACTGACGTTTCGCAATTAAAACGACCAGATTGATATTCTACCAAAAATATATGTAAATGGAATCATTTTTGCCGCCGGAAATATGCCCTGCAGGAATTTTTTTGTCATATTTTGGTGTTATGAATTACATTTTTTGTTTTACGTTACTTAGAGACAATAAAATGAAGGTTATTAGCGTCCAATATATTTATTTTCATCGTACAATATAGAAAACTAATCAGGAAGCACGAAAGTGTCTTTCACTGAGTGTTTTTTATTTCATGCTGCCCTACACAGTCACAGTTGCTCTCATGCTGGCCACTGCTACCCTACAGGAAACTGCTGATGGGTTCACCAATACACTCACATTTTTTATGTCAGTAGTGACCGAAATTGGGCCCAGTAGCCACCAGAAAAATACATGATTAAGCGAAAAAAATTAAATTAATGTCCTTTTTCTTACCCTAGAATAAATTGTCAAAGTTAGATCTTTACTGAGGGCTCTAGATTGATAGGTGTACTTTCAATACAACTATTTTAGATTATCGTCTTAAAAATGAATGAATATATTTATATAATTTAGTCAAAGAAATTTTGAACATTTTACTGATAGCAAGTAAGGAAGGACTAAGTTCGGCTGTAACCGAACATTTTATACTCTTAAAACTTGCAAGAATCAGGAAGATTCCTTCAGGTGCTGGCCAGACTTTATATTAAAAAATGTTGCGAAATAATTAAACATCTATTATTCGATGAAATCGTGAATAAATGACAATCAAATTTGATATGTTTTTGAGTTGATGTGAAAAACATCATCCAGAGGATCGGAATTCATTATATTAGGGATATGTGGTTTAGCCCAAGGTACAGACCAATTCCATTGTAAATCAGCGTTAAACCACATAATTTTTAAGAAAACTTGTTCATTTAGTTTCTTAAAAAGATCTCATTTTGACCAACCTAAACAGTTAAAAAGCAGGTGGATAGACGGAAATCTCTTTACGGGGTATATTGGCGATAGAGAAAGGGAGGGGCTGATTCCATTAATTGTAACATTGCTCAGGTATACTCGAGAACTTATTTTGAAGCAATTTCATATATAAATAATAATACCAGATGTTCGAAAATTCTGATATTAGCTAAAAATATTTGCCTTTAGATAATTTTTATTGGTTATTATAGCTTTAGCGGTATAGAAGAGGGCGCGACCCCGCACACTTTTTAAAATTTCTTTAAACTACAGATGCCCCTCCCTAATGGGATTCGTTATACCAAATAACAGTCTTAGTCAGTCAGAACTTAGTTATGGCAATTTATTGTTTTTCGATTAATGGCCTTTTGTGGGCGTGGCAATGGTCCGATTACGCCCATCTGCTATACCAACAATATGTATGATTTGAATTCTGTTTTTTCTCTTTTCTTCCATAAGCTTTTTGGTGGATTATTTTTCGCTAATATATAGGACATTATATAGAATAAATAAAAAAAGAACGCAAACCTATACTCAATATTGTTCCCCACTGTATGTACGAGTACATACATATGCAATAATTTATAGCTGTATAAATAGCTCTATGATAAACTTTTATCGCATTTTCGAAATTATTTTTTATAAATAACTCGATACTCGAAACTCAACTTGTATTGTATTTTCCAAAGAAATTTAAAATTTTGTTTTTTTTTAACCTTTTTTGATAATTTTTAAAATTAAATAAAAATATTGTTCTTTATTGTCTTTAAATAATTTTAGTTTTGCAATTAATAGATTAAAAATGAAGGTATTACATTATTTTATAAAACAATTTTAGTACACGTTACTATTTCCGTACACCCATTTTAGTAATAACAAACCATAAATAAGGATATAATCCAAGGGAAAGCCCAAAAACAAGATACATATATACAATTTTTTTTGTCTTTTTTTTTTAATTTTTATTAGTTAACTTTCCTAATTTTTAATAGAACGATCAATTTTTGTGCACCATCACGCATATTGCCATACAAATTACATTATTGCTTTGCTGCAATTTAAATTCGTTCTTGTTAGGTGGTAGCGTTTGTAAGAGGCGTTAGTTAATCAAAGAGACAATAATTCGTTTGTGGCTTTTTAAGTAGTATAAAAAATGTTGTTTTCAAAGCGCTTCGGAGCGAATATAATTAATAAAAAACAAATTCGCCTTTTTATTGATTTCTTGTAAGTCTGTTTAATTACTCTTTGAAATCAGGTATGCCGTCGAATGTGCAGCCACTACGCTGGATAATTTGTCTTGCTGCCCATATGCCTGAGCGTATGCAAACACTCAGTGGCTTCTTTTGTATGTACTGTGCCAAAAAACCACCAACGAATGCGTCACCAGCACCATTTGTATCGACAATTTCGTTGGGCTCCAATCGTTCTACTGGAAATTCTTCAATGGAATTCTCTTGTATAAGCAATACAGGTAAATGACCTTGTGTCAACACCACTATACGTGGTCTATTGGAATTCTGCTTAGGTAAAGCCAACATTTTCTTTCCAATCTCCTTCATTTCCTTGTCATCCCAACCTTGAGCAGCTGCGAATGCTTCCGCTTCCTGTAGAAACAAAACCATCAACAAAAATTTTGATTTCATACAACAACAGTAGTTACCAATTCATTTCCAAAAAGTATATCCACATAAGGTAATGCTGCCATTAATGGTTCCTTGAATAACTGTGATAAAAATGGTGCACTCAAGTTCATAAGAAAAGTGCGATTATGTGTGTGCGCATGTTGGGCAATATGCTGAATGCTTGGCGGGCTAACCGTAAGGAAGAAACCCTGCAAAATTTATTAAATATTAATTTCAGCGCATAAATATAAACGGAATTAAGGCAATACACCTACCGATATATAAAAATATTCGGCATTGTCTATGAGTTTCTGTTTTTCGGGTGTAAGCAAATGGTCTATGGTAAAATGATTGGCCGCTGCCAAGTTGGCACACAACGAACGATGTGTGCCAGTAATAAGAACACCACAAGTACCAGTGGGTGCGTCATTGGTGCGTTGATAATGTACATCTACGCCGTTTGAACGTGCTCGCTCGTCTAGAATATCGCCATAGCTATCATGGCCAATGCAACCGAAAAATACAGCTGTATTAGGCTTCTGCAACATCCACTGACATACACGTAATGAATTCTGCACGGAACCGCCAGCAATAAATTCAGCATTATACTTCTCCACTAACTCTTTGTAAAGCGGCATATGCTTTTCGGTAGCCAAAATCGCATCATTTGGTTTTAAATCGTACTTTTTCAGAAAATTGTCATCCACAGTTGCCGATATATCAAGCAATGGATTTCCGCACCCGACCAAAATTCCTTGCCTGGAGAAAGAAATCTTCAAATAATTAGAAAACAAAATGAAAACATTGATGAAAGAAAGCACTCAAATATTTACATTTGTGTGTACGAATGCAGTATAAAAAATTTTCGAAATTTGAAAAGTAAGAAAGTAAGTTCTCAAAAAGTCAATTCGAACATATTTAAAACCCAATGGGAACATTGCATAAAGGAATATCATATGCCGGTTTGCGGTGTTGCTACACACACATACATATATTTACATATGTATTATCGGATGTGGTACTCATACGTAAGTTGGTGTGATAATTTCCGGTCGATTACAAACAAGATTAATTATCAGTCAGTGATCAGCTTAATGACGTCAAACCAAAATCCGGGTCAAACATCTTTTAAACCAACTCATATAAAGCGGTACGGCAATTATACACAAAATTGTCAAAACAGAAGACAAATATGATAATATTTAAAATTGTAAGCTTTAGTTTTAAACAAAGCAGATTATATACATACATAAGTGTACATATAATTATTTATATTTATGAGCACAATAGCATCACGAGAATCACACTTATCAGTTCGCACATAGCACCGAAAACAGCATCGAAAATGTTTAACCTTCCATAGGAAGCAAATTGTAATATTTCAGCATAATGATGAGACCTAGTCATTTTACAATATTTATTGGACATACCTTAATTGTTCGCTCATTATGTAAATAGCTGTAAATGTCAACCCTTTTGTATAGTTTTAGCAGTATCACAACCAAAGTGTTTAATCTTTAAACACAAAATTTGAATCACAAGTTAGAAAAATGATAAGCGAACTGCGAGTATACTGACCACCTTGACTACACATTTACCCATGGAAGCAAGAAGTAATTAGAAGAAACCGCTTAAAACACATGGCACTTGATACCTCTGTGGTGCCTATCGTGGCAAATACAACACAATCTTCGTACACATACAAATGAATAAATAAACATATGCGCAGGGGTATATTGCTTGTGTGCAGTAGGAATAGGCCCAACTGTCAAACGGCTACTTTATATGTATTTAAAATACAATTTACGTATATCGTATAATAAATGTTTTTTTGCGTAAATTTGTTTAGTGGCCCATTTCTTGATATAATAATTGTACTTATATAAACACCTTTCTTTTCCAATAGGAATATTGGCGACAATACAATCGTACGGAATCCATCAATGACTGATAAATGGCAAAACAGATGGCAAGATTGACCTGCAATCAGCTGTTACCAAATGTCTCATTTTGTTCTAATATGTACGATACACGATGACATTCGGAAGGTCGAAAGAGTAATTTATAATTAAATCGGAACCATTAATATATTATTCTTAATATAGTTGTTTCTACAGCAAATACGATATTTAAAAATAAAATCCAAATATTTGTATTTATAAAAATAGATCTTTTATAAATTCACACCGCATATTGTGATTCGATTTGATGTGAATTTCCTTTTATTATATTTAGGGCCGTTTACGTACCAAATAGTATTATGACTTAACCGTCAGTAGATTAACTGCTATCATCCAGTTATTTAACTGACAGAACCGGTTTCACCAAGTTGTGGTTAGCTAACCTACAGATAGTTTGATTACTGTGAATGCGTGCGGAGAACATTGCATTGTGAGCACGTAAAACTGTGTAAACGGCTTGAGCCATGTATGTGTATGTTGAGGCGAGGACTTTTTTGCCAAATCGGTTTTCGTTGGCGAAGGGACGACGAGGATAGACGTAGAGACCGTGTCGCTCGTATAACACTTTTGAAAGATTTGAAATTCCTTTAATTGTTGTAACAGCGCTCGGTTTCAAGGTGTCATTTCACACACGGACTCTTTTGTAACTCAAACCGGTTTATTGCGGTCGAGGGGACGACGAGGAAAGACGAAGGGACCATGCCACTCGTGCTCGGGTGGCACGCATTTGGTTCTTGTTCGTAACAGTTCAATGCTACGCAATTCAGCATTCCTTTTCACCGCAATAGCGGTCGGTTTCAAAAGAATATACATATGTATACGATATGTTAGGAAATTTGAATTTCGTTATCTAGTTTTTGTATGTAATTTCCAAATATTTATGTATAGAATAATAGAAGCACTTTGAAAAATTGTGAATAAGGAGAAAATTAAGATACTCAAAAATATTTAATATAAATTTTTTATAACATTTAGCGGTATTGAATGAATAACATAAATGAATTCTAATAAAAATTGAATTACTTTTACATATAAAATATTAAGATGCTTTCATATTTATTTCTTTTAACCGCAAAGAATTTAGTTCGAATGTCATTTTATTTAAAATAAGAATTGTAATTATTTTATGAATGTTTTATAATAAAAAAAAAATGGAGTTAAAAAATTATGGGTTTTCAATACTTCCCGAAATATTGGGAAATTCCTGTCATAAATTTGGCCTTGAAAATATTTTAGGGGTATTCAATGCATTCTGGCGGATTGGAGAATTCCCGACTTAAGTATTTCTTTGAAACTATTAAGCAGGTATTATGCATATTGTTCTACCACGTTTATGGTAATTCCTTGCAAAAAAGTGAGACCACCATCCCAACATATGTAATCGGAACGGACCCGGATTTTATCCGGTCAAGGACTGTCAACTCGGCAGAATTCTGCCGCTACAACGACAACAACAACAACAAATGATGTGTACAACACGCTCTAATTGTCGAGCAGCCAAACCGCACAAACATATGCTAAAATTTTATTAAAAGGAATGACAGGAAAACTCAATTTAAATGTTATTATATTGAGAAAACCATTCTTCAATATGTTGCCGACATAGTGGTTATTGTTGTTGTTGGAGTAGCAGCAGAAAACATTCCTGAAGTAATTTCGAGAAATGATGCCGAGTTATCAGCCCTTGGCTATAAAAAAATCCGGGTGCGTTCCAGTTACTTAGTTCCCTGTCCAGAGTGCGGTTGCCAATAAAGTACTGGTTAAGCGGTTAACCATATATTGTAAAAACGGCATTTACCGTTCTCACGACAGTCGGGTCTACGTAACCAGAACGGACCTGGATTTTAATCTAGTCAAGTACTTTCAACGCGACAGAACTCTGCTGCTACAACAACAACAACAAAAATGTCCATATTTTATTATTGTTTAATTTATGTGATATGTTAATTAAGCCACTATAATAACAAAATACAATTCCCTTCGTATTCATTGGCTTTCCGCAATATGGCATTATTGCCATTAACCCTTACTGGATTAACGCCACTGAAGTGTAATTTGACACTTTGGATTGTTGAAGTTGGTTGCAAAATTGACGCATCCTTTCTTTCCGGTTGTCAAAAAGGTACGAAAGGAATGAAATTTTTTAGCCGAAGAAAATACCAAATTGTATTGAATTTAAAGAAGTGCATCATACTTATAAAGCATATTTTGTTCTCTTATTTCAGTGCAGAGACGACACATTTAGTTAAAAATGGCTGACGTTGATGTGTAAGTTAAGAAATGATTGTTTATTTAAAGTCTTAGTATGCCATAGTTCAAGAATAAAAAATACAGGCATAGTTTAGCCAATGGTTTTATTATTACCACTTAATAGGAATTTTTTGTTAAACTATGCTGCTTCTAAATATTTATTATGTTCTTACACGTTTTGATGTGTTCATTAATATCAATATTGTTATAGTGATGTGCCCTCCGCTGCTCCAGTCATTGGAGACAAAATGGACATTAATACCGCCTTACAAGAGGTGCTAAAGAAGTCTCTCATCGCTGATGGTTTGGTGCATGGTATTCACCAAGCTTGCAAAGCTTTGGACAAGTGAGTTTTTTGCGTGTTTTTTGTTTTCGGAATTTGCAATTAATATATTTTGTTTATATTTTCAGGCGTCAAGCTGTTTTGTGTATCCTTGCTGATTCAATGGATGAAGATCTGTACAAGAAACTTGTTACCGCACTTTGCCACGAACATCAAATCCCACTTATTCGTGTGGATTCACACAAAAAATTGGGTGAATGGTCTGGTCTGTGCAAGATTGACAAAGAAGGCAAACCACGTAAGGTCAGCGGTTGTGCTGTTGTGGTTATTAAGGATTTCGGTGAGGAGACACCTGCTTTGGATGTTGTGAAAGAGCATTTGCGTCAAAATAGCTAAACGCACTGTGTGTGTCTAGTTTTAAACAACAACAAATAGTGATTTGTGACAGTAGATGAACATGAAATACAAAAGTCTTCGTGTTTATTTGAGCAGAAAAGTTCTTTTATAAATAAAAAATATAACAAAGTGAAAAATAGCGGAGTTATCATAATGAATTACGATTTAGTAAAAATGAATTTTGGTTAAACGCGCAGTGATGTGTCTACACTTTAATGCAATTCCTTTTGTGCTGTGGCCAGTCCTCCTGTTGACATTTCCTGGAAAAAATGTGGAATTATATATAAAGGTTATATAAAAACGAATAATCTTACTTTGAACAGTAGTAAATGTTTTTACAATTGGCGCATTTTTTCATAGCATTGCTGGCACACCTTCCACATTTTCTCTCGGTTACGCTTTCATTATCAACATTACTACTGGCTTGTACTATATCTGAAGTTTTCTCTTCGATCTCAGCCAGCAAGTCTGTATTATAAGCAGTGTTCAAACGGTTAGCTATTTCAAAAAGTTTATCTTTATCAGTGCACAGAAATATTTCTTCTTGCTTTTGTGCCACGACGGGAAATCCACCGATACGTTCTGCTTCAGCAATAAGCTTCTCTCGTATTTCCGGTAATTCTTCAAGTACTAAATTCGTTTTACGTTTCTGGTTTTCACTAGGATTTCCAGAAACACTTAAATTGCAAAGGTACTGCTTTAGCTCAACCAATGGTGGAATTTGGTCTAATAGAGTTTCTTGAAGGAGACCCTGACACTGAAAGTACATTTACACGTTTATGTAACGAGATTATTGTACGTAGAGTAAGTGTCACCTTTGAAAGATGCTTCCTGCGTTCCTCGTTTAATTCATACGATGTCATCAGGGATGTGTTAAATAGTAATTGCCTCATGCAGAACCAACTCTGCGCCTCTTGTTTGGATATCTTCGATATATCGGCGCACTCAACCGTAATCCATTTTTCATCTATAAAGATTATTTTATTACATTAACATTTCGTTTGATAAGAATAAACGCATAATACTGATAAATCGCTGGATGCCTTTATCAGTGCGTCTTTGCCATGGTCGGAACTGTAGCAAATCTGCCATTAGCCAAGGTACATCATGTGTAACTACCATGCGACGCGCGGCGCTTAAAGGTATTGCATCCACATGCTCTGCAAGGTAGCACAAAATCGATATGCAACGCATGCCAATCTTATAAATGAGATCGCGTTTCTGACGCTCCAATTCTGACAATACGGCCTCGTCAACGTCAAGTTTCGATTGGTTTTCATGATAGCCCATGCTAATTTACGAAAAACAAAAACAATTTTATTAAACTCATAAGTAGCATCTCTACTATGTGATATTTATACCTGACTAGACCTATCACTTGTGCCACCGCCAGTGCGCAATAGTCAACTAAATCAATAGCTGCGTCCTGCAATGCTTCACATGCACTCACATGAAAGAGGGCTGTATCCAATAAGGAAATTACAGCGCCTTCGTGGAAAAGTACCGTATATATTAGGAAAGTCGCTTGAGGATTGGGATCGATCTCAATCAAGTGTGGTAATACACGTGTCTTCCACAAGAAAACATTATAGGCTTCATGAATGAGTATCTGCCATGATAAATCAAAAACTTGTGTATTGTAAGTAATTAGTGGAACACAAACCTTCAACTTGTCATGTGAAATTAGAAACTCTTTCACTTCTTCCTCACGTTGCTCGCTTGCTTCGAGAATTGCTTGTTGACTTAATTTTATAATCATCTCATGAACATCCAACCATTTTGAGCTACCTATATCGACCAATTGAAATGGACGTATGCTCTCAATAAAATAGGAAATTTCTTGGGGAAAAACGAAATTAGCCATAATGTAAACACGTTCTCAGTTCCGTTGTCACGTTTTCTATTGTAAATTTCAACAATTTGAATTTTTCCCTTGTTTGTTTGATCGTTTAATTTATTATAATTATTTACTCCAGGTTGCTAAGGTGATTATGAAATGTTACAGCGGTTAGGTTCCCATGATAGTTGTGGAATCACAACACCAAACCGTAGTTATTTTTAACAGAGCAATCGTTGCTACTTCATACAATTCTTTCCCAAACGTCGGGTGTATGTAATTAAATAAATTCAACTATCGCATCAGAGCTTCGATTTGCTAATAAAACTACACTATTACATATTGTTTGGATACATACATAATCATTCTATTTAGCAATCAATATATTTTTCAAGATTTCGAATCTATTTTGCACATTGCCATTTACACATATATAAATTTAATAAATCGTCTTTAATATAATTTTACTAAATCATTCTGATATATCGACTGTAAATGTTGTAGACTTTTATAAACAATATGCGAAAGAATAAAGCATATATATTCATATATAAAACACAAAAAGTTTAGTTTAAAGAAGGTAAAAGTTAATATATCTGCATAAGGTTCCTTGTGTTTAACTAATTAGCAAATGTTTGTTGTATAGCTTGCATGTGTGTCACGCTTGTTGTTGGAACACTTGCTGCCTGGGGTGTGCCGTTAACGGTTGCATTCGATTCTGGTGCGGACTGCTGGGCATACATTTGAGGCGGCATAGGTGTCGTCTGTGTGGGATAAAATCCTGTTGTTGGTTGCACTTGTGGATAAGTGGCTACTGTTTGGCCCGCTGGATATGATAATGCCATTGGTGCAGTCATATATTGTTGTTGTTGTTGAGTTGCCATTGAATACATTGGTACGGTTGCAGTGGAAACGTATGGTACATTTGGTGACAATGTGGCCTGTGCATACGGCAACTGCGGTGCTGCAACAGCAGCCGACGCTGTTTGTTCACTGGATCCTGGTATAAACAAGCTCGCTGGTGGAGGAACATTAGAAACGTAGAATTGTGCCGCTTGTGAATTGGGAGCAGAAACAGGAGCGGGGAACTGTGCGCCAATAGTAGATGAGATATTGGACGCGTTAGCTTCGTTAATAGTATGTTGTGCATCGGTTGTGGTGGTGGTATGTATTGTATCGAAACCACTACTGGCTGCTGAAGCTATCGCATCTGGATTGAAATATGTTTGAAAAACACTTGGCTGTTGCAAAGTTGTTGTTGCTGTGGAAATTGTAATGTTGTCAGACCCATCAATTGCTTTTGTAACATCTGTTGGCGCATTAGTTTGTGATTGTTTAAATGTGTTTGTTAAAGGAGGAACATAAGGCAGCGTAGGTGCTATAACTGGTGTTATGGTTGTTGAAATCGGTGGTATGGTGGTCGCCATATTTGTTGGTGTGTTTACGGGTTCAATTGTAGTAGGTGCTTTGATGACAGAGACTACTGCCTGTACTGGAATACGATGTAAATATCCGTAACCAATGCCACAACCTAGCGCTCCCTCACCTCCCCAATTAGAATTTGGTTTAATCGTTACCTCACGACATGCATCGTCATCAATATTGTAGACGTACATTTTAAGAGGTTGCTGCTCATGTGATTCGATCAAAGTAAACAAATCGTCATTTTCATGTCGTATAGCATCCGCACCAATAACGTAATCCGAATATGCACGTAATCCAGCAATTTCAGCTGGTGAATTGGGATGTACTTCGAGAATATGCCATACGTTTTCATTTGCGCCCTCAAATGAACAAAAACGTATACTGACACCTAACAAACCTTGTCCGCCCCAATTTTTACTTGGAGTTAATGTAAGTTCGCGCACTGTTTGTGTTTTACTTGAGTACACCGTTAATCTTACAGGTTTGTCAACATTTTGACGCAATAATTCCTTTAGCATGTCGTTATCCTGATCTAGGCGTGTTCCAGCTATGGCTACAATAAAATCGAAAAAAGCTTCTAATCCAGCCTTTTGACCTGGAGAATTATCCTGTACCTTCAGTACATGATATCCCTCAGTACCACCACCCGGAACCTCTACACTATGGCTTGAACCCATTTTGTTTGATGGAGAAGTGTGTAACTTCTTCAAGCTCTCTCACTACTCGGTGTTAAAAAAATCCAAGGGATATATAGCTTTTATTTATTTTTTATAGTTCCAAATAGATATATGTAAAATTTTCCAACTTTATGAACACTATTGGGAAGTCTTTGCGTGGCACAATCAAATAATAAGCAAAGAATTCTAAAATTTTCCCATATATGTCAAAATTAAACCTTGCCATACAATGAAAATCGTAAACAAAATTTAATTAAGGGAATTGTTTAAATTCATAACTTAATACTTTTAAATTTTTATAAAGGGCTAATACTTAAAATCAAAATGGGTAAATGTATATTTTAGGTCCCCCAACTAAGGAGGCCTCAAAAATGAAATTTTCTGTTTAAATCTTCTTATTTTGACGAGAATTTTATAAATCTGTGAGCGGAAAGTGAATTTTTTCAAAAATTTAGGTATATATTTACAAATATATTTACCGCACTTTTTCAAGTCACTTAGTTGTTGTTCTTGTTGTAGCGGCAAAATTCTTCAGAATTCAGATCACTTAGCTGTAATTACCAGTTCAGAGAGTCAAACATTTTTATGGGAAAAATAATACTGAAGAAATGTAACAGTCACCATTTCTTTTGCGCCGCACTGGCTGCTTTCGTCCGCGCTTTAAAAAAATAACGCGTCAAACTCCTTTCTGTATTGGCGGCCTTCGGTTGCCTGGTCGGTCCAAAACCGGGATGTTCATAATTCAATCGCGTCAAACTCCTTTCCGTACTGGCGGATTTGTAATATTCGTGTCAAAATAAGACGATTTAAAAAGAAATCATATTTGCGGCCTCCTTAGTTGGGGGACCTAAACTATACATTAACCTCAAAATGTGCCGTGAAGTAAAATGATTAAAATACACGAATTACTAGATAATAATTAAAATGCTTCAAATTGATTAATAAATTACATTTAGTAGTATTCTCGCCAGTCAGTTAAAAGTTAATATAAAAAAGTTATAATTTAAATATTAATTACATTTGAAGTTAAAAAAAATAGAATAAAAAGGTTTTCTAGCAGATAATAATAATAAAATATTAAAACACCTTTTACCATTTTTGTACCACTGGTATCACCAAATTTTTGACAATCATTCGCAAATGACGTGTACCCGTACAAAACAGATAAACAAACTTATTCGCAGGTAATTGTTGTTTCACTGTAACTGTGGATGAAAATATTGACCATTGTTTATATTACTACTACCAATGAGAATTTCGAAATTCTCAGTTTATCGTCAAATATTCATCTGAAAATCTCTGTACAAAAACATCATATTGGGGTAATGTTTTTATTATTTTCAATATTTCAAAAACAAGCGCAAGTTATTTCTTTTTATAAGGTTTAATAAAATACTTAAATTAAATTACGGATCAAAATGCTGACAACCATTAATCTTGATGAGTTATGTATTTCTTTTAGATCCTATGAAATTGTCGTTTTTACAAATAGTGGTGGCCATTATTTATTCTTATTTCATTGCCGCTGCTACTTGATATTGTTGTTGCAACTTTTGTACTGTCTCCCGATGTTTCGTCATATCTTTTTCCATATTTTCCAATGTATCGTTTGAACTTTTCAGTTCTTTCGAAATATATTCTATGCGCTTGGCAACATTTTGTCGCGATTCTTCAAGATCCTGCTTCACTAAAACGGGTCCATACAACTTGTACACTTTATTATCGGGACCAAGGAGATTTAATTCGTCCAGCACACATTTGTTCTCATTTAATTGAGATTCAAGAAGTGTACGCTGTTTCACTAACTTCACACAGGCTAAAAGAGAGAAATTGATTTTTTATTATTTAAAAAATAATACATAAGAATGTATAATTATATACGTATGTTTATATGTTGCTTCGAATGTGTCACTTCGATTCAACCGGCTAAAACTTACTTTTCTGCAGATTTTGATAAGCTTCTAGCTCTGATTGCAATTTCTTCACCAACGCCGCGCTATTTTTATCCATTTTTAAGAACTATTTAAGAAATATTGTTTTCAAATTTGTATTTTTTAAAACAGTTGTGGATGAAATGGCTTTTAATTCTAGCACCACACGAGTTTATAGGGCGGCGAATTTTAATATGAAAAGAAACAAAGCGAATTCAATGACAGGTAACAAATTACAGAATTGCCAAATATCTTAAATATCAGTTAAAATATATCTCTAATACACCAAATACTCAATTCACTTTTTGATTCAGATTTGAATGATAGTTTAAATAAGGTTTTAATATGGTTTTGTGCCAACATTGTAAATGCGTATGTATATGATTAATCCATATGTGGATTGGGTTTTGTTTTCTTTATTCACTGTGAATGGAAGTGAAAACGAAGAAGATAAAAGTTGATGAAGAGGAAGAGATTGTACGCCTTGTGTGTGAAAATTTCGCGCCGATACCTTTTCATTTACAATAGGGAACTGTGAAAAACTCTAGCACATTAAAACTTTTATATTTTCACAGGAAATTAGTACAAATTTGTAGTCTTAATGCTTTTAAATAAAAGAAACTAAGTGTATATATAAAGGGCAACAAAAAGAGGAAGTGTGTATTGGCTTGTTCTGCTACCACAAGCGTAGCGTCGAAAACGACGAGACAGTGAAGCAGCAGAAAATTAACAAATTGTGATTCAACACGCCGTGCTCATATTACAAAAGGCGGTGGTGGTTATTCGGTAAATATTTCAATAAACAAATAATGGCTCCGGCGAAAAAACGCGAAAAAGATAATGCATTAGCAGCGCCGGCTTCTCTAAGTAATGGTGCTAACGGAAGTGTTAACTCTGGTAATGGGGGTGGAGTATCTTCGGCAACAGCTGCTGCTGCATCTGCAGTCACAGCAAGTACTGCAACTACAAGCGTTGATAATGCGAAGCTCAATGGGCATCAGCAAGAGCAGGAACTTTTTCTACAAGCTTTTGAAAGTAAGTTAACTATCAGCAAATAAAAAAATGCACTAAATTAAAACATACAATTTCTGTTTAGAACCTACCCAGATATATAGGTTTTTACGCAATCGTCATGGCACCAGTGTATGTAATAATTATATTGTCGTTCATTGTTTGCGTCGATAACATTTTTTTTTTATTTTAGCCTATATTTTTAAATCGAACACTTAGTTATATGAAGGACCGCATGTCGCGAAACAATAAAAAACGCGCAACATTCAAAGTTAATTCAATATTGCAGCAAATAACACAAAAAACAGAGATAGACTCAAATAAATATTTGAACATCATTTACAATGGGTTGTTTGATAAAAGTAGTTGCAGCGATCAATGGTGGAATGCGGGAGAGTCAGTTAGTGTCGAAGCTACTCTTTACAAGATAACAAAAAACAAGCGAAAAGATAGCACCTCAGACTTTCAGGAAATTATGGTAATTTTGGTTTTTAAATGGTAGCAATATATTTCCTTATTTAATGAATTTCAATGTCTACATTTTAATCTAGAGTTACAGTTCAGATGTTGTTTACAATCCAGATGATGATATTAGTCCCTTCTCAACTATCAGCATTCCGGTACAATCAATGCGTCCTCTGGGCGATCAACATACGATATATAAACTATTGTTTCGTATTAAAGTCTTACCAAAATGTGATAGCAAGACAATTGATGAAAACAGTGAGAATGGCGGTAAGTGAATAAAGCAGATCTATTAATATTTTACTTGAAAAAAATTGTTATCATTAATTTTTGAATATCTTGTAATTTAAACAAGAAAAAACGTTTGTTAGGTTGCACCGAAAATATAATGCTCTTCAAAAATACAAAAGTTTCCATACAATAATGATTTTGATCGGTCTGTTTATATGACAGTTAAATGCTATAGTAGTTCGATCTGAATATTTTCTTTGGAAATTGAACCGTTGCCTTGGGCAATAATCCATGCCAAATACCAGCATATCTCGTCATATAAAAAAGTTTTCCATACAAATATTGAATATTGTTCGCTCAGTTTGTATGACAGCTATGTGCTATAATGGTCCAATCAGACAGACAGACATGCAGACGGAAAGGGCTAAATAGGCTCAGTTTGTCATGCAGATCATTTTTATATATATATTTTATAGGGTTTCCGTGGCAAACTTAACATATATTGTTCAGGGTATACAAATAATTTACTTATTATAATTTTACGCTATATGCAATTTTATACTAAAAACATTAAATCAATTCAATTCAGAAACACCTTGCAAACGCGGAAAAATGAGTACGAAAATCTATGGCTGCGAGTTGATAGTATTTGAGAAGAATATATGCTTTATACCTGAGGGTGATTACGAAGCGGCGATGCAGGAGCTCAATTCGATGAGCATTAAATCTTTCTCTCCAAAAAAACGAACATGGGAGACATTGCCAGACAATTACATTCCACTGTCGTTGAAATTCGACGTTTTCAATCAATTTCCCACGCTTAAGTTTCGTCTAACCTGGTCGACCAATGAAGTGCCTGCCAATATTGATGCAAAGGATCTTAACCTTTACGGCGACTTTGCTGGTATAAAAAGTGAGGCAAATGATAAAATGCAAAGCATAACAAATGGCGTCGAAATTCCATTGAATGGCAATGTCAATCAAAATACAAATATAGGCGCGCATGTAAATCATAATAATAATTGTGTTAAAACCAACGGCGGCAATAATGGCAAAAGTGGTATTGTGTCCGTATGCGCAAAAGTGGAAAAAATACAAATAGTTTATAATTTTTTATATAGCAACAATACACGACAACAGACGGAGTACACACAGGAGGTAATATGTCCATGGTGTGGTCTGGATTGCTTGCGTTTGTATGCGTTGCTTAAACATTTGAAATTGTGCCATGCGCGCTTCAATTTCACATATCAACCGGCAGGAAATGGCGCACGTATTGACGTGACCATAAACGATTCTTATGATGGTTCGTATGCGGGTTCCCCATATGATTTGGCTGGTCCGTCAGGTTGTTCCTTTGCGCGTACGTGTGGCCCAGTGCGTCGTACAACTGTGACAAATTTATTAGTCTGCCGTCCGCGTAGACAGAAAACCTGTCTGGACGAGTTTCTAGTGTTGGATGAGGACGATTTAAGCAATCAGCGTCCTTACATTACAGGTCATAATAGGTGGGTTATCTTAAATTTTTGTATTATAATATTTATAATTAATTACTTTTTTAATAGACTATACCACCACACGGAGACCTGTTTGCCTGTACATCCCAAGGAGCTTGATATCGATTCAGAGGGTGAAAGTGACCCGCTATGGTTACGGCAGAAAACTATACAAATGATTGATGAATTCTCTGATGTAAATGAGGGCGAAAAAGAGTTGATGAAACTTTGGAATTTACATGTAATGAAGCATGGTTATGTTGGCGACTGTCAATTACCACTAGCCTGCGAAATGTTCTTAGACTCGAATGGCTATGAGATTATACGTAAAAATCTTTATCGAAATTTCATCTTACATATGTGTTCACTATTTGATTATGGGCTTGTTTCACCGGAGACTGTTTATAAAACTGTACAGAAGCTACAGGGTATGTTAAGTAAATATCCCGAGGGTCAAGAGTTGATGTCCAAACAACGTGAAGCACAATTGAAATATTGGCTTGATGTGGGCATATATAAACAAGATGAGCAGAAGCTTAAATCACCACAAAAGCAAGCTCCGAAACCCACGAATATTTCTGAAGTGTTAGGCACAGCTGGTGATGATGTCTGTGGTTCAAGCAGCGTCAGTAAAAGTTCAGAAAATAAACCAATGCAACCACCAACAAAGCGTTCAGCTACAGCTGTTAAACGTGCCAGTCTGCATCTACAAAACTGTCTAAACGGTAGCGGCAACAACACATCCGATAAATTGATAAATGGTGGCGGTAGCAAAGGTGTTGCTAAAAAGACTGCATCTCAAGCGGTTGACGATCAAGAGCCTCCCGTCAATACCAGCGCAAATAGTGGCAGTACTAAGGTGTCAAGCGATAGACGTGAGCGGCGTGGTGAGGTTAGCAGCAGTAGTAGGCGAAGTAGCACAGCGTCAACGACAGTGACGTCAACCACAAATGAGCGCGATGTAAATAATGAGCGAAAAGATGCGCCCCAAAATACAGAGCGTCCACAGCGTGGTGGTGGCGTACTAACAAATAGTGCCACAAATGCCGAATCGCGTGCCCAAACGAGTAAAAGACGATTGTCGGTTAAAGGTGAGTTTTAAGATCAAATTTTTTTTTGTGCAAACATACATATGTGCATAAATTGCGATATTTAATTGTATTTAAAATACAACAAAAAAGTGCGCATAGGATTTTTGATATTGCTAGCTAGTTATCACAATGTAGTCGAGCAACTATTTTAATTTATAGGAAAAACTAGTAACTTGTGTTATATTTGGACAATGAAACTATATAATTGCAATTTTTATCCCTGAATAGGGTTTATTAAGTTTGCCACAAAGTTTGTAATACTTAGAAAAATTCGTCAGAGGCCCAATAAAATATATACATATGTATATAAACAATCAGCATGAGGGGCTGAGTTGATTTTGCCATGTCCGTCTGTCTGTCCGTCTATCTGCATATAAGCGAACTAGTCCCTCAGTTTTTAAGATTTCGATCTGAAATTTTGCACACATCACATGGAACTGCCGAATCGGATCACTATGGTATAGCATATAGCTGCCATACAAACTGAACGATGAAAATGAAGTTCTTTTATGGAAAACTTTATCTATGATACCATATCTTCATGAAATTTGTCATCGATTTTTGTCTTAGGCAACGCTACAATCTTCAAACAAATTTTGTAAATCGGACCACTACAGCATATAGCTGCAATACAAACTAACCCAAAGAAATAGAATGTATAAAAATTTTTTTTTTATATGTGAAGGGTATTGTAGCTTCGATGCTACCAAAGTTAACGTTATTTTCTGTATTGTTTTTTTAGTTATTATAGATTGACGATAGATTTATATAAAAATATTAATATAATATTTTAAACACGTATTGCATTATTTTCATGTGACTATATTGAAGATATGCTGAAAGAAAAGTAGTGTTGCGCATCTTTTTGTTATACGTATATTTTTTTACAACTATTTTATTATTATATAAATATGCATTAATTATTACTTCTAATTAACATTTATTATCATAAATATGCAAACTCATTATGGTTACATCGCATCATAACACGTCATTCGCATCGAGTTTATACGTTAATCAAACATCACTTCTATTTCAAGTATCTAAACGGTTATCATACGTTCGCAGCATTTTAAAAACTTTAAATTTTCCATTCACATTCTCACCTTCATCAATATAGTGGAAGATCTTCATAAAACAAAATATATATAATATTATATATTATTTGCAGTCATATATGGATGTATGTATACATATGTATTTATGCTATTTTAAATATTTTACTTTCAATTTTCTATAACCTGTTTTGCTGGTGGTCACTTGTTCTGCTATTGTGTTTAATCATAAGTTCTGATTTTGATATTACCGTTTATATTATGACACTAACTCATAATATAAAATAAATAAAACAACAGATCACATTACGCTCATTTTCTATCGGTCAATCACCACTTCAAACCATGCCACATACGTAAGTCCATACAACATTCGCCACTCACCACTTAGCGCTGCTGCCTTAAATGAAAATAAACAAAAAATTAAATAACTAAATTATCAAAATTTTTTTAAAACGAAATCGTGCGGGTTTCTTTCTTTTGTTTTCTTTTGGTCTTTTTTCTCTTTCTCTCTCTCCCTTATACAATGTTTGCAGTTATTGAAGATGTGGAAGGAGGCGGCGATGGCGGTGAATGTGGATGTGTTGGCGCTGATAGTAATAGTGAAGCGTTGGAAGCAAGTTATAATGCTAGTGATGTCTGTAATGGTGCTACTGTTAGCAACATACCGCAAACTATCTTACAAAGTGAATTGACACAAATACCTGTTAATGATGATCATGATGATGATATTGGTGATGATGATAATGATGATGAGGTTGCTGACGATGCAAGTCACTTAAGTGCTGAACGTGATGTTCGTGCTGTTGATGTCGGTGTTGATATTGATGTTGATGTTGATGCTGGTAATGATATTGACGATGACCTTGATGCCGAACTGCGTGCTGATGTGACAACCGCGTCCACTATAACCTCGGACGCTACAGTAGCCACAACTACTGAAGCGGATAATGCTCTAATGGAAAATGTATTGGACAATGCATTAACTATTTAAATATAACTAAGTTGCTATACACCTACACTCAAATCTCACTAAAGTAGTGAAGCAGTACTTACATAAAGCATATAAGTGCAATTGGTATTGTTTTAGCATAAAATGTCTAGTGGAAATTTAGAATTAGATTTAGCAAATGCTAACATATATGTTTACTAGTATTTTAAGTTAGTGCGATGTATACGGCGGTTAAACTTGAGCAAATTTGCTAAATGCATTGAAAAATATGTTTAAATGTTTGTTGCATACTTTCAGGCCAATATGGACTCGGATTTGTTCAGATCTATTTCTATTGTAAAAAGTGCAGTGTTAATTGTTTGTATGTATGCTTTTTGCAATTAGAGATCCTATACTGAAGATTTTGGCTTGAGCTTGGCAACTCAGAGGCTACTATCTTTTCAAGAGACATTTTATATACACTTTCGTTTTGATATCTATACCTAGAGCCTACAAAGCAATAGACAAACTTATGATAACAGTATACAGTATATAAATCTAAAATGCAAAATGTGTTTTGTTAAATGGATTAGGGCAGTTTAGAGCGCTAAAAAAGCCAAAACTTTTACAATCTATTCTGGGAGTAAAGAAAAAGAAATCGACTCTCATTTAAAAATGTTTATATTAATGTTTTGGTAAAAAATAGCGGCTACTGAGCAAATTTTCGTAAACGCAGTAATTTTAGAAACTCTGCTAACTGAAACAAAATAAAACAATAAAAATTGTTAACTTCGACTGCACCGAAGCTGTAATACCCTTCACAGGCGCATATAAGGATATATAAAGATCTTTATCTTTATCTTGATTTTGACCGTTCAGTTTGTATGGCAGCTATATGCTATATTCTGACTTTCTACCTTTGTTTGAAGACTGCAGTCTTGCCTTGAACAATAATGCATGCCAAAAAGTTTTCCATACAAGAACTTGATTTTGATCGTTCTGTTTGCATGGCAATTCTACGATATAATAATGTGTTTCGGATCCGAAAGTGCTCTTTAAGCTCAAAAATTTTTATTTTTTATTTTTAATCCTAGACTGGCCTAAAAGAGTGTTTCAGCTGCGGTAGTAAAGCGAATTCTTATTAATTTGTAGTTCGGCCGAGTAATGTAATTTTGTCTTTGATAGTAAAAAAATAGATTTTTTACTGTGCTGATTCATTAAGGCTCAGACAGACTTCATTGATTATATATATATTATTCTCCCAATAATATTTAGGGAATCCTAAACTTATACTGCACTAATATCCACATACAAGTGTACTGCCGAATAATTTAAAGGTTAAATCAAACTGCATAAATATAAAATGATCTAATGGCCTTAAGTTTAAGAGACTTTTAAGTAAGCTCACTATCCTGCCTTGGCAGCATTTAAGTTTTTCACATTCATATGTTTTTGTTTTCTTAATTTATCTGTGAATGGTGAATAAATAGCTACCGTGGATTTAAAGGGGTACACCTAATGTGACAGCCTAAAAAAATGCGATTTTTGGGAATTTTAAAAATACACAGTAAATTTTTTGAAGAAAAAATATTATTTTAATTATTATATTATATTTTTCGAGTTACACGCGATCTCGGATGGCGCTAAAAACAGGTCTTCCAATGCTACAGTGATTTTGGCCTTCTGCCTGGATGAAACCTACAGAAATCTCTTTAGTAGATATTGTCCATATAATGATCTACGATTGATAAAAATTAAAACTTCTCAATAAAATGGCCTTTCAAATTGAGTACTGATCGGATCTTTTAACTTCGATTAATCATTCTAGCGAATTCGAAAAATGCTGTTTCGAGAAAAACGCGTTTAGAAATAAACTGATAGAGCTGATTGAACTGAGCGGTTACACTTTAGAAGCCTGTAACTCCAAAATTTTTTGAAATATTCATTTAAAATTTTAGTTTGGTATTTTTAAAGATCTATCGAAATATGTCAGAAATAAAGAAAAACTATTTTTTCAAAATTTTATACTAGGTGCCCGCTTGTACATTATACGATGTATACAGCACTTCGAAACTAAGAGTTTGCTTTGTCTTTACAACTTCTGGGAAGACTTTATGGTATTCGGTTTTCTGCCTCTAGTATGTAAACTCACTATTAGTGGCATTTGCCACTAGGGATGATCTGGGTTTTGGTACAAAATTTTCGACTAACATCAAAAATTAAAAACACTTAAATTTTTCCAGACTATTTATTTTTTTCGATTACTGGAGGGATGTTTAGCTTTTGAAAGTAACTCATTATGCACCTCAAATTAATTTTTTTGTTTTAGGAAATGTGTATGATTTGACCAAATACCAAATGCGGCTTCATTGTAAATAATAATAATTAAATTATGGTGGCTAGGGGAGTTCAGAAGTATGGGCATTGTTTCATGACTTTCAAAATCGTTTAGAATACCAATATAATATTTGATCACATGATAGTCGCGTTTACGTTCCATTTTTCAGTATGGCTTTACTAAAGTATTGTGCAATATTACTCAGTGCTGCTACAAGAACTACAACAAAGCCATTCACAGATTTGTTATGATTTTTGAATAAAACAACCTCCATGAAAGTAAGTTTTGAAGATAACACATCAGGTTTTCGTTTAATACTTAGTTTTTGGTCTATTAATATCTATATTTTTATTCGTATCTACATACTTTTAAAACGAAAAGTTGACAACTATCAGTCTTAAGAAAGCAATATATATAATAATAAATTGCATTTTTAGGTAAATAACACTTTTAGTATTTATATTTATTTATAATCGAAGGAAAGGTATTTTGTATTTATTTCTTAAAGAAAGCGCAAAAAATTACTAACTTTTCAAAATTCAGATCAACTATATATGTACATATGTATTATATAGAAATACTACTTATTTTGGGTATATATTGTAAGCGTTGGAAATTATGTATAGCAAATATATTATTTAATTATTGAATTCGGCTAACCGCTTGCAATCTTTTTTTTTCTGACTTTCTTCTCACATCATACCCCACTTTATGTACAAACTTCACTTTCTTGCAAAAAAACAAAAAAACCAACAAAACAAAATTCAGATGCATCACAACCCGCCAGCAAACGCAGCCGTAACTCCGAAGGCCACAGCAGCGGCAGCGGTGGTGGTAGTGGGGCTGGCGGTACGACCACCCGTACAGCTGCACAGCGTCAATCAGCTGAAGGTGTCCACACTACCAGCAATAGCAGCGGTAAGCAAACGAACGCCACCGGTACTACGACAGCCAATAGTTTGACAACGACACTGCCGAAACGTTTGGTCACTAGACGTCAATCCATAGCTGGCACTACCAATACCAATCATAATAACAACAATAATGCCGCCGAAGTAACACTGCCAAAGTCCTCTGCCAAAAATGCAAGTAGCACTACTATAGCAATAACAACAACAACACCTGCCAATGCTACACACCATTCATTGCGTACACGCCTATCAGTGCCATTGACGAAAGTGGATAAACGTTAAACAGCAAAAACAAAAGCGATAGCCAAATGCAAAGGGATAGTGGTGTGTGTGTGTCCTTTTTCACAAATGGAATAATAACAGCAACGTCAGCGACGTTGAACGGTGTGTTTAAAATATTGCTCGTTACGTTTATGTTAAGTTTTTATAATTTTTAAATATTGATTTTATTTTATTTAATCTGAACATACTTAAAATGAATATTAATATTTGTAAACCGCTTTAGCATTAAGTAGTTGAGTATACCACATATTTACTTATTTGACTGTCTATAACTACATATTGTATGATCCTCTTCTTTTATACTTTTACATATTAAAAAAAACTGACTTTTTACACTTTTGAAATCACCTTTACATGCGAAGTTGTTTGGTATATTTTTATAATTATTATTTCACTGATTTTTATATACATACATATTCATATTCAATTATTACAGTTTTCGAATTGACATTCAATAATTTGTAATTCACGGTTTTATGCTCTCAACAAACCGCACTGATTACAAATGTAGCATAGCGCCAATAAATATATATTTAAGAGTATGTTTAAATAACACTAGAGAAATATAACCAAATTATATAGCGGGTATGTACACAAGGCCAAGTGATGGGTAATGTATATTTTTTTAAACATATTTACGTTGAATAACGATATTCGACTACATTACATATTCGTAGATTAATGCATGCATAATTGTAATTCAACTAAAAATATGAGCATATAATACAAACATGCCTACAAATTAAACTTATATACATACATACATAAAAATGCGAAATACATACATATATATAAAGAAAATTTAGAAATTCAATATTTTTCTTAGCATCTAAAGGCTGTTTCAGGTAATCGGCTAATCAATTGAAGGTCTAGAACTTGTAAATTACATACATATGCATTAGTATAAGTAAATATGTATTAAATAAAAAATACACAGCATTTATGTATGGATTTGTAAGCGAAAGCAAAATAGTTAAATAATATAAAAGGAGCCGCACTGCACTTGCGTTATATTACTGTATAAACCATGAATAATTGAGAGAAACCGGTGGAGTCTTTGCGTAATTTACAATTATTACAGTGTTTAAAATATTTTTTTACGCATATAATTCTTCACAAAAAGCATTTAACTTTTTAAGTAACAAGTCCTGGCGGCTATGGTAATGTAGTGGCCTGAGCTGATCACTCGCTATCTAGGACCTGAATTGAAGTTGCAGTGGAATATGGGTTCGTTCCCAGTTCCGATTAAGATTTAAAGTGGTTTTCTAATAGCGAGTGCACCTCGGCAAGCGTTGGGCTAGCAAAATGTTTCAGCTAAAATCAATTAGTTGTTCGGAGTCGGTTTAAAACTTGTAGGTAAAAGTATTTATAAAATTACAGCGAGTTATGTACGCATCCTTGATGGGAGAAGGAGCTTGCTCAATATTCTAATAGTGGTGTAAACACCAACTAAATTGATACATACATATGTAAAAAGAATAAAAAACTTAAAATAGTGTTTTTTTTGTATTCATTCACTTCATAATCAACTGTTAAATAATAAAATAAACTCACGATTCATTGAGTTTCGCAATAGCACGGTCTATGTAAATAGCATGTATGCGGGTTTCGACTCGACTCGACTAAAATCTTATTAACGATTTAAAAATGTTATTTGGTACTACAACAATACCAACAAAGTACCACTGAATACTTCAAGCATTTGAAAAGTTTGATCTGCATAAGACTCGGTGCGTTAAAGAGGCTTCACTTAGTACAGAAAAGTCCCCGATAGTTTGTAGAAAAAAATTCTGCCATTATATATTTGTACGCATATTCTATGGCATTTAAAAACAGCCAGTAATAAATGTAATAATAAAGTGCAACAGAGTGTGGCATAACAATGCGCGTACGGAAATACACAGAGATATATAATTATATAAGAGAATTAAGCAATAAGTAAATAAGCGATAAATAAAAAAATAAGTGTATTTAAACAACGTTGTAGTAATAAATGCAGATATTTTTTAATATTGAAATATACTATAAATTTAAAATTCATTTTGTGATATTTCTTAACATATTTACTTGATGCCATCTGGGTAGGAATACGCAAAATCTCATATTCGAACAGTGAGATTGGGTTTGTTTCTGAACAGCTATATATATAATATATTACTAGCTGCGGGAAAAGTGTTTCTAAGCCAAAAAACTAGCATAAGTGAGCACATGAGTACACGAGCGTAAGAAGTAAACAGAGCTGTTAGTTTCTGCTAGCGAAAGTTCTGCTAAGTGATAGGCTTGCGTTGTGACAATTCACATTCTATTGATTCAGTTTCAAGCGTTGAAATGATATGATTATGAAAAATACAATTTAATATAATTTTTTCTAGTTTCCCGTTTCTTCACTTTTCGGCTATTTCGCTCTTTGTGAGAGTAAGTTTTAAATTTTTGTATTCTTCTTTCTGATATCTAGCAGCTACTAGCACTTCAGAAACAAACCTATTGATAAAGCTTTTCTTTCAATAAAGTTTTAGGTGAATCAAATCTTCACGCCAGTTACATTAAATAAAGATATACACATAAAAGCTAAACACAATATTTATCGTCAATAACTTTTTGGTCGAAGTTAATTGAGCAAACTCTTCTCGTCTCTCTTATCAATATTATGTTGTGGTTAACATAACATTCTTATGTATCGGGAAACATAAGACTGATGATCATCTTCTTGTGTAGATAACGCCTCCGTGTATTTCTTACCTCTTGTTTTTCGCTACTGGGCAGATGGGCATTAAGCTAGATCAACAAACAATTGGCAAGCAAATATATTTGCAATGCTGCAGTCTATCTATCCATAAGCACACAAATTTAGACTACGAAATCTCTGGAAACAAAAGATGTAAAATCATGGAGTTCACCTCGATTTTTTACGCCCAAGGTCGATAGCATGCTTTAAAATTATTGAGGAATGTTTTCTACCGCTACAACAACAATATGCAGTGAAATCATCACACCTTCTCAAGGAGTTTTCCAAATTTAAATATCTTCACACATCTTGGACCAAACAACATACGAATATTAATATTAATCATTGATAACATACTGATAATAATAAGATCTGGCAGTTGTTCATAAAAAAATTCAAACCCACCATTTATTGTTTTCTATTTTGATGATACTCTCACCGTTTCCACCAAAATTAACCCAACATTTGTTCGGCAACGTTGGATTAGATTCTCAAATAATCATCATTAGCATAAAGTTTTCTTCTAGGTTATACAATATATATAGTCATTGAAATGTATTAAAAAATTTAAAAATGATTAAAGAGGTCTTGAGGTTCTCCTGGAAACTTTGTAAATAAAATGGCACAACTCTTTTTATTTTAAATATATGCAAGAAATAACAGCAGAAGGTGTAATGACGCATGTGTCACGCAGTCCGCTTTTGCGGAGGGCTTAATAATTCCATTAGTTTGTTCTTTCTCATATTTACCTTCTGCAAATACTGTTTTCTTGCATAATCGTTTGCAGGAATAATTTCTGGATCGAAATATATATATTTGAATGAATTATACGGTGTAATTTCCGTCTGCTCACTCCAAGTTGCACCGATAAGTTGCGTCAAAACAACGGTTCGGTGCGATGCAACGGCCGCGATTGTTTCTTATAAAGAACATACGGATCTCGATGGTACGGTTCTTGCGATACCTCATAATGGTCTATCTACTCGGGGAAGGGCCGCCTAAATCCCGTCTGAATTCTCTTTGGATGAAAATGACGGACTGCAAAGCATGGTACCGCTGCACTATATAAACCTTCTTTTCGGTATCCCAAGCATTCATTATTAAAAAACTTACATAATAACCTGCCAAATAAAAAAATAAGGTCGATTACTCACACAGGAAAAAGTTATTACGGTTTGTTTTTGTAGCACGATTCGTGAGCCAGCCTGTATTTAACAAATTTAGAATCGATCTCATTGAATTTGTATTAAAATAATTGATGCCTTATACGGCTTTTCGCTTTACGACCAAGTTTCGTGGAACGTATATATCTAGGCCGTTAAGCGAGGTATGAGTGTAGTCAAACTTCAACCGTTAATATCTTTTAAACTGTTAGGTTTACCAAAAAACCGTAAGAGACCATTGTGTAGAGCATTCAATTTCCTACAAATCAGATAGAAGATCAGAAGCGAGAAATGAAGTTTTCTATCTGATAATAAGAAAAAAATAGAAAACAGTTAGGTGGAGGACCTTCCCATTACAATTAGA